TGAATAACACATATAACTAAATGAGAATCTTTAATACCATGATAAAACATCTGCTTACCCACTGATCAGATTAAAACGGTTGTTTATCTGATTTCAACTAATGATCAAATATTCTGATTTGAATAAAAAAAACTCTTCGAAAGGTTTCATTTACAGAAATTTCTTTTTTTTCCTCAATATTCACGTTTAACTCTTTTTCTATAATCCATTTGTTTAATTAATTAACTAAAGCCACATATATATAAATATATGAATTTAGCATATATACATACACTATCTGATTAATTAAGACAACTATTAAACAGAAGGTAGAACTAGGTAGACAATGAAAGGTGATCCATTCCTCTCTTATTTAGAATATAAAATCAAATGGATTGTTTGTTGTTGTTGTTTTTCGAAGAAAAGGTAGAAGATAAAGTCAAGTGGGATTTCATTGAATATGACGATATTTTCATCAGAAAATTGACATTTAAAAAAAATGAAACCCGGATCATTAACTTTTCATTAACAGATGAATATTTGTATTCACGTGTCTAACTGTATATTCATGGTTAAACTAATTATTTAGTCAAAAAAAGAAAGAAAAACACACAACTAGAAACCGACAGATTAAAAATTTGATTGCACGCAAATTAAAACAATTGAGTTTAACTTTCTTTCTTTTTTTGTGGTAGATATTATGAAGAGAAAAAGTGGTAAATAGAGAAGCCAGGTGTTTTGATTTTGTTGTTGTTGTTCATTTGTGTCATTCTATTATCTTCTCTATCCTTCGACTTTTCTGCTCAATATAAAACTGCATATCATTGTCATATTTATCATTTAATCGATAATATATCCTTTATTTAAAACGTTTTTTCATTGATAGGATCATGGTATGATTTATGGACCTTTGTTAAAAAATAGATATGGTAGATGGTGATTTATTTTTCTTTAATAGTTGAGATCATGAATCAATTGAAGATAGACCACTATGGAAAACCTGGAAACACTAGACGGCCGTTTCGTCCTATTACGGGACTCCTCAGCAGTGTGCATCCATGATCCCGTCTCGCGAGTTTCAAACCCAGGACCTATCAGTTTCGCGCGCGAGCGCTTAACCATTAGACCACTTAGCTGGCATTCAACAGTGTTAATTTTTTTATGATATCATAAAAGCTTACAATATATGAACGGTAGACGCACTCGAACTCGAAAAGTAAGTTTCATTTCTTGTTATTTATTTGGTTAATTAAACCGATTTATTAAATATGACGAAGAGATTTGTCATCAGTGAGAGGACTGTTAGAATTCTAGTGACATTGGGAAGTTATTTCCTTCTTTTTTAGGCTCTTCTTCATCCGTGATCTAGTATAGAAATTTGATAGTTAAATAAACGAATTCTATAACACTTCCCAGTTGAACTAGAAACATTACAGAACATAAAGAGAATGGGAAATTAACACAAATAAATCTTCCCTTTTGATTGACAAATATGAAAAGAATAAACAAAATTCAGTGAAAGCATTTTATGGAAAAAGTGGTCCTAATACTTCAAAAAAATAACATTAATACAACAACGCTATACTAGGGCTTAATCGTAGAATTAGATTGTGTACAATATATATGGATTTTATTGTACTTGAATCCACCTTTTTTATGTGACCTACAGTTAGGACAATCATATATATGTATATAAACACGGAGTGAATAACTGTCAGCTTGTAACTAGTCTAAATACTTGTAATAATTAAATCTATTGTCATCTTCTGAAATATACAAAATATGTCCAATTGGGAGTCAGTCAGTCAAAAAGAAAGGGTTATGAAAAGTACAAATTCATTAATAGAATTCCTTATAATACATTAGTCGAATTTGTTGGGGTAAGGGAAACAGTGTAAAAATTGTGATGTCGAGATTCCATTTGAAAATAAGAACAATAAGGTCAGATGAAAAGATTTTCTCCGCTGAATTGCCTTCCGTCTTCTTCAATGACACAATAGGTCTATTTTATTATAACATCAGATGAATTCAAAAGGTAATCTTAAATGAAAAATACTTTCAGAGAGTGTGTTTTATTTTTATCTTATTTAGAACTAAAGTGTTATTCAACTAGTACATCAAAAATGACGCTTTATGAAATCCATTTCATTTAGCAGTTATTTGTTACATCGACGAGCGATTGTTTAAAATAAGAGATTATAAATGGAAGGGAGTTTTGTGGATATTTTAGTAATTTTATGTAGTTGAAATCATGAGGCAATTGAAGCTAGACCACCATGGAAAACCCAGTGAAATAGGTACTATATTTGTCAGCTATATAATAAATATGGTCGATGTTTGTATGGTTGAATTTTTATCAATGTTGAATTTTCTTCATAAGTAATTCAGTAATAATTGTTCTCCCTAAACCTCTGTACTGCCAAACTTCATGATAATGGAAAAATATAAAGCAGCGTTACTGTAACAAATTATGACCAGTTAAAGCTTTATATTTTGTTTTTCCACTACAGTCCTGAAGTGTATAGTGAATAGTATGGAAATATAATATATAATGTATTTTTTGGTAATTTAAAAATTAGTCACTGAAAACGAATTAAATCAATTTATACCATACACATGTTCGATTAGCTTGAAATATGTATAGGTAACAATGCGATGAATTTGAAATTTTCAAAGTTGAATTCACGAGTCAATCTAGGCTAGACCACTATTAGAAACCTGGAGGTACTGAACGGCCATTTCGTCCTAGTATGGGACTCCTCGGCAGTGAGCACCTACGATACCGCACGTCGGACGCGAACTCAGGCCTTTTGGTCTCTCGTGCGAACCTCTAGACTACTGAACCGGCATCCAACGGTGTTAATATCTAACTTCGATCGACTCATTAGTTTACACAACTGTTCATGCTTCATATTAGGACGAAACGGTCGTCTAATGTTTCCAGGTTTCCAATGGTGGACTAGCTTAGATTGACTTGTGAATTGAACTTTGAAAATACTGCATTCTCCACAAATCCCCAAAAATGAGAATATAAAATCAATTTAATTGTGTTCTGTATAGAATATAACGTAATGGCTAACAAAATACTTAGATAAATATGGTATAATGCTTAAAATCTGTTTACCAGTCACACGCAATTTTATTTTGTAATAATAAACTATGCCATAAATCATTAGCAAATACAAAAATAAATTGGTTCCTGCATCAACTCATTTTGTATTGTTTGCTATGTTTGTTTAAGCGAATATTTGCGCATGATGAATCTTCGTAATTCTGAGATCGATTGTAACAACAAACTAGTTAGACTTCTAGAAAATAATGCAGAAAGTCGTTTAGTGTTCATTGTTCTTTGCTTTTCTGTGCTATTCCAGGCGATAACAATGCGTAATGAAAATACTTTTTAAATGACTAAACAGTTATAAAGATGTTTTTAGGCAGATATGAATGGTGACTAGCAGTTGAATCCAGCATATGCGCTTCGCTTTATTTATGGCTCGTCAGCTAGATTTACCTGTATCGCATAGTTGATGTTCACTCTGAGACTCAAACCTAGTACCGTTTATTTCAAGCGTCATTGCATTATCGAATTAACGACTGATTCTATATAGACACTACTTTGTGCAATGTTGTGAAGTTTAATATATACATATTGGTCGCCTCGATCTTCCGATTGTTGTTTAGAACTGAAATTAATCAATTAATGTCATTATTTTTATTATCCTTTGTAATTATAGTAAGAATAATATTATTGTATTAGTTGTCAAGTTTCAATCTAGAGTGCATCAAGAAGAGATATTTGACTCCTATCATTTCCAGAAATATTTGTGTGTAAACACTGATTCACACACAAATAATCACTGACAAATCGAAGAATCAAAGAAATCCCTAATCCTATTTCTATCAATCCCCATATCTTTCAATCATAATTATATTTGATAGAAACAATAGGGAATAAATAAAAGTCATTTGGTTATCATTTTATCTTAATACACCATTCCGAATCAAAAACTTATGCACTATTTAGGCGTTAGCGATCCATCAATTCAAGCCCGTACTCAACATACAAAGACAAAACGTCCAAACTTTCACCCTTCGTTGGACCTAATTCTCTTCTTCAATAAAACGTAAAGTAGAATACCTCAATCATCAAATGTGAACAAAGTTTGTTCAACATAATTTGTACTTTATTCATTAAGTTTGTTTACTTTGCATTTGTTTTTGTTTTTCAAAAATGTTCGCTTTCTAACACTGTTACAATTTTATTGTCTCAATCTCTTTCCAAACAGTTTTTTTCAATCATGTAATATTCTACCCATCTATATATCCTCACTTCATAATAAATTTATTGTTCCCGAATACAAGTAGTCGTGTAAATCACGGTTAACTTTATGGGAAAAAATTGAAGTTTATTATTTTATAGTTGAAATCATGAGTCAGTTGAAGCTAGATCAACATAGAAAACCTAGAAGAACTGGACGGCCATTTCGTCATATTGTGAGACTCCTCAGCAGTGCGCATCCACGATCCCGCCTTGCGAGTTTCGAACCCAGGACCTACCGGTCTCGCATCAGAGCATTTAACCGATAGACCACTGAGCCATTCTGATTATAATCTTTATAAGTTGATCAATATTATTTTCTCATTCAAATCAGTTATTTATTGTCACCAAATGAAGTTTTCAATAGAGTATCAACTGCTTATTGGAGAAGAAAAAATTAACTTATATTAAAAGGGGTCATATATTAACCAATAAGAAAAAAAATTCTTCTATACCCTATTATTAATCCATGTAACATTAATTTTACGGGAAAATAAAATTAGCCAATTAAATTTTTACGGTATATAAAAATATATTTAATTAAAAACAAAAAAAAATTCAAAAAAATTTATTATTATTATTGGCGTCAAATATATGACAATGAATGAAATTTTTTAGTTACTACCAAAATAACCTACATAATTGATGAATGTAAATCATTGATTATATAATTCATAATCATTATTGGAAATTTTAAAAAAAAATGAACGGATTTACTATTGATGCTATTTTAGGGAATCAAATTGTACAACAAAATAATCTAACTATAAACAATACAAAGATGATCGGTGATAATCATTCTGAACAAATTAATACCTTGTATAAAACTTCGATGATCAATAATAATATTAAAGTTAATAGTATATCAAGTAAATGATCATTTGTTTTACATTACTGTATATACTATTGGTATTAGTTTTAATAGGTTTAAGAGTTTTTATTTTTAAAGAAAGGATTAAATATTGATTAATTGTTGGTTTATTTATGATATGATTATTGCTGATATCGAAAACAAGTGTAGTTGGTAATTTGAATTGATGTAATAACTAATTTTCTATTGTAATAATGATATGTTTACTAAAATTGTGAAAAGCTTTTGGAAAATAGATGATCATTTGATTAGAATCATATTGTAACTTATTCATCTCGCGTCGTGGATGCGCACTACTGAGGAGTCCCACAATAGGACGAAAAGGGCCATCCAGTGCTTCCAGGCTCTCCCTAGTGGTCTAGCTTCAATTGACTCACGCTTTCAGCTATGAAAATACTAAATCTTCACAAAACCCCTTCTGATAATAATTGCGAATAATTATCTGGAAGCTGTAAATCTAGATTTCATACCACTTGGTACTTGTTTACAAGATATATTTTCGATGTTGATGAAACTAATGTTTTATGTTAGGGATTAGAACTTGCACCACTCATTGTCACTGTAAGAAGGGTTATCTCTGAGTTATTTGAACTGATAGAATTGGATCAACATTAAAGATCAAACAAATAGTAAACTACTTGCTCCCTAATGACCAATCAGTATGTCATTTATCTTTTTGTTATTTCTAGGTAGGTAACCTCTTGTTGTGGGTTAAAGAAATGCTTTTTCATCCCGAATTCTTAGTGAACTAAAAAACACTGATCTCTTAATTTTTTTGATTATTATACTTAGTTGTTATGCTTGAATGTTCTAGCACATTTCCTCCTTCATTTCTTAGCTTTAGCAGTTCATTTTTTTGATCTGTATTAACAAACTTAGAAGTTAGCGATAAATGATATATAAGGTTTAACTGATAAGAAAAAAAATGAAAAATTTAAACTTACTTACTTACGCCTGTTACCCCTCGTCGAGGAGCATAGGCCGCACACCAGTATTCCCCGTCCAATCCTGTCCCAAACAATCCTTTCCAGTTCTTTCCAGTTAACATTCATCCTTTTCATATCTACTTCTATTTACCGGCGTCATGTGTTCTTTGGCATTCCTGTTTTCCGCTGTTGAGTATTTTGTATAGACATTTGTTTATAAATAATTGTACCTTCTTGACGATGGATGTAGTAGTTCTCAACGTTTCTGCTCCGTACAATAGGACTGTCTTTACGTTCGTATTGAATATTCTCACTTTGAAGTTAGTTGACAGTTTTTTTAAGTTCCATATGTTCTTCAATTGTAGAAATATTGTCCTTGCTTTGCCAATCCTCGCTTTTACGTCTGCATCCGATCCTCCTTGTTTATCAATGATGCTTCCCAGGTACGTGAATGTTTTCACCTCCTCCAGAGTTTCTCCATTAAGTACGATTGGGTTGGTGTTCTCCATGTTGTATTTGAGAATCTTGCTTTTTCCTTTGTGTATGTTGAGGTCCACTGATGCAGAGACTTCTGTTACACTAGTTGTCTTCATCTGCATTTGTTCGTGTGTATGGGATAGAAGGGTCAGTTCATCTACGAAGTTCAAATAATCTAATTGGTTACATTTAAACTTTGTAGTAAATAACTATTGAACCTGTTTTTAGACTAATAAATTATGTTTTTAATTCAGTGTGATTACTGATTACTAATTTTAAAAAATAACAGAGATTGCACAAGTGTATCTAAACTATTATTCTGTTACATCAAAGTGTATTTCTTTACGTTGTACTCTGGATAAATCGTGATACATTGACTTACTATGTTGCATTATTTAAATTAAACTGATTTACCGTTTTCTGTCATGTTCTATACAGCTTTATTGTCTGAGGATAGTTTAGACATTGACAAGTAGGCGGAAATAATGATTTTTTTCTGTAAAAATTAATCGCCAAGATATGAAATCAAAATTCGAAATATTGTCACCCAATATACTGCTGTTTGTTGTTAATAAAACTCAGATTTCCTTTTCATCATTAAATGTTGTATTCACAGGTCAAATTGAATAATATTAGTATATGATAAGATTAGTTACCTGGTTAGAGTTTCTTGTTATATGCTTGATGAAAATAAATTAAACAGTAAAAGCCAGTCTTTTTATTTATTCATTTATTTAAACACATAAATGTTGGTACAAGGAAGCACCAAATAAATATGCGCCGCACAAATCTCATTTGATTTGTGTGAGGGCTATGATACTGCCCGGGTGCCCGAACTGAAACAGGTGGTTTTCTTAGGGAGCCACACCCAGAGCCTTTGACCTAAAAGTCTGATCCACAAGGCAGTGGAGCATCGTGAGGAGATGCAGTCCCATTGTAGCCAGTGATCAACAATTGGTTCATACGTCAGTCCATGTGCACCATTGGTTTGGAATCAGGGTTTTCCGACTCCCCTAGGTGGATCCTCCACATCCACCAACCCGGTTAAAGCGCCGGACATTCGCTTTTCGTCCTCTCAATTTTGTAAACAACAGTAATGCCACGAGAATGCAGTGATTATGACTTCCCTGGCAGAGGCTATATACGCGTGGCCATGTGAGAACATTTCGAGTGAGAGTGCGGACACTCCCCATTCTCGGCCGTACCTAGGCATTTGGGGACTATAAGCCACTAATTAATTATCACTCAGATTATCTGGTGAAAAATTACTTGGTATATTGATGTCGTATATAAAAATAATTAATTTGTTAGAAAATTTTTAGTAAAATAAACAAAAAGTGCCTATTCTGTATTATTAATTTAAATATTTTACAATTTTTAGCTGACAGAATAACATTTGAATCAATTCGAACAATTTTACCCGAATATACATTTAATGAACGTCTAAATTATAGTGAGCTACCAGAACAAGACAAACATAACAATACTGATCAATTTGTAAATTCTAATAATTCTATGATCCAAAATGATGATAATATTGTATATAGTCCAAAAAATTATAAAAATCGTAGTCCACGTATACCATTTTCACGTGATCAAATATTTCGATTAGAACGAAAGTTCCAAAATTCAAAATATTTAAGTGGATGGGAAGTGAAACAATTGGCGAAAAATTTAAGTCTTACAGAAACACGCGTAAGTAAATTTATTAACATATTTGATGATATTATCAAAATTTAAATGTACATATTTTAAAGATTAATTTTTATCCCAAACATATATATATATATATATATATATATGCTTGAGGAAAATGGAGTTTATAGATCCTATTAAGCAGTTTTGCGAAGCTCCTCGGTTTCCTTAGTAGCCTAATGAGGACCCTTCTAAAATTCAATATTTTCTCATTAACTTAGAAATTCCTATCGGTTGCTTTGATAAACGGAAGGCTTGTTATACACAAAAAGTCACCTCTAAAGCATAGTTATACATTGCTTAAAATGTAGTGGATTTCTAGGGAGGACGTAATAACTATTTTAACACTTCTTTCCGTAATATTTACCATCACTGTATCAACGCCTAACCAAGTCGGTATGGAAATCAATCAATCTGATATTACAAACATACATTCACCTAGTAAATTATTGATCAATTCTTGCTAAATACTGCTCATCCAAATTATACAAATCTGTCCGTCAGTGTGATCATATAAAGTCATATGGAAAGTAGTGTATGCATATATCAATTTGATTTATTTTGGTGGTCAAATAATTCCTTATCACCGATCTTTGGTTTCCACTACTAATCGTCGGATTTGAGGTTTCAATCACTAGCTAGTCAAGTGAATCCACAAACATAATAAGTTTATAGTATGGTAGGTGTCTCCTAGAAACTATCTTATTTATCGAAGGCTATAGCATCCTCCTAATCCAGTACCAATTTACTCTGAATATATTTGTCGGGAGACAAGTATCTGCATTGAAAGTTGTCTGTGTGTGAAATGAAAAGAATATACATAAGACTGTTATTGATAATCAGTTAAGCACAAGTTTAAATCGAACTGAACTTAGTTTGTTTCCTCTTGGTGATTGTAATTCTTTAAAATCATTTTAATTTAATCGTAAACGTTATAACGAAGACAAGATTATTGCATCGTCAAGTAAATAAATAAGCAATAGTGTTATTAATACATATATCTAATTAATTTAATCGAATCCTACAGTTCTATTTAAATGGCATTATTCTATGATATTAAACGTATGAATACACGTCAGGTTGACTAGTCGGTTAGCTAGTGAGCGAGTTAGTTAGATTAACCATCTGTTTAAATAATTATAAAATTTATGGAATAGTGAATTAAGATGAAATGATAACCAAATGACTATTATTTATTCCTTACTATTTCTATCAAATATAATTATGATTGAAAGATGTAGAGATGGATCGAAATAGGATTAAGGATTTCTTTGATTGTCTTATCAAGTCTATTTGTTAATGGTCATTTGTGTGTGTGTGTGTGTGTGTGAATCAGTGTTTACACACAAATATTTCTGGAAATGATAGGAGTCAAATATCTTTTCTTGATGCACTTTAGATTTAAACTTGACAACTACTAATACAATAATATTACTCTAACATTACAAAGGATAATAAAGATAATGGCATTTTGTTGTTACGTAATTATTCACGTTTCAACCTAGATATTAAATTTTAAAAAAAATTATGGACTTATAATAGAAAATTAGTTGAATTATACATTATTCAATTAAGTTATGCTATCATATTTGAAAACGGGTTCTAGTAAACTAATACAATGATAAATATGTTCACTAATTTAATTAGTATTTGAGTAATATTAAGGATGATCTTAATGATTGTATTGTTCCGGTAAAATAAGTAACTTGATAAAGTGAAATTCATAAAATCTAATGTATTTGAATTATATACAAATGTAACTTCTGAACGATGTCGTTCAGAAGGACGATGAAAGCTTCACGACCAAACCATCCAGCTCAGAGAACAAAACTCCATCAAAATCATCCACCTGAGCTACAAATCTTCTCCACTATCACAAATGTAACTAAATAACTTTATTAGTAGTAAACATATCATTTTCAAACTGTATATAAATGAAAGTAATAAAGATATATTTTGTTATATGAGGTTAAAGCTTCTCATGTTGACAACACTTTTATTGGTGGATTTCAATGAAAGTGAATAATTGAATGCAATAACGTGTAGATTCATTAAGATGATTTTTTAATAATTAATTAAAATCAATTCCGAGATGCAGATACATCCAGCTGATGAGTCTCAAGTGAGACGAAACGTGCGTCCTGGATTCCACTGCTAGCCACTATTCATCTTTGCTTAAAATCTATTACAGTTGTAAAGATTTTCGCATTCTTTTAGTTTTGTAATTATATATATATATATATATATATATATATATATGCCTTAAAGATTTTTGTTTTTAAAAATAAACATAGATTACAATGCTATTAAAAATGAAGGATAACTTCAAACTATGCTATCGACTTAATCTCCTACTTATAAGTAGTTCACACATGTAATCAGTAGACCTTATATTCTTAAGTTAGAATGATAATTTAACTAATTATGTTTTTCATGAGTCAGTTGAAGCTAGACCACCATCGAAAACCTGAAAGCACTGAACGGCCGTTTCGTCCTATTATGGGACTCCTCAGCAGTGCGCATCCACGAACCCGCACTCACGAGATTCGAACCCAGGACCTACCAGTTACGAGCCAGAGCCCTTAACCGATAGACCACTGAGCCGGCATCCAACGGTGTTAATGTATAACTTCGTAGGTGCGCGCTGCTGATGAGTCCTATAATAGGACGAAACGGCCGTCCAGTGCTTCCAGGTTTTCCATGGTGGTCTAGCTTCAACTTACTCAGGATTTCAACTTTGAATCATACTAAATCTCCACAAAACCCCTTCTGATTATAATTATGTTTTCTGATTTCATCTATTGATTGATCTATCATGATTATTAACCATGTATATATTATTGCTTTTCAAATGGTCTAGATGACTCCACAGATCAAAACTTCCCATAAGAATTTCTAGAAACCCATCAATTATTTGTTGATAAAAGTAGATTATGTTCAATTAAGAGCTTTGTGAAAATCTGGTCTTTTCAATTTAATTACATCTTCAAAGTAATTTAAGTAGTAGTCAGTGTTTTTGTATTGAAAATATGTTTTAAATATAGTACTCTAAATGTTAATCATTATGAATTATTTCCGTGTTCGAATACAAATAATAGAAATTTGAAGATTTAGAAAGGTACTACACGAAAATATAAATTTTCTTGAGGGATTGGATACATTACGTCAACGATTGACATGGTATGTATGATGACTAGATTAACAGTTTAGTGAACATTATAATTTGGGAAAATATTGTCTATAAACAGCTTCAGATAGAAACAAATTTTATAAAGTTGAGATCATGAGTCAATTGAAGCTAGACCACCATGGAAAATCTGGAATCACTGGACGGCCATTTCGTCCTATTGTGGGACTCCTCAGCTGTGAGCATCCACGATTCTGCCTCGCGAGTTTCGAACCCAGGATCTATCAGTCTCGCGCACTGAGGAGTCCCACAAAAGGAAGAAAAGGCCGGCCAGTGCTTCCAGGTTTTCCATGGTGGTCTAGCTTCAATTGACTCATGATTTCAACCATATAAAATTATATTAGTTATTGTAATTTTAGGTTGTATCCGGCTGATGAGAAACTGTGAATTACAATGAATTCATTTTATCCGGTGAACCTTGTTGTTCTTGGTGTTTAAATGTCAATTCAACTAATACTTATAACGTTAAATGTTGATTAATCACACATTTCTAAAATGGTCTGATACAAATAAAAAATTTCGCTAGTTATTTACTTTATTTAAAGTTTTATTTAGATTCAGAATGGTTCAGTTTAGTAAAGTGAGATTCAATGAGGAATATCAACTCATGAAGAAAATAATATCTTATATTTTTGTATTCTGTATTTAGTGCACATTTTACTGATCTAACTAGGACTTAAAACTTATTATAGCCATTATATTAAAGTAAGATTCATTAAAATACATTTGTATATAGTTATTTATAAGTGAATGTTACAGATTTTAATCAAATAAATTTTTTCTGTAAATAATAAGTAACATGTAACCACCGTTCAAGCAAATAATCTCCAACAAGACGAATAGCAACTCTTAATTTATCCGAATGGTAATTTATTTGCTTCGTACAGTAGGACTGTCTTGATGTTCGTATTGAAGATTCTCACTTTGAAGTTAGTTGACAGTTGTTTGGAGTTCCATATCTTCCTCAATTGTAGAAATGCTGCTCTTGCTTTGCCAATCCTGTGCAACAAACTAAATGCTAATAACCAAAGTTATTATTAAAACTTTGCGACCAGTAAAACATAACGTTTCGAAATAAAATACGAGAAGAAAATTTAATGGTAGTTTTAACGACAGAATTCTATCAAAGTTAAGAGCAGTAGGAAAAAAGAGAAATACTGAACTGGTATACAATAAAAAAGTAGAATATACTTTTCCTATCTTGTGTTTACATGATACAATATAGACGCTGGCTCAAAATTCCATGGTACATAATTATGATTTCAGTCAACATTCGACGTTGGACAATGATAATGTAGTGTTGTTGGGGTTATCTGTATCATCCATAGTCTGACCTAACCCAAATGATCACAAACGTTCTACCTAATTAGCATAAATAATCATTTGATATCAAACGCCAAGTCTACTGAATGATGTCTAATTAACGCAGGATATCGAATTCACTGACTTCTGTAATTCCTTTGAGGAAAGATCTCCATTGAAATCGCTTCAAATTACCTATATGTTGGTGAATTTTTCATATTAAAGAGATTTTGCAGGGTTCTCTCATTTTCTGACTAGTTCTTATTATTGTACATCAAAATAATATAGGAAACAATTGGAAATATGTCAATGAAAAAGGAAAAAATTTCAATCAAAATATAAACAATATGATTATCTAAACTATTTTAAACTGAATTAAAAGTCATACACATTTCACAAGTGAGTGGCCGTTCGGGCTCAGTAGCTAAGTCGATAATGCAATAAAGTTCTGGGCAAACAGTATTGGGGTTCGAGTCTTGGAGTGGACATCAGCTTTGAGTTCCAGGCACATTCAGCTGTCAAGTCCTAACTAGGACGAAACGCGGGTACTGGTTTCAACTGCTAGCCATAATCTAATCAAATATATATTTAATACATCATCGTTTTTGAGTTGCTTAAATAAAAATATTGGTATAATTTTTTGTCATAATTTACTAAGCCTATTTGTTATTCGTTGTTATTGTTTCTTTTGCAAAGGTTAAAATATGGTTTCAAAATCGTCGAGCCAGAGAACGTCGCGATTCTATTGAATTTAATTCACACAATGCTATAAAAACTTTGAAAACAGATAATGATTATTTTAAACAATCTTATCATGAACCTGATGAATATATAATACAAAACAGTTATAATTTAAGTTCGATAGCAACTGATAACCAAAGTGATCATCAGTATAAACATAACAATTCACTTTCAAATTCTTGTATATCATCTTTACCATTTACTGCATTCCATTCAAATTTAGAAAAATCAGATTTCATTTTCAATTTTATTCCGGATATTAAACAGCCATTAAATCGGACTAATAATGAGTTATTAATCCCAGTATTGATCAAGAATGATCTTGCGAATATAGATAAATAAAATGAACTATTAACTGATATACCTAACATAACTGCTAATAAAGTTATGCAACCTAATAATAATAGTATTGATAATAATGATAATAATTATTTCATCATGCCTGTGACTCATAATTCGGATACATTTTCAACTATATAAGAATATTTCTAGTTTTTATTTGACAATGAATGATGTAAAAGTAAATTTTCACAACTTTTGATGTGTACTTTTTTCGAATTATTTCTTCCGCCTAAACAGAGATTTATTCAGAAATATATTCATTTTGCTACATCTTTAGTGCTTTATTATTGGACAGATAATGGCTGAACCAAATATTAAGCGAATCCACTTTAATAAGTCTAATTTTTCATTATTTCTTCAAGGAGAGAATGTAATATTTTTAAACAAAATTATCATACGACAGCTGATTCATAGGAATTTTAGTTTCGTGTCTTCCATGGTTTATTTGAAAGTCATCTTGGAAATACTCTGCATACTTTGTTGATTAATCACTATAACGAACTATGATATCCATCCAGAACCATGAGTGTTGGTTCAACTGATAAAATGAGTCTTAAACAACTTGAAAAAAAGAATTTCCGCAATGTGTACATTATTTGCAACATATTCATGTTACTCAACGACTCAAAAAGGTAATCACAACATCTCTTCCATAAATATTAAAACGTGTACTTGATGTGAAGGGGATCAAGTGTGTTAATAATTATTCAGATGGTATGATGAACAAAGTAGTAGAATTAGATGAAATATCTGAACCAGTATCTTCCTCAACTGTTCAATATGTACTCTAGTAGTCACGGATGATTAAGAATTCAAGTCAGAGAGAATGTACAAAATATATGTCTTCGAAATCCATTCTCGTATTTGACTTATTTGATTCCGTTATTCACCAACGCGAATTAAGTCATTTATTACATACAGGATGCAAATTTTGACAACAATCATTCATATGATTTAATTGGAGTCAGATCATTGGCCCTACAAAAATACAATGAATGCACATGAAGGTATCATTTTATGATTCCGAAATCAGTTGTATAGATGACCAATAAAACTATGAAACGGTCTTCTGTCAATTAATACTCCAAAACTTATAAAAAGAATGAACACACAAAAATAAGTACATATATATAAAGCATGAGTGTGTGATAAGCTGATATACAATGTTATAATGTGTGTATGGCTTATTATTACAAAATAATTGATACCCAGCAATTAGAAGAGGAACAGCACAACTAAATAACATCATTAAATAATGATAATAATAATAAAAATAAAAAAAAAAAAAATAATAATAATATAGATACTACTACTAATGATAATAAACTTTTTAATTAGAGACACATTAGACAGAAATCAAATTTACCCACGAATTGAAATTTATTTATTTAAGTGAGGATGACAAAGGGAATAAACATAAATTTATTATGAATGGATAGAAAACAAATTAGCTAGACGTAAATAGGTTTGGTTAAGGAATTTGTATAAGATTTAGACGGTAGTGTGAACATAACGTTTAGGTCTGTTGATTATTATGTCATAGCGAGTTGTTTGTTCAGTTAATGTCGTATTTCGGTTTTGATGGTTCTGTGAGGTCAGGTTCTATGTTTGACTTTGAGATTTACTGTTTTGTTGACTATCTAGGAAGGTAGATCTTGATCTGTCTGTAAAGGAAGTGTCCTTCTTACTATTTTTTTGTTTGAAGTACTTTTCTGTTCACTCTGAGAATTCAAATAGCCCTTCGGATGGTGGGGAGGTGGTATACTGACAGCGCCAATTTGAACAAAGGCAAATTTGGATGTTTTTTTAGATATTTACTAACTTGTTCGTAATGTACGTTTGCACATGTTCGTATTAGTGTGGTGTGAGTTACTTGTATCCACATAAGTAGTATATAATGATGGTCGAGCATTGAGTGCGTTTCAGTAGAAGATCGGTAACGAAAGAACAGGAACGAAACGCAATTGATATGAAGATGCATGAACAATAATAATCGGAGACGATGGACTGATATTTGCAAAAGGAACGGTCAAGATTGAGATAATTGATTGATAGTTTGCAAATTGGCTATTTACAATATGGTTCTCATATTTTATTGAGATATTCTGTAATTTTGTGCTTGAATAAATTCGATTGTCCCCACTCGTCTTCTTGTTCACTACAAGAATTGTAATTGCTACGCGGTTCGTAATAGTGTGTTTTCGAGAGTTATTGTATCCCCTTATGGTTTTAATTGCCCAGCAACACTAAAGTTGTTACACATACGTATTCGTCTTATGTGCATCCTATGTCCTCTTTCACCGATAAAAGTACTCCGAGGAGAATAAAGGGTAGGGCATTGCTCCACTTGGTAGTATTAGACAGAGACATAAACAAGTTTCTTAATTACCTTTGAAATCTTTCCACAAGACCGTTAGCTGCTAGGTGGTAGGCTGTTGTCTTTATGTAACATGTTCCTAACAGTTTAGTGAATAATCGGAACAAAACCAACTGAAACTGAGGATCCCGATCAGTAGTGATGGTAAGTGGAACGCCGTAATTGACAATCCAGGGATCAAGGAATACTTAAGTTATTAATTTGGATAAAGTACCATTTATGGGACAGGTTGTAAGATCTATTTTGAAAATTTTGTGCGTGAAAATCCCTCCATGCATACATTTGCAATTTGTTCTTATTGGTTTCTTTACTGGTACACTTTATTAGTCCTTTTGATGCCATTTGAGATTGCAATATTTTATTATAGTTTTTTTAATCTTTCTTTCACCATCTTTGAGTTTCTATGTTTCTTCTTGAACTGCACTTATGCTGTTTTAGATGGTAATTAATCTAAGTGGCAGTCATACTGATTGTTCCCCATTTAGCTGTGTTGCTTGTATTGGCTGGGATTGTGCATTTTGATTGTGAGTTTAAGCACTTTTCCAGAATTGGAAGCACTTTGTCTTATAAAGCAACAAACTAGTATCCTTTGAACGGATTTTTACTTGATCTATCCAGAAAGGATAAAATGGTACTTATTTTTGGTGCGTCCGGTAATTTTCTTACATTCCTTACCAATTTGTTTATTTATTGTAATTTAGATCGATTATTGGGGGAATAATTATTGGTTGAACAACTGAGCGGTAATATTTGTTTAGGTAATAATGTACGTTTGTATATATGAGGAAATTTGGAACCGTTATTTTCCCAATCCTCTTGTTTTGATTTCAACTGGGCGATAGTGTGTGTCTGAACTACCTGGGCAGTTGTTCTTCACCCAAACCTTAGTTTGAATCTTACACAGGCTACAGTTCATATAGTGAACAATGTCCAAGTACACGTGTTGAGATTGTCTATCTGGTGTTTAGAATTTATCTTGTGTACAGACTGTGTATGGTCGGTTCCTTTTGTGTTCGGACTGGATGAACACCCTTGTCACATTCTAACATTTGTCTTCATATGGCACCAAACGAAACGTTAAGCTATATGTCTGGTTGTTGCTGGAATTCTAGGTTTTGAGCGTGTTGAAATGCCCGTTTTTGACACTCAGGGTATTAAAGGATGACCAGTATTTGTGACAACATCCTAAATGATAACAGAATCCGAAAAAAGAGTTGAGACCTGTTTAGGTTGTAGTAGGCGTCTAGTCGAGGATGGACTATAATCACTACTACAATACGATTACGTGCCCAGAAACGACTTGATTCCTTTGATAACTCGCGAACCAGAAGGTTTTAATTAGTCCACATAAAGTATATTTATTGGCGATCTCGTGGTATCGACAGAAAACCGAGACGTGCCAACGAGTACAGGCAAAATGGGCAGAGCGTTAGAAAGTTCGAACCGAACAAGGCGGATAGCGGAACAAGAAGTGAGTCTGGTACGGTTAAACAAGTACAGTAAAACAATCGCTGGTGCAATTGGTTACAATAATAATGATTGTTTCTATTATTCCAATCGTGTTCTTATCGAGACAGGCCGGTCACTAAAAGGTAATAATGTGAATCTTTCTTTGCATACTTTTTTATTCAATATAATCTACCTGTGCCTTTCATACGTACACTAAATCAATGTTTGACCCCTGGGTTAAAAAACTGATTTCTGTTTGGGATAACGCATCAGCCACGATATTTGCATTTCCTTTTACAAACTATGCATGTGAAGGGGATCGCGTGATGTGTTCCAGTTGTCATACTGTGATGTTTGGAAGTATATGAATTATTGTACAAACTATAAATCTCCGAAATAGCCCAATCTAAGTAAACAGAACTAGGGGAGCACAGACGATAACATTGTGTTTGGAATTCAAAATCAAGCACACAACCAATACAAAATAATCATTAATTCACATAGTGAACGTCGATCATAGGACGTGTTGACTGAATTGCACAATGGTTTGTGATCAGTCTTTACTGTCGCTTACCTTCCTTGCAACTGAATAGGATAGTTGTTTGTTGTTGTCTGTACATTTAAACAACAATGATCTCCATATGGACGCCAGTCATTATTGTTCTGGTCTACCATGTTTAGTGAAGAAGCCCATGAGCCACTGATTGTCATATGATGCCCAACTCCGACATGTTTTCTAACTATCTCTCAGAGATTTTCAATTTTTCAGGCTCATTCTGAGTGGCTTTGCATTGACTGGTTGGATTTAGTAACGAAGCAGTGCATTATATGGCCATATGCCTTGCCAATTTGGTAACCAGGTTGTAGCGGTAAATAAATTTCAAAATTAATAGCTCTGTAAGTGTTCGACATTGGATGCTTACCAAATTAGTTTTAATGAACTCACCTAGCTGAAGGCGCTCGGTCATGCACCCACACCAGATCACGAGTGCGAATGCTGCGTTCACCTTCTCCTGCGATCACTAGCCAGTCTAGATCAGTCGATTCTTGATATATTGATACCCTATCAAATATATCTTCGAACCCCATCGATTCCGACATTTGATTTTACTATGTGGGAACTATTTGTGTTATGTGTTACAGGTTAAAACGTTGTCAAACTTCAAATACCTGTGACATCCTCAAGGTCCTGTGATTTAGTCAAGCTCATACAAATTACCACCAAATGCAGTTTTTGTTGGCTTTACTGATTGGATGGCACAAATTTTACTGCTAGTAATAAGGGCAATAATTCGAAGTCATGAGTTCGCATCGATAAGTTCCTTCCTATTCTTGTTAATAAGTACTTCATAAAAACATTGAAAATCCGCTCTCGAAATAGTTCGTTTTACCTGGACTACAATCAAGATCCATGACAAAGTAGGCCGGAGTCTAGTTCGAATGTTTGCTCTCCACCAGTAGGGATGTGGATCCTATCTTTCGTTTCCAGAAATATGTTACCTTTTGTAGGGCGTTTTCGTCTGGACAGTATAGGTGGGATTGTGTTAACCTCCTTACCAGTGTCAACGAGAAATTCCGTGTCTGACATCGTATCTTAGATATAAAGATGACTAACTATCTGGCTATGGGTATTCGTCACCATAGCTGTCTGGCTGGCCCGTTTTCCGAGATATCTCGATCAGTTGATAGAAAGCCACACGGTCTTGTGGATTTCCGCGCTTTTTTACCCTACTCCCCACTGTACTAATTGATATATACTCTTGGTTTTAGTGGTCTTGATCCAGATCTGTATAATGGTTTATTTCCGAAAGAAGACCTCATACCCAGGAAACGAATGTCAAACAATGTTATGATTCTTGCCCCTGTCAGTTATCACACGACAAAATAGCCAATCAGAATGCCACCTTATGTGAACTTTTCCCTGGGTTAAACTAACGGTACGCGGACAAGCACTAGCAGCGTCACGTCAACTCTGAATTCTCGTTAGTCCTCTGAGGTAGTAGCTTACGGCCTAGCCCAGTTCTTTCAGTCAAACACATAAACAACAGCCTCCGCTGTGTGACTCGTTTATTTCGAACACACTCAGTTTATATAGAGACAGACCAGACAGTATCACACCACAAAATGAAAAATAATAATCAAATAATAATCAAAAAAGGCTGTGAGCGTGTGATACTGTAACCGATAAATTGGGAATAACGTAGGAGTACTGAATCGTTTAATAGTAGTCCATAGGTCAAAACAAAGCCCATAACTAAAGGAATATGAATATGTAAATGCAATAAAGCCACTTTATAATTACCCAATAAGAATATATGTAATAATAGTCTATAACTAAATCATAGCAGTTAGCATTGATTTATTCCCCGTTCGGATATAACAGACATCGTTGATTGTAAATTGATGAGTTGTATCTAGGATCTGTTGTTGTCATATCTACTCCTGTAGTGGCGTGCTTCGTTAATCGATCGTCTCGATAACCGTTACTATATCAATCTGAACGGTGTATAATATCAGAAGACAAAGGGAAGCGGCAACTACATTTTTATTGACAAATAACATAGGCTAGAAGGCAGTGAGCACATGAGCAAATGTTAGCGAGCGAAGTAAAAATGACATGCATGGGAGATGGTAAGCCAATTCGCTATGAGCAAGCATTAATGAACATTTATAGTCAGACAAAAATGAATGACAGACATGTGATAGGTAGGATAAGAAGTGTGCATACACATACGCTCATATAAAAAAATAGTCAAGGTCAATAAGCGAATAATTAACAAGATCAAAATATGACTCATAACGTTATAGGTGAATAGGCTTGTCCAGAAACTAGAATAAGCTATGTAGGTGTAAGATAGTACACGACGTTACACTACTCCCCACACACCATTCGTTGCAACTGTTATTCGTACTACTCCTACTCTACGAAGATCGCAATATACTTCTACCATCCAGTCAGCCATTTCAGCCAAGTCTTTGAGAGTGATTGACCTATTCGATACATACAGAATTTGTTGCATATGGCACGTAACCTGTGTAACCACTGCTGTCTTTAAAGCTAGTCGTCTAGTTTATAGATTACGACCTACCGTTTCACGTACTGAGAAAAATGAGGTTACTTTCTGTCACCAAGGTCACAAATGTCCAATGAATGGAGGAGTCTCTCTCGTTTGCGGCTTAAATACGTTGTATGACTGCAGCCTTTAGTTTATCACACGGCGGATCCTCTGCTATTTGATCAATGAGGTCATCAACTTCACATTCGAATTCTGCGGAGATCGCGCCCACTACATATGCATGTTTGGTGAGTCTAATCCAGGAACTAAAAATGGGGCTTCTACATATATAAACCGAATTCTAGAATTCTTTGCACCGCACGCCGGACATAAATCCAAGTGTTCATGTGTAACCAACAGTTAATATGCTTTATAAAGTGAGCTGAAACGTGTGCAGCGGGAGTGTTAATAAACAGTTAGAAAACAGCGGCCAACAAAATTCATAACTAGTCGTGCATGCGAATACATTTATTAAGCGAATAATAATCAGTAAGACATCAGAATGATGAATAAGAATATAGGAAGTCAGCCTAGATAAAACCCTCTTTGGGTAAAGTCGGATCTTCAATAATTGAGTTGGATGATGCAAAATTACAGTAATAACAGGAACTGTTACCGAATTAAACTTATTATAGTTATCCCCACAACAATACCTGACCTTCCTAAATAGAGTAAGATCTTTGATGTAAATGGATTACATTCAATAAGTCGAACTATGAAAAATAGACTGTGTTGTGGAAGAGTAGTTTGTCTGCACGGGTATCTCTGAATGTATGAAGTTGACTGTTGTTTGTTTTTCTGTTCTAAAGTCTCAACTATAAGATTTGATTGTTCAGCGTGCGAGGATTGATCTGTTGGGTTGTAATGGGATTTAGAGCGCCATGTATGGTGTTGTTAACGGATTCTGTTTCCTTTCTATTACAAGGCAACCAAGGTTAAATTATTTCAAAAAAGAAGAGCAAGCCCTGCATGCACTGAACTTACAAGATGACTCATTATGCGCGATTGTGACTCCACAGTCATCACCGATGGTCGATATTCATCAAATGAACTTGCTAGCTAGGAAACAGAGTACTGTCCTTTTCAAGTTATCTGCATCTACTAATGGGCTACGGAGCAAGTGTCCTCTTAGCGGGCCGGGCACCAGCCCTTTGGTGAAACACGAGCGTACCAATTCCTTTTGTCCCATGACATCTAGACGAGAAAATGCCAAAACTGCTATTTGCTGCAAGGAGTTGAAGTAGTTCATCGGATTCTCACTTATTTTCTGGTGACATGATAAGAACTGGATAGTCACTTGCTGGGTGTCCATTTCAGTGCATGCAGGGCTTTCTCTTCTTTGAAAGCATATAACCTTGGTCACCTTGTAATAGAAAAAACAGAATCCGTTAACAACACCATGCATGGTGATCTCAACTGCATTAATGGTTGTAACGGTATTAAAAATCATTGCATACGACGTTGCTAGCGTAAGTTTGTTTTCCTTAGTGCAGAGTAAACGTACTGAAAGGAGAGGAACAAGCCCTACGTAAGCTGAACCTACAGAACAATGAATAAAACTATTTTGTAATAAGTTTCCCTTTTTGTACTCGTACCGCGTCTTTCAGTTTTAAAAATATCTCTTGTGCCAGTACACCGCGTTCTTACTTCAGAAGCATTTACCGGTCCTGACTGTTGTGTTGTTGTTTCAGATCTCTCCTGCTTCCAAGTGGACGCTAATATAACGTGCTATAAAGTATCAATCGAGTTGAGTTGAACTGCAGCCCAACTGTTAACGTTGCAGTATGTTTCTGTGCATGTTAGCTTACACGTTTATTTTATTTGCCACAATTCCCATACTATACCGGGTTCCAAAAGTACAGTACTATGTCAAATTTTCTGTTCTCTGTTTATTGATCCTTATTGGGTCATTCTTTTATTCCATTCGGTTGGCTTTCAAAGGTCGAAAATATGAAAATGCTTGGTAATAACCTTTTCCTCATAACTTTTCAAGGATGTTTGTAAAATATCTAGCATTTGCTGGGAGGATGATTGGTTTGAATCCTGTTGTTGAGGATGGCCATCTTCTGCCTGAGGAACCATGTATTTACGTCTTGAATCATCAAAGTTGCATAGATGTCACAGGTACTCATCCACACAGATTCTTACTTCCTGTGATAATTTAGGTGTGGGGGATGTATGGCCAAAACGCTGCTCGGTAGTTTCCAAAGCTTCACTTAAATTCATGGGTTTTTTGGGAATAATTATGTGGCTGAGCAAGACTATTTCCATTGATAGGTCCCATCATACAGATGCTATTTCTGCCATGGAGAATGCTGCCATAGCAGCCAAACAGAATAAGGTAAATGCTTTTCATTTCGACGTTTTCACTAGGTCTCGATTTTGATTTTTCCTGAGGGCACAAGATCCGATGCTGTTAATCTTCTGCCCTTTAAAAAGGGTGCATTCCACATGGCCATCGAGTGTCAAGTAATACCTGATATTACTTACTAAGATTAAGTTTCCGATTCAACCTATTGTCATTGAACCGTATGCAAAGTTCCTCGACCACAAGAAGAAACTTTTTAAAAATGGTGGGTTTATTTTCAGGAATATATTGACGAATGAGACAATGATTTATGGACGACCTTTGAGCGACTCTAAAGTGACTTTGAGAATGTCCACCAATTTAACAAAGGCAAATGAGAGTTATAAACCTATTTAAAAAACAAAGATTATGACTTACAGTTAGTGGTCGCGGTTAGGAATTAGATTTAGGGTTTCCATTACGAACTGGCATCAGCTAAAATGCGAAAACGCTATTTGGTCAAATTGATGAATGAATTTCGAGCCTAGACCCGAAACCTGTTGTCCTAAATCAAATTGGTTCGTCCATAAATTATAGTCTCGCCAATTGATGATTAAAGAGCATTTCGATTTATAAATGTTTATTCTGTATTTGAGTTGAAAGCTAAGAGTTCTCATCCATTTTTATGCTCCTAAAACAACTTTGTTTTGCCACATTTGTGTTTTTTTCGGGCCATTTCTGGTTGACCGCTAGGTTTATTCCTGAAGCATAAATTTTCTAATTTTATAAATGATTATAATTCCACCTTATTGGGAAGTATTAAACAGTGATGCAGTCACTCACTGTGTCAAAAAGTTTCTCTGCTTGAGTAATTCAGTAATCTCAGTATTTATTCCCCCCTCACTTGGCCATATTTTCAATTCGCTACATCTATTTCTATATTAGCAATCAGTTTGTATATGTATGAATAACACAGAAAATATGTAGCTTGTAGACTTAATGAACACACCTAGCAAAATAACTAAAGTGTAGATTCATTTTATGATCTATGCTCTCAGTAAAAGTTAGGGAAGACTCGTTGACACATGCTGAAAAACGATATTTTTAGCTTACTATGTTCTTATTGTACTAAATAGCGTTGTTTTGGTAGTCTCTCACAACTTTCGGTATATGACCGTAGGGTTTATCATAAACTCCACAGTTTCTGAACCGCACGTTCTTTGCGGGCACTTTAGCTGCTTAGGAAGACGAACCGGTTAGTTTGTGACTCCGTATGATTGAAACTAAGTGTGTAAGACTGGGACCTACTAAGATCTTGAGTGAGTTCTAGAAATCATTCAACGCCCCAACTTGAAGCAGTGTCAAACATACCTCATCATCGGCAATACTGCTGAAATGTTATCGTATTCATAAAAACGGAATAGACCTTGTCCATTAATGTATGTCTTGACTGTATTTTCAATTGCCCTGCATTTTAACACTTGTTCATTCATTTACTAGTCGTACAATTTCCCTTCTATTTTTTCGGGATTTCGCTCAACCATGTGTGGAGCGTTTTTCAGTGCGCTATTACTCCGGAAGTTTTCTGTTGTGTATGAATGTAGGTTAAAGATATTAACTCGATATCTGATTTACATTAGTCTGTATTACGCAACCAAATGTATTTTTACTGGAGCTCAGGTCAGCTGGCTAATATATATATTCAACTACTGAGTCTTCTGCATTGAGTCCTAGGACAAACCTATATTCACTTTATCAACTGCCCGAACACTAATTTCACCTAATTATATGCATTATCTGTAGGTGCCAATCTTGAAATCCAGTTTCTTCATTGTTTAGGTTGTACCGTTGGCATAAAGTAGCGAGAGCAACTATGAATTAACCAGTCCCACTCGACCTTTGTTTATGTAACTTGAAAGTATGTGTAATGTGATGAGGTGAGTGTTCATAAATTGGGTAACTCAAAGTAGACTCTATACATCACATATCAACATTACTTATACAGTGTTTATTTCATCATCTGGTTTTTCGTTGAGCTTGCAGTGGTAGTAAATAGGTGGTTGTGTATTCGTTAATAGGTTTGTATCGAACTCCATTCAATTAATTTCTTGTTCAAGAAACTACAAAGTTAGAATACTTAAATTTTGAAATTATAATAACATCGTTCATGTTTGTTTTTATAACTCAGCCACTTACAAAGTGAAGGTCCTGCCGAAAATTGACACTAAGGGAATGAATAAATCACATGTTGATCAACTTCTCAGTGAAACGCGTGAAAGAATGGTTGCCGCATTTGAAATGATGAAGGACCAACTTCAAACTGAATAATTTTTTTATACATATGACCCATGTACTTTTGTTAGTTCATTATGATGATCAATAATTGCTTTTATTTTTGTACCTAAACTTACAAAGTCCAATTTCCCAACTGGTAATCTATACTAAATTAGTACCCTCCGTCGGAAAATTTTTTTGGAGTGATTTATGTACCCCCAAAACCATAAGAATTATACCTAAATATGAAGTGCTACATTTTAGTGTTGCCTCTATTTTTCGAATAACAATAAAAGAACTAGTCAGTAATCTTTCACACGAAGAGTGCTGATTCTTAATGATTAGTACTTAAAAAGTGTGAATATACGGGAGTAGAATTATAGCGGCTACTAAGTAATCATAATAAAAAGAATTTTGTCTTGAAGGTATCTGGTTATGACAAGGTAATTTGGTAACAAGCCTAGTCATGATCTTATCATTTCGTCGGTGGTATAATACTTTTTTTGTATATTTAATGCATTAACCGTACGTGCGAACAATTTTGAAATAAATAAGTAATTTACCCTTGAGGACATGATTTAACGTTTGTTTGATTTTGAAATCAACAACTAAGTAGTTGTCCTCCGTTTAAATTTCGATTGTTGAGATATTCCTTACTTTTTGTCTTGTTAATTTTTACTCAGCTTGTTGTAATATGTGATGTACTAAAACCATAATGGGCGTTCTCTCAGATTGTACTTTAGTGACTTGTAATATTTCATCTTTATTCATTATTTTAATCACGAAAGGAAGATAATATACAGCCCCCAAATGCCCTGATACGGCCGAGAGTGGGGAGAGTCTGCTCTCCCTCTCGAAATGCTCTCATATGGCCAGCGAATATATAGCCTCTGCCAGGGAAGTCCTACTCACTACCTTCTCGTGCCACGGGTGTTGTTTATGAAAGTGAGAGGACGAAAAGCGAATGTCCGGCGCTTTAACCGGGTTGGTGGATGTGGAGGATTCACCTAGGGGAGTTGGAAAACCCTGATTCCAAACCAATGGTGCACATGGGCTCCAGGATTCTGAAGGAGCGAATGGCGTATGAACCAACTGTTGGTCACCGGATACCATGGGACTGCATCTCCTCACGATGCTCCACTGCCTTGTGGATCAGACTTTTAGGTCAAAGACTCCGGGTGTGGCCCCCTAAGCAAACCACCTGCTTCAGTCTGGGCACCTGGGCAGTATCACAGCCCTCACACAAATCGAATGAGATTTGTGAGGCGCATATTTATCTGGTGCTTTTTTTCTACCAATATTTATGTGTTTAAATAAATAAAATAAACATCCGTGTGATCACTCAGCCAGATTAGCTTATCGTACTAACTTAGGTAGTTTTTGTCCACTTGTTTTGACTACGTGTAGGAGGTTCCTTTGGAGTTTAGTTTGTGACAAGGATACTTATCTACTTTGATGAAGGATCCATCGTGTAAGGTTTTATCTCTAATTTTGATTTATGCTAAGTGTAGATAAAGCTATCCTAGGTATGTCTAATTAGTACTAGTCCGAATATTATTATTTTTCATTGTATTATACTGCTTGGATATCTAAGTGTAACCTACAAAGCATGAAAGCATTCCTAAATGTATCCCCACAATTTATGGTCGTCAAAGTGGTTAAATACGTCCATTTTGAGATCCTGAAATATGTATAACACTGGTTTAGAACTAAGCTTTTTTACTCTTCTGGGTTCAATAAATTAGCCTAAATATCGGACGATCACCTAATGTATGTGTAAAGACTACTGTTTTGGTGAATAAAAATTCCTCCAAAGGGATTATAAACACAGCCATATGAAATTTAAAAATTAAAGGGAAGTCTTTTCGACCTTGATCATATGTATATCATCTCAGATGCCATCATATGAAGATTTATGTACTACTGACTCTAGAATCGAATAGGAAAAGCTGACATGAAACAATAAGTTAAAAAAAGCTGCGTGCGAATGGAAGATGTAGGAATATCACAACCTTTTAAAAAGGGTCTTTCAAATCACAGGTCAATAAAACGTACTCTTAAGATGACCTTAATGTATATAGTATCTTTATTCGATTGGTAGCCCTCGATACTCATCGTTGTTTTTATCTCATGTCTTCCCTTTCATGTCTTCATACATTTTCTTGATCTCTTTCTGTATAAAGCTTCGTTTTCTAAAAAAAAACAAAACACTAAAGTTTTGTATGCATCTTTACTATTATTTCCTCAAAGAAGTTTGCGCATGAACGGCAAATACTGTACGAGAAATGTATTCATTTACCGATATTTTTGAAGCTTGTGTTAATTTCAAGACTTATTTATCTGTTTATTTGAACACATAAACATTGGTACAACGAGGTATTAAATACATATGCGCCACACGATATCAATGAACAGGGATTAGTGTATGGGAGTCAAATAATAATAATAGTGATATATGTTGTAAGCAGTTGAATAAGCGAAAATACAGTCAAAAAGGATTCTTTCAGATATAGAAGCTACTCTCACTTTTATAAAGAAAGTTACATCAGGATCGCCACTGGCTTCTCTTTTGGATCATGTGTGACTGCGTCACGAACCACAGTATTACGCCATCTCTAGGAGCCAACTAAGTTGTGAAGGTCCTATAGATCCCAGTCCTGTACAACTTTCTTTCATACTACGACACCATTTCATATACTGACTACCTCTCCGTTTTTCCAATCAGTCCCAGAATCGGTAAATAATGCATGGTGTTGAATTTGCTGTGACAACATTCGTAGTATATGCCCATGCCACTGGAGTTGATAGTGACACCAATTGACCTATCATCACTGTGCACAAACATTGTCGAACCTCTGAATTATTAACATGGCATTGCCACTGTCTGTCAGCAACATTTCAGAGACAACGATGATCGAACACAGAGAGTCGTCCAACCTCCTAAACTCGGAGAGGCCAGGTTTCACAAGCATAGAGCAAAACTACCTTCACAGGCGCTTCATAGATCCGACCTTTTACAGCCAGACTACGCGAGGGTGCCAAAAGTGGTCCAGATTAGCATAAGCCGCACTGGTTTCACTAAACGTGAATTGACCTGATCTCTCGCAACCACCAGCACCCACACGGCTGCCCAGATACACGAATTCCTCTACTACTTCTACCTGCTCAATATCGAGAGTGAGTAAAGGTTCAGGATTCTGTCTCATAAAAGTACTTTGCATCTAGAAGGTGTGGAGCACATGCCATTCCTACGCACACCAATTGCCAACCGATTAAGTGCGGATTGCATGTTTTGGGTACAGTCGCACAGGAAGACGATATAATCCGCATGCTCAATGTTAGAAAGTCTTTCTCCAGGCAACAGATACACCGCCATTACCTACGTCCACCAAAGATGTTTCTGGAACATCATCAATGGCAAAGTTGAAGAGGAATGTTGAAATTGGACAACCTTGCCTAAACTCACTGCTTGAATGAAACAATGGAAAAAGGTGGTTGTATGCTCTCACTCTGCCTGAGGTGTTTGTATACAGGGCCTTTAAACTTCTCAGATAAACCCTTCTCTAATAGACGATCCCAGAGAACATTCCTGTCTAATAACTTGATGTTAAGGAACGCTACGGTTATTGGCCTGTAATAAGTATGACTGTTCTGACATTCGATGGAGTTCAGAGTTATGATCAATACATCCTTGACCGGAATGAAATCAACTTACTTCTCTCGATTCGATGTCAGTTTGGACACAATCGGAAGTAGACTTATTCCCATGTAGTTGTTACGTACGTGATGATGACTCATTTCACGATGTTGTAACATTCCAGAGTCCTCAAACTTATGCAAGTGGTTCTGTCAGTTCGATAAGTAGGTCTTCACCATCGCTAACAATGGGTTGGAGGTAAGTTTTCTGGGCCTGGCGCTTCGGGAGTTTGTGTTGCTTGTGCACTTACACCTCGTTTTATGGATCACTCGTTACTGGCCATGGAGAGCAGGACCGTCTGGTTGGTGTTGTCAGGTCAGCAGATCAGTTGAACTGCTCTTCGGAAAGCTCAACCCATCATCCAAGACGTCAGTATGTGGTAATGATTTGCATTCCGTCATCTCCATAGTTCACTTCACACCTTAATTCAAGGTTAATATTTGTCTGTCGGAACGTGTAGTAGATCGAACATAGGGTTCTAGTCCATTAACTCTGAGTGAGCTCGAAATACAGCAACACAAATCATGGTTTAAATTGGTGTATGTCTTTAGTAATATCAAATTGTAACTCAACAGATTAAATGTTGGTGTTAATGAAACGCGGACACTGAAGTGTAAACATCGATCAACTAAGAAGAGAAGTGTATGCATTCTGATATCCACTGTCCACCTTAACGAGTTCTTATCAATAGACGACAAATGAAAATGTCTGAGTGTTTATGTAGAAACCAGTAACACCAAGAATGGCTCGTCAGCTGTCTTAGTAACCAACCACTGGGTAATTTCAATGGCTAATTGTAAAAACACTGTCGTAATATAACGTGCATTGTTTACCTTACTGAGCAGTATAATTCCTTTAAACATACATACTCTTGTGCAAAAATAATTTCATCTAGGTGTTATTTTCATGTCGGATTATAAATTTTGCAAAAAGTCTACCTAAAGCGTCCTGGTTACTAGTAATTATTTAGTGTGTTTTGTAATCCATGCCAACGCAACTCTTGTACTACGCCTGTTGTACTGAACGACTTGATGCTTTGAATTTATAAAGCCCTGACCCTCATTTTCTTAGTTGTTGGGATGCATCAACAAGGCGAAGTGATGATTAAAATTTATTCAGTCGAGTTTTGGGATTCCACTGTAATTTCATTTAGATCGAGTGCTTTCTTAATATATTGCCGCATGATCTGAAGTGTGATAAGTTTTCACTTTCCCCTATTTTTAATATTCAGTACGATTTTCCAAACAATCTATGGAAGGAGTTGAAAAATAGAATTATGGTAATATCCATTTATTATCTAGTTTGTGGTAAAACGTGATCGGTGTGTATCAGCTTGTTTCTGTTTCTTAAATAAGGATACCTGCCTATAAAAGAGAAATTAAAACTAAAGTTACTTGCCAATGCTTAGTTCTTGGTAGCTACTGAAATAATTTAAATAGTAAGGTGTCCTGTATATTTGCGATGTCGTGGTTGAGAGAACGATGAAATTCTGGTAGAAAATCTTGCTAAACAAATTTTTGGTCTCATTTCCTTGCTATTAAATACATTTATTAAACCTTCTGCATTCGTCGTTAAGTATCAGCAAAAACAGTTACACAATTTAATGAACATAAAATTGGTGTCTAATCAACGCTTTCATAGGATATTAATGATAAAATCAAAACTAGATATACGATGTTGTGTTTCAAATGCTGAATAGTTACAAATCAGTAGTCAATTAAATTTTATAGGACCACAGGAATACTTCATGATAGTTTTTGAGAGGTCTTAGTATTTTAAGTCATCAGTTAGAGGTTTTCTCAATGAGACTAGAGGGGGAACAATTTTAACAAAATCTTTACAACCTGTATGTCTTTTAAGTGGATCAAAGTATTTTAATGATTCTTACTATATAAAATGTGAATCATTGTGTGGGCACTGCGCAAAATGATTGACAGTTAAATAGATGTGAAATATAAAACAGTTTGAGATTCACATTCTGTCCAATCCCACTTCTTTGTTTTCACTATCAAGAAATGGTTATTATTTAAATCAAACATTAAGGCTGGCATATCTCGATCAAATAAATCCTGGTGACGTTTGTACAGTCTCTTGCAGTTTTAATTTATACGTTTAATACACGATTACCACTGTGTATTTCGCTTATCTTACTGCTTAACTTTTACCAACTATTAGTAGTATTTAATGCATAAGTCAGCATTTTTAAAAAGAATCCATTAGTTCTAGACGTTAAACTGTTTAACTGGTAATGGATATTATACGAATAATAAGCTCAGCTCATAAAACATGGTATCCAAATTATTCGTATTCGTATAACAAAACAATCAGAAAGAGTAAAATACATGATGTTAAATAACTGTAAAGAAAAGTATGTATTTGAGTAGCCAAGGTGTATCCTTCAATAAACTTTTACAATACTAGCTAGATAAAATGCAAAATAAGCAACCAAGAAAAGTGATACGTGAGAGACGTTTTTGTCTAATATCAGAAGGATTAATCGACTCGAATGGAAAAGGTAACCACTAGACGTGGCACATTAACTGCACAAATTTCTAACAGCTTCATTCAGAAGTGTTACTGTACAAATTCATGTGAAAATCTTTTTCCTTTGGAATTCAATAATGAAATATTTCTATTAAATATCAAAATAGTGGAATATACATGCTCAAATCTGTTTTCTGAGAAACAACAAAATTATAACTAATTACGTGAAAATTTAGACACCAACTAGTTTACAGCAAGTCTATTTGATAGATGTTTTGTTTGTTTTTATTTAATCACACATCTTCTTCATGGAATTTGACTTCCTTTACGATTTTTAACGTTTCTGTACTGGAAGATTGTATTCGTTTTATGACTTGTCGAAGAATTTTCTCATGACTTGATCTCATGCCTACTGTATTTGTTGAATCTAACCACACCGCATTAATTCCTTCTGAAGTGAGTAACTAAAAATATATGCAAATGAAATTTAATAAATATATTTTCTACTTGTTTATAGATAAAGTAAAATATCTCACTGTTGTACTTATCATATTTCACTAATGTTCTTAAGTAAACAGAATTTGATTAGTTACTAAGAGTTTACGAAATATGAATGTAATTTTTGAAAAATGTGTAACTCATTAAGTACCGTCACACTGTTTGAGTGAAGGAAAGTAATGGTATCCAGCTCTCCAAACTGAAATATGTAAATTCGGGTCTCAACTTTCTACTTAATGGCTAAGAGCAGTTTGCTTTTACCAATGAGACGACGCTCCACTTAAAATTTTTACATAATTACAATACGAAAAGAGTAAATTGTAGGTCACTGAGGATAACATCTCATTTACGTTGTACATTAACATACAGACAATATTCGGATAATTTTATTGAAGCGCTCTACAAAGCAAAGCATTGGGTAGACTTATTCTTATGATTATTCTATCTTCTTGTTTCAATTGATTAGTGAAAAGTTGAATTTTAACTTAAGATACAGTTCATCAAAATAAGTGTTGGGCAACAATTTGTATAAAATTGTTATTCTGCGAAGAATAAACACGAACATCGTTAGACTTTAATTTTTAGCCTATAATTGTCAAAATTTAGTTTGCGTGTCTTCATTATTTTCTCAATCCCAAGCTCCCATTTGATCTGTAAACCTTTTTTACTTTTCCTATTCCCTATTCATTGTAAGCTAATCAGAGCCTTACATTTCAATGTTTAATCTAAATTACTTGTTTTGGCAGGTATTTTCTTAATTATGGTGCGTCGTGGTCTGATTGTTCATCTATTTAATCATGCACATTTCTGATTTAGAATTTCATACAAATGTGGCGGTTTTGCACTACTACTTCTCGTCTTTTCGTCTACTGGTATTTGAGAAAAAAAGATCAGATTAGCTAGTCGTCGTTTGCAAAGAAGATTAATAGTCAAGCCAGTCAGAAATAGTCGAACTCACATGTTGCTCTCACAAGGTTACATTAAACGGCTAATTGTATTAAGTTCCCTTAAATGCCTAACGTCACGACCAGTAAGCAATAATAGGTTATCACAAACATAAGTGTGCTGCGAAGTAATAAGAATTTTTTTATCAAGTCTTTCTTTTCCGAGTGTCTAGATGGGGAGATTCACGTAAATAAACTTGACTCATACACTAATTTAGTACTCAGGACTTACTTTTAAATCAATATCGATATTTTGGAGTAAAGGTAATGTATTGGGTAAATAGGGATAGTAACAACAAGTGATTCGATGTTACTTGACATCAGTAATCAGAGCCAGACTGATGTTTGGTACTTAAATATAATTGAGAGACTAGTTGACTTTCTAATGTGTCGGGATATAATGGGTATTTAGTTTGTCAGCACATAATAAGTTGCATTTCGTTCAATGACTTTATATGCGACATTTTAAACATAACTAGTCTCTGTCTACAAGCCTACATTTCTGTACAATGAAAATTAGTAAAGATGATTAATATAAACTAATTAGAAACAGGGTACCGTGAAAATCTCAGTTCTTCAAGAAATCGGTCACAAGCTTAATAATCCAGTGGAGTTTTCTGCCCATGATATTATATGAGACGGGTTCTAATCCTACTTTAAACATCTTACCTGCTTACTTACGCCTGTTACTCCCAATGGAGCACAGGCTGCCGACCAGCTTTCTCCAACCCACTCTGTCCTGAGCCTTCTTTTCTAGTTCTATCCAGGTCTTGTTCATTCTTCTCATGTCTGTCTCTATTTCTTGGCGTAATGTGTTCTTTGGTCTTCCTCTTCTCCTTTGACCTTCAGGATTCCATGTGAGGGCTTGTCTTGTGACACAATCAGGTGATTTCATCAAGGTGTGCCCAATCGACTTCCAGCGCTTCTTCCTGATTTCTTCCTCTGCTGGAATCTGGTTTGTTGTCTCCCGCAGTAACTTGTTGCTGATAGTGTCTGGCCATCGGATCCGAAGTATCTTGCGTAGACAACTGTTGATGAACACTTGTATTTTCTGGATAATGGCTTTCGTAGTTCTCCAAGTTTCCGCCCCATACAGTAGAACTGTCTTGACATTTGTATTGAAAATTCTCACCTTGGTGTTGGTTGACAATTGTTTTGAGTTCCACATGTTTTTCAGTTGTAGGTATGCTGCTCTTGCTTTGCCGATCCTCGCCCTCACATCTGCATCTGATCCACCGTGTTCATCAATGATGCTGCCCAGGTATGTAAAAGTTTCCACATCCTCCAAAGCTTCTCCGTCAAGTGTAATTTGATTGGTACATATTGTATTGTATCGGAAAGTCTTGCTTTTCTCTTTGTTTATATTGAGACCTACTGCTGCTACACTGGTCGTTTTCCCCTGCATTTGTTGTTGCGTTTGTGATAGAAGAGCCAGATCATCCGCGAAGTCTAAATCGTCAAGCTGCATCCTGCCTGTCCACTGTATCCCGTGATTTCCTCCAGATATTGACGTCTTCATGATCCAATCGATCACCAGGAGAAAGAGAAAGGGTGAGAGTAAGCAACCTTGCCTTACACCGGTCTTTACTTCAAACGAGTCGGTGAGTTGTCCTCCGTGGACGATTTGGCAGTTTAATCCACCATAGGAGTTCCGTATGATATTGATTATTTTCTCAGGCACGCCGTAGTGTCGAAGAACCTTCCATAGTGTCGTCCTGTCCACGATATCAAATGCCTTCTCGTAGTCGATGAAGTTGATGTACAGTGATGAGTTCCATTCGATTGATTGTTCCACAATGATACGTAGAGTTGCGATTTGATCTGTGCACGATCTATCCTTACGAAATCCAGCTTGTTGATCTCGAAGTTGGGCGTCCACGGAATTCTTCATCCTGTTTAACAATACTCGGTTGAAGACTTTTCCTGGTATTGAGAGAAGAGTGATGCCCCTGTAGTTATCGAACTTGCTAAGATCGCCTTTCTTCGGTATCTTGATCAGAAGTCCTTTTTTCCAGTTTGTTGGTACTTGTTCTTCGTCCCAAATCTTACTGAAGAGGATGTGGAGTACCTTGGCAGTTGCTGCTACATTTGCTTTCAGTGCCTCTGCCGAGATGTTGTATGGTCCTGCTGCTTTGTCGCTCTTGATTTGTTTGATGAATGTGCTGATCTCCTCAATTGTTGGTGGACCAACATCGATTGGGAACAAAGATTTGAATTACTGATGAGTTTCTACTAAAACGAAGTTTAGGTCCATAGTTTATTTGTGGTGTTTGTGTGTACTTATGATTCTTTTGTACTTAATGCGTGCCTGATTTCAAATTCTGAATACAATACGTTCGTTTGTGCTCACCTAGCTCTATTTGGCTTAAATTTCACATTTTGGGGAATCCTCAGTTAGCACAATAATTCGAATACTATTAATCATCATATTGGCGTCGCGGTGGAGCTTGTGATAGAACAATTGGACATACATTCAAATATTTGATACCTTTTTGGATTATGTGGAAAGGTTCGAAATCTGGAGTATGACCAAGGAATATGTTGAGAATGATAATATTGTAGCTCATTTCCTTAAATTCATCGGAAAAGAAGCTTACAGATTTTTAAAAGCTGTATCATTTCCAGAAAAGCCTATTTCACTTTCTTACGCAATTATCAAGCAACCACTAGTGGACCATGTAAAGTGTACAAATTTCGAATGCCGTGAAGGTGGGAAATATCATAGAATGATTTGTCAAGACATCAAGAATTCCACATTAATACTTCATCCCAATTCAGTGCTTACTCAAAGTTATGCAGATAAAGATTCAATAAGGAAATGCAAAGCGGGCCACAAAGGTGAGCACAGGTTTGGTAAATTTTTGTCCGGTAGTGAATTTCCCACATTTAATTCATGTGCATTTCGTAAAGCTGAATACTTTAAATGTCGTAAAATTGGACACATACAGGCAGTTTGTAAAACTACTGTTCATCTCTCTGCAAGCAGCTCTCAACTTTTTAATTTCTATCTTATTAGATTGAGTGTTACTAATGATCATTTATCTTTATCTACGATTTCAAAAAGCCGTATGAAGTCATATAGCTGTTCAGGATTAAATAAAGCCTTGTTAGTCTCGCATAACTCTGAAACTAAACTCCAGATAAAACAATCGTGTGCTTCATATGATATTTATCGAGGAAGCTGGAGGGACTCGTATTTAGAAAATAATTGTAGCAACACAATGAATACAGACAAAATTATTTAATGAATCAACTTCTTTTCAGATTTTCCATGTTATTGGTTTGTCCTAAACATATTCTTGATGAAAATTCTTATGAAAATGACGAAAATATGTAGAATGAATCAAATTATGATTGGAAATCTGATACAACTTTGATAGGTGCTGATTTTCATAATGATCCACTATTGTCCAATGTAATTCTTAATAAATTTTAAGAAAACATTTTAAAAGAATCGAATCCTGATGTCATATCAAGTGTTATTTGTCCCCGTAATGCATTTGCTTTTTGTAGGAAACTTATTCAATGTGAAGCATGATTCCTAAATGAGCTAGAACTTGATTACAGTCAGGATGATTTCATATCGACTGTTGTTTATCCTCATCATGAAGTCACTTCTAATAGATCCTCTAGTCAATGTGAGAAATTTGTTTTAAATGAAGTCACATTATTTTTAACTTAGGAATATGAAGATTCAACACTATTTCATGGGGCAGGATAGTGTTGGAAAATCTATGGTTCGAATTCTAGGTATCAGTGATTTCAGTACACAACCGACACGTTGATCAAATACAATTCCAGGATCCAGGTGAGTCTGTTCTAATTTCACTTGATAGTTATAATACTATTGAGTATATTCTAGATAATACAGATTTTAAATTCAGTACACAGTCTGATAGACATACAATGAACCTAAGGAAAAGACGTACAATTGATTACCAAAATTTAGATTCCAATCTAAGCTGTTAAAGTTATGTTGTTTGTATGAACTACTTTTTTACCGATTGATTTCCTGATTGATTTCGAATTTCAAATACAGTACGTTCATTTGTACTCATCTCGTTCTTCCTGACTTAAATTGCACTGTTTCGGAAATCCCTAGTTAACACAATAATTCGAATACTTTTAGTAATCATATTATTGCAGATTGGGGCAAATTTCACAACACCGATAAAAGAATACTTTTTCTGATCAACATTAAAATTTGGTTAGAAATTCATTGGATTTACCTGAATAAGTTCATCATGATCAAAATATGGATCAGAAATATGTTTATGGACCACAGTTGGTTCGATCCAGGCGTTATCTGTATTGATTGTATCATCCAAATATCCAGAATATATCTAAACAAAAAGTTTATTCGCTTAATCAAACAAAGGTATCTGAAAATCATAATATCTAATGGTGACAATCTGAGATTTATCAGTCACTTCTACGTGTAACTGTCTATGGACGTACAAGTCGGCAAGATTAATAGATTCTGAAATAAATTTCGTGTTATTATTAAAATGACGAAACTTAGTGTTTCAGTACTCGAAGCTTTGATTGCAGAATGTGCATTTTCAATTTTCGAGTCGAACATTTGAACATATCCAGTGTTTTTAAGAACTTTCCTTTTTGATATTTATGAGTAAGTGAAGTAATAAAAATTAGGATAATTGTATTTCATCTATTTATATGACAGCTACCAATCTAAAATTCTGATCCTGTTAAAGCACTTCTAAGTATTTATACTCGCGATGTTTGTAAAAATTTTGAACTATATACCAATCACATTACCAAATACTTGAATGCACACTTTTATGCTTCGTTTTTATGAGCAAGCCAGCATTTACATTAGAATTTGACATGATGTTCATAAATTTAACTTTGATGACTTTCTAACTTAATTTCTTAGGCTTAACATTTTTTAACTGACGCGCAACTTTTACTAACCACATTCTTAGAGCTTTTTTGATTATTAGCAATTGTTCTTTGGACTCGATATCTGTCTTTTGATCAAACAATCGTTTAAGAGTAATAGGTGTGTGCACAAAAACAGTGGGATTAATCATACGATGCTAAGATGGGTAGTTGAGCATATATACATACATAATCGCTTATAATCAAATGCTTTGACAAATATGGGATTCAAAAAAACTGTACTTTCCCATGACAAAATGCATAGTTAAAACATTTTATGGGATTGAACCTTAAAATAGCTTTAAAAGTTTTATCTGGAGATTATTAGTTAAGAAAGCCTTGGTCTTTAAAAAACTCAAACTTTGTTTTTGTGTACCAAATAAACTTATCCTTATCTTGGATCTGCGTAGGATGATGAGTCAATTTAATCTTTCCATATCACATTACTTTTCATCTACTTTGTTTTCAAATTATCATTTTATATTCGTTCAACTTTTTATTCAATAGACCTTGAGTGTATATGTGACTAGGTTATTCGAAATGTATGGCAAAAATGCATCAAAGTTTCTGAGGTTAATTTTTTCTTAGTATATTTTCAAAATAATTAGCGTGTTTTTATAAATGTTCATTTATCCTGCTGAAATAATCAGTTTCTCAATCACCAGTAACAAGGAGAGAGTCGTAATCTATGATTGGAAACGTAATATCACATTAACCGAAATCGACCAAAGTGGTGAGACTTCATCCGCTTGCTGTCGTCGTTTGACTGTTGAGTTTTATGTCATTCTATACTTTCCACTATTCAAACTCATTTACTTTCTTTGAAGTATACTTCTCTCGTTTTGTTTTTTATTTTCATGTATATTATAGTTTTCACCTATTTTCGTTTTAACCTTGTAAATTTCATTTCTCGCTGTACCGATAGGTGAGGTATATCATCTCAGATTGATACACAATGGTTCCAAATCGCTCATTATCTATGATTAACTATAATATAAACAGTTAATCACTTTTTACCTGATTTCATAAGCAAAGTCTTCATTACATTAAATTTGAAATAATAAATAGCAATTTTAAGATTAATACTCAACCTACAATTTTTGTGGTTAAACTGGTGAATTTTTTCAGGGTTTTTACTAAAGTTGTTTTCTTTGTTGGCATCAATTTTACCAAATGTTTCATACGACTTTTTGTAAGAATATCAAATATCTCGTTTACACATACTTTATGATCACAACCAATAGGATGTTGAACTAGAAACTAAAATAAGATGATAAAATAGTGACAATTTTTCAAAATTAATAGAAAACCAATGAAACGTACTTGTATATAGTTGAGATCATAAGTCCATTGAAGCTAGACCACAATGGAAAACCTGGAAACACTGTAAGGCCGTTTCGTCCTATTGTGGGACTCAGCAGTGCGCATCCACAATCCCGCCTCGCAAGATTCCAGCCCAAGACCTATCAGTCTCGCGCGCGAGTGCTTAACCACTAGACTACTGGGCCGGCATCCAACAGTGTTAATGTCTAACTTTAACCAATGCACGAAATTGAGCGACACATTCACCAATTATCTTCAGTGGGTTACTATCTCACAACAGACCCGGTTGAACACTGATCACTGATCCTCACTAGAACTCCATGAAATACCTCTTGAAGCCAGTTACCAGTGAGCATATATATTAGATGAAAGATGATAATGTATGCAAAAAACAGGACTAAAGTTACTCGTGTTTAAAATTAAGAGGCGGGATCGTGGATGCGCACTGCTGAGGAGTCCCACATTAGGACGAAACGGTCGTCCAGTGCTTCCAGGTTTTCCATGATTGTCTAGCTTCAATTGACTCATGATTTCAACTACGAAAATTATTAGTTAATTGAAAACTGAAATATCGATAAATCTAATAGTTCTTTTCTCCTATTTAGTTTTCTATAAAAGTTTTATGATTTACAATTCATTCACTTTATCATTTTCAGAATAACTTGAATTCATTTATTAGTAAATACTCAAACATAAAAGTAAATATTCTGGTTTAATCGTGAAAAATTAATCATTTTAATTTGTTTTAAATGTTTATAGTATTAAAAGACTAATATTTGAACATGATTTAGTTTATAATATTATTTAAAATGACCTATTTATGTTATATCCTGAAGAGAATTATGAATGGTAACTTCTGAGGACTATTTATGGACCAATATGATATGTATATTTCCTATTCTATAATTGTTAAGTAACTAAAGTATCCATATTCGTATTTCTCTTATTGTAAGCTTCATTTTGACCCATAGACCATTATTATACAATTTACCATTCCTGAATTATACCCAGTCTATTAATTACTGTCCCTCCTATTCACAGCCACATTTGGCCAAATCTTGTACATAAATTATTTTATATTTTAAGGTACTATGTGGTCAGTTTGATTAGTATATAAACCCAGTATGTTTGAGAATAATGATTAATATTGGTGTTCTGGACTTAAATGGTTGGGCTAGGCAGAAAACAGGACAGATGAGTACTCAAGACTGCTCATACAGTTTTCGTGTATCATTGCTCTGATCGATAATTCACTCCTCTCTGATTGGCGGGGACCACCACGTCATATATTAAACAGGGCACGCAGGCACACGATATAACAATTTATTCTTAAAAAAAACCATCCACTTCTTCATAAAACTATTAATAGTATTTGTCATCTAATTCTTTTGCCAATATTAAGAAAATATTTAGTGTCTGTATAGCGGCTTTAACCACTATCAGGTTGATAAAACACTAAAAAACCAATTTATTAGTGCACACATTTGTAGAATGTTTTAATATGAAAACTCATAAATTTGCAGCATCTTATTGAGTTTGCTATACATAACCTTTTCATAATTTATTACATCTTGCTATTGTTCAAGTCATTTTGTGGCATTTTTCATTTCATTTTTTCACTATGTTACGCAAATTTTAATATCGACCTCTTTATAGTTTGTTGTAGAACCCTGAGTTACTGATACTTACTTTTATAGGTAGTGAAATTATGTATACCTGATTAAACGCAATGTTTAACATGTTCACTAAATAAACCATTGTTCAGATAATAGTTCCCCTTAATAGATATATACATACAATGCCTAATTTATACTGTTCATTGTAATCCCTTTTGATATCAAGTAGAATAAAAAAGTACTTAACTATACAATGTAAAATTTTTCTTTATCAAAATTTCTATTGACCTTATCGATTTTGTTTATTTTTACGGTTTGTATTTTATATAGCTATTTGTGTAGAAAAACTTGGATTTTAGATCAGAAGAACAAAGGCACATGGTAGTTTTGTTAGTCCTGAATAATGAAAATAATAGTCTAGAGGTTTTCATAGTATTTGTATTGTATTGTATTTGTAGACGTACAAGAAATTAATAAGTACCATTTCATTCATAAAGAATTTTGTTTTCATAGTTTAAAAGAAAATATCTGTACTCTTCTAAGTTGAGAACAATATTCTAATAATAACTACTGTCCTCTAGTGAATTAGTGTTAATAATTATTTTTAGTGCTCAGTTAAGCTAATCTCAAATAACTCATTAGTAACAACGTTAACTAAACTTATGTACCTTACGGGTTTGAAATTCAAATCCAAAAGCTCCCTAAACTCTGTATAGACGAATCCAAGCGACAGTTGAAATGATCTGTTAGCCTTACTTACTTAATTACTTACTTACTTACTTACTTACTTACGCCTGTTACCCCTTGTGGAGGAGCATAGGCCGCTCACCAGCCTAGCAACATTTTTTAGGAATCTCCTGTTTCTCAACCATTGACTGTCGATCCACATAATAAATCTCACATCTGTTTTTGGTTCACTCTTTATTGACTTCACTATCCTTCTCTCCACGATTTCTTCACAATATTATTAGTTTATTTGTGCGGTTCATGTTCTTGATACTCTATTGTACAAGAATCTTTTGGTATATATAAATAAAATAAATTTACAAGCATGGTAAGCAGAGATGGATAGTGGCTAGCAGTGGAATCCAGGACGCGACTTTTTGTCCTATTTGGGACTCGTCAGCTGGATGTACCTGCATCTCAGAGTTGATGTTCACTCTGGGACTCGAACCCAGTACCCTCGCTTCAAACGCCCTAGCGTTATCCACTCGGCCACTGAGTCCTGATAGCCACTTGCTTATGCAATAGGATGACGTTTAAATTCACTTGGTATCGAGGCAATACGCACAGTATGCACATATGCCAATTAGAGACTGACCAGTTGCAGTCCTAAACACATCGATGGGAAGATCCAAACAAACAATACTAAGTGAATTCAAACTTCACCCCATCGCACAAGCAAGTGGCTATCAGGACTCAGTGGCCGAGTGGATAACGCGATGGCGTTTGAAGCGAGGGTACTGGGTTCGAGTCCCAGAGTGAACATCAACTCTGAGATGCAGGTACATCCAGCTGACGAGTCCCAAATAGGACGAAACGCGTGTCAAACTGGATTCCACTGCTAGCCACTATCCATCTCTGCTTACCATGCTTGTGAATTAAGGTATATCGAGGCAATACGCACAGTATGCACATATGCCAATTAGAGACTGACCAGTTGCAGTCCTAAACACATCGATGGGAAGATCCAAACAAACAATACTAAGTGAATTCAAAATAAATTTATATTCAAAATTCATTAGAAATCAATCTTTACAGGAAAGTAACTCACCCATGGTAGTTGTGAGCCTAACGGATTTTTGTAAACAATAACTTTAAGAGCCTCCTCTTTTGTATATTTGGATTCAGATAGACATTCGTTTGACCTTCTTGTAATGACTAGTATAATAGCTGAGTTTGCACCCCATTCAGGTAAATGTCCTTTTCCATTAACTCCAGTGCGACCACCAGGATTTCTAGGGCATCCAGTTATTGGATCAGGAGAAGGAACATTAGGAATTCGTGTTCTGAACTGAAGCTTTCTTTCTTCTGAAAGTTCCGCGAAATTTCCTGGTTCAGTCCATCCTTCAATTGAGTAAACTGGAGGTTTCCAGCCTAAACACATTGGTTTCTGTGACTGTTTCTGTAATCAATGAAAATTGTATAAACGATTATAAAGATTAAATACAAAAAAAGTATCGGATTTTGACTTTAATAAATAATCCTCTGCATGTATTTCTTCACCGAGACACCGATAGATCAATAGAATCAGTTCATAATAATAAAAAAATGTTTGAACTATGACGTGATCAAGAACTACATTTTGAGCACTCACGAAACACAAAGGTAAATATTATGCTCAAACATACCAACAACAAATGAATAAATTAACTAGGATGTTCTCAATCATTCATAATACATATAAACAATGTAAAACAAATATACAATACTTAAAATTTAATTACAACACATAACACGAAACTGTTACAAATGATCAAAAAAAGCAAAGTCATTTCATTATTTTCGACTGAAATCTACTCAATTAAACTGCAATCAACCAATTATAAAAAAAAACCTGGCAGATTTTTAAAAAAAATTTGTTTTAATTTTTCTACTTTGTAAATTGTTTTAAATTTACATTGATGCCTCATTTGAAATATTATTGGTTAGTAACTCAATAATGTTGTTATCTCAATCAAATTAGTGAATACATTTCTATTATTATTATTATTATTGCTATTATTATTATCACCCCATTGCACGAGTAACTGGCTATCAGGACTCAGTGGTCGAGTGGATAACGCGATGGCCTTTGAAGCGAAAGGTAATGGGTTCGAGTCCCAGAGTGAACATCAACTCTGAGATGCAGGCACACTTAGCTGACGAGTCCCAAATAGGACGAAACGCGTGTCAAACTGGATTCCACTGCTAGCCACTATACATCTTTGTTTACTATTATTATTATTGTTGTTATTAAAGATTCTTTACAGTTCACGTAATAATGGCTTTTAATACATGAATATTAGCTATTCAATAATTCATTGTATATAATTTATAATTTTGTCTTTTTTGTAAATGCCTTTTATAAGTTCAAATTATGTACATGTATTCTATTGCTCAAATAACAAAAGCAAACTCATCAGAAATGAAGTAAGAACTACACATTCAATCCTTCATTTTCAAAATGTTCATTAATTGTTTTCGACTTTATTGTTCTTTCATTTTCATACCGATTATTCATTGTTTTCGTTCTTTTCTACTCAATCTTCTTAACCTTCTGATGCCAAGTATTCCACTTTTGATAAGTGTTATCTACTACATATATCTGTCGATATAAGTAGCATACATGATAATGTTGATAGAAATATGTTCTCTCAGCATCACATTTAAGTAAAATTAAACATTATGATCATATGTAGCCATATTTTAAGGATAGTTGACTGTAAATTTACTTAATTAAGGATGGACTTTGGCAGACTTATATTAAAAAGAACATTGAATTCCGAATTTTCAGACTAATTTTTATTGATTTTACTCGTAAGAGACAATATACGAAAATACCATAATGTTTATAGTAGTATGGGCCTAGACACTATAAATGAGGTGTTTTTAAATAAGTTTGTTGTCATTGCAGACTAAATCTTAGGAGTAGGCAATTATGGTTTCGTTGTTTTCAAAATATTCTTGGCCTCATAGGTCACAGCATAAAAGTGTTCACAAAGATTTTGCAAGTTCCTTAATAAATTTTAAAATGGCAGTATAGTTGAGACTGAATAAATAGGTTGTTATCTTGTAGTGTGAAATGATTTAAAAGACTAATGAGAAAAAAACTTGTAGAATAAGATATATTTTAGTTGAAGTGGAGTACGTTGATTATGCTATGTATCTTTTTGAAGAAAACCAATGTTCAAGTGGATAGGTTTGCAGATTATATCACTTCAGGGTTTTCATTTTCATCACATTTAATAGTGGATTATATAAGTATAAATCTAATAAGCTGTCTTCTATTATTATTTCTCTATGGGCGAGATTATTGTGAACGAAACTGGAACTAACTTGGAACATAGAACACTGAAAAACTTAAAATTTAAACATTAAATTAAAGAATTATAATAGACTTTGATTAGATGCTTAATCGGTGTACCGTATATTGAGATTGAATAGTATGAATTCTGAATGTATTCAAATCAATGGATTTCGCAGTAGATTGTCGAAATTTTACACTAGGTCATCTCATTTCACGTCAGTAAAATTTATTTGAAAATTTAATCCACCTTTAAAAAATCTAACTTATGGTTCTTCAGAACTATTTTTTATGTGTACACTAATAGTTCTTCAGGCAGATTGTACAATGATTAATTAGGAGGTAGAAAATCTCATCCTTTCTGTTGATTGAAATCAGACAGTAAAAAATATACTACTGTGTATATTTCCTCAAGGTAAAAGTGTGTTTTTATTGTATTCAAACAAACATTCATTTGAAATATGCTTTTACTTTTGTTTGCATACTGAAATAATTTCTTAATGCTTATCCGATGTTCGAAGCTGAATGGTAGAAATTCCCTGAATATATGTTTTGTGCTAGTTGTCACATAAGGGTAAGGCATAGCTGAAGTAGAGTCGAAATTTTCATCCGATTCTTCTTGTTACATGCGAAACCCTCAAATTTCTACAATAATTTGTCAGTTTGGGGTCAGTTTTCATTACGAATTAATATTAGATGGCTTAAATTTAGGAACTATAGAATCATGCACAGCTATACCACTCTTTCTTAGGACCCCTCCGTGGTGTTTACTAACAGCCCTTTTAGAGTATAAACGCAAGCCCTCTTGTTATTGCGACGAGTACGATGTTAACTCAACGGCTATTGGTATCGCGCTTACCAAGGGACCAGAAGATTCTGATTTCGAACTATGATAATGTTATTGGTGTACATCACTGATGAGTCTCTCATAAAGTTGAAATAGCTCTTCAATGGTACGTCGTTTCAATGGTTCTCAAACTCTTGCTTAGCTGTTAGGGATACTCATTTCAATTTAAACATACTCTACACACCACCTTATTTAAAACATCACTTTTATTTCTTTTTTGTTAAATAAATATCTGTTAATTTCCTATATACACAACACACACTAAAATGATAGTGAAATAACTGACATCGTACAGTGACGAACTTTTTTAGTAGTAATGAAAAATATTTCATGGCAGCTTAGAAACTATTAAGTAAGATTAATAAAAAATTGAATTTATTGTAGAATTCATAGCCATGTCTGTTGGTATGCTCCACTCGATTCAATGTGACTGAGAAGTGTGTACATAGAATTTTGGTTGGTTAATTTACGTCACTGTATTATTTATATTTGTGTATAATCAATATGGAACATTCATATTTTCTTCATTACACACTTTTATTTGGATTATTATCTGAATTTTGAAAAGAGATTAGCTGGCTCTAAGATGTAGGTACATCCAACTGACGAGCCCCAAATAGTACGAAACGCGCGTCCTGGATTCCACTGCTAGCCACTATCCATCTTTGCTTACAGATTAGCTGGCTCTTTATTTGACCAAACAACTGATTATCGAATAACAAAGTAAAACAACTTATGGATGTCAAAATTCAAATGGAAATTTCGGCTTAGCCATAAATATTATTAATTGACAAGTTTTCAAAATTCTACATTTCTGCTACAAACTTTTAATCAAAGTTTACCTACACAATGATATAAAATTTTTAATTTGAAAACACTTGTGTCGAGATATTCCTATTAAATATTAATAACAGACTTATATTAGAATATAATCACTTACTTCCCATGGTATTGGATGCGGAAATAGACGAGGTGTGCGATCAGCTGTTGGGGGCACAAATCCTGCATATTTGTGTGGTCCTTTTTCGAGAACAGCTAGCTGACTGTTTCTTGTTCCTTGAACCAGTTTTATCATTGGTTGTTCACTAGATTTTGATCTGGAGTAAACTTTACTTGGTTTTTCTTTAGCTGTGCAAGAAACAAAGAAGGAAACTAATTGAAGTGAACAACGCCCGTTCAAACTGAGAATTAGACTTAGATAATAGTCTTAATAGACACTTTAGATTGGTTTGTAGAAAATGTTTATTAGTAGAAGAATCGATTCTCTGTGATCTAGCATAAAATTTCTTAGAAGTGCTTAAGATGCTATATTTTTGGTGATTTACTTAGTCAAAAAAGGTAGTGGTTAGAGTGTTTCAGCTTTTTACCCTATGCATAACAGACATACTAGAACATGACTTTAAATGACAGAGAAGCTGGGAAAATCTTTATTATTTAAACGCACACAAGCCTCATTATAACGCGTTCAAATGCAGGACTGGATTTCTATAAGACTAGTTTCAGAGACAATCAAAGATATTCTAAACTGCATACGGTAAACTAACTATATAACATTCTTCAGAATGGCTAGCCTTTCAACTGGTATTGATCGATACTGAAAATCGTTATTTAATCAAGGTGACATTTAAATTACCATTTTAACACATATATTTACTTAAAGTTTTAGTTGAAAGAAAATCTGTATCTTGATACGAGATTAGAATTAGTAAAATTCAGGTTCTCAACCTATACCAACATTGATTTTATCTTCAGATGAGTTCATTATAAGCCTTTTTTTATTTTATATTTCTACTTGACCTAATTATTACTATTGATTGTAGTGACAATACTTTCTTTTTTACTGAGATAACAATGTAAAAACAATACAAATAAACATAATCACTGTTTTAAAATTGTTGGGATGATCCTGAGAATTTCTCACAATATACATGACAAGCTCAGGAAAGATTAAAAGGCATTTTTATCCAATCAGAGTTTGATTAGAAGTTTTACTAGAAATATCAAGAAAATGAAAAGTCAAATGTAGAGGTTCTGATTGGCTGATTACTATACTGCGACTATGTTTAGTAGTATTCTAGAATTTTCAGGAAAACCCAAGAACTTCTAAAATACTATAATAACTCTATATTTTCTGTACATGAATGAATCTTTGGAGTAAAGTGCATCTCGTATATTTTGCGCATTTTCTCTCGTGTTCAAATTGCTGTGTAGTTTTAGCTTGGGGGTTACGAGACTAGCTTATGATCGGAACGTAGCGTTCAATCAAGGAGACATCGAAAATTCCCAATTTCTTGTACTAAATATATTAATATAAATAGAAAGAAAATTAAAATGTTTGAACAGTGTTATATCACTAACTTATAAGTATTCTTTCAAGTCGTGAATCAAGAGATGGATCCATGCCTAAAAAATAAAACAAATGAAAAAAAGAGATATACAAATATTATTATTGAATCATTGGTAATGATAAATAGGATATATATGTATAACGAAATAAATAAAAAGCAAACTTTTAATATTCAACATTTTCCCCCAAGAAATTTAATTACTTCATTAGTGATAGATTGAAGGCTAGAGAGTCAATACCGTAGAGTAGACAATACAAATCAATATGATCGATTAAAAGTCACTCTTAATGGATTTATGATCTGGTGTATTTCAAGTTTTTATTCTGTTAGAGTTACTGATGTTCATATTGATTAACAATATTTCTAGGAAGGTCACGTACAGATAAATATGATTACTATCAACAGTAATTAGATAAAAGAATTTTCAATCGTTAATTCTTAATTAATAAAGCTCATTACTCTAACATAAAACAGTTTTATAAAAATGTATTGTAATCTAGTTTAAGTTTAAGACACCAATTGAAACCATTAGTCCTTAGCAGAAATGTCTTCTACATAAAATAGTATTTTGTAGCTAATGACATAGGATGATCATACAGAGTTTTGTTGATCTTATTGAGAAATATGTCAAGATTAGACTAGATATTAGAGTCTGAAAAATTTCACAATAGTTAACGGACCAATTAAATGCACAATAAATACAAGAAAACTATGTGGTTATCACTTTTTAACTTTAGACAAAATGAAATAAAACTCATTTTTTAATAACTGAGTAGAAGGTGGATGCATGTTTTGTCTAATTCCGCTATTTTTTTCACGAATTAAAATTAAACAATTTTTCATCGTTGAGTGGATGACCTATTCAGTATACAATGAACCGGAGAACCTTGTACCTATTTATATTCCATAATTTTGATTATATTTCCTTGAAAAAGGTTGAACCAGGCGGGACGTTGGATTTACTTCAAATTCATTCGCTGAGATTTTACAAATATATTCTTACTATTTAATGTCTTACATAAACTTGGCGCCCAAATACTGTGAAAGCATTTGCTCTAATTTAGACAAAAGTTCTTATATAAAACTAAAGATAATTAGTATTATTTCAATCAATGATAGAATTGAAACTCTTGGTAGCTAGAAAAGTGTAATATATTCTCTGTAAAAGTTGAGACCTAATACAAAATACCAGTTGTATCAGTAGTTACTTAAGTTAGGTTATGTAGGCAACAAATATTTTTTACGATTAGTTGATGAAGTTTTTCTAAAGTTGTCTTCAAGTTTACTGATGAACAGTATTAAGTTTATCAGTTTTCTCCGAATTATTGATTTTTGTTTCTATTACTTCAATACAAACAATCAATAATTAGTGGGATGAGTTTTTTTTTTCTACAATTTATATATATATATGTATACCTGTTTAATGATAGGAGTATAGACTTGAGAGATTACAAAAATAAAATGACTTACGTGTTTGCGGTTTAGGGTGTGTTTCTTCTGGTTGTGATTTCTAGAGAGATCATATTGAAGATAGTGTTTGAAATAGTCATGAAAAAAACAAAAGAAAACCAATTAAAACTTATTAGAATCAAAGTGGTCAATGTTTAAATGATGAATGGTTATCAGCATTTTGTGAATTATTTCGCTCTATTGCTGACATAATAATTACCCCTGAAAATACGTGATTTACGAGAGGTAACGTTTATAATTAATTCATTGATGTGAATACATTCAATCGTAAGTGAAAAGCTGAAGGAATGGATTAGATGAAGAAAATAAGTTAAACTTCTTTGCAACCCAACTCTGTACAAGTTGACTGTACGTTATAGTAGCATTTTTAAATCAATATACATTAGTTGATTAGTGAATAATTTATATTTAATTTTAACTAAACAGCCCGACACAATAATAATAATGTACCTTTGAGTTTAATTCTTTGATTAAACTTAATACTTTGTCAACTTTCTCTTCAACAGTTCTAAGCCTGTCAGTTTTTGATTCAACTCTTGTTAGGAAATCATGCGTTGTTTGATAATATGTTGAGATAGCTGCAGATATCTCTGATGAAATTTCAGCACCTCTGTTCATCTGCATTACTGTAGTTCGGACACTGACCATTTTTCCACTCTCTTTTTGTTTACGTTTTTTGCCTTGAATAATATATCGATCATAATCCCAGAAACGTAATCTTTCCCAATGTATAAGACGTAGTTCTTGAGGTGATCCAGGTTCATAGGATTTTTCTAAAATTGTTAATAAATCAATCAATCATCTTTTTTTTCTCATTCTGTAAATTCAGTGTTATATTTATTAATACTTATTGAATGATTAAAAACAAGTTTAAATCTATTAAATTGAAACGGTCAGCTGGATGGGTCATTTGACTGTTTCCTGAACAGTTGATACTCTAATGTTTAGAAAAATAGTACATTATTACCAATTCTATTAGAAACATTGATGAAGATTACACGCTTGATGATAGCTCATTTCATATCATCGAAATCAATTTGTTATAAGTGTATTTGTATAAGGTATAATTACTTCTGTTGTGCAATAAACAGAAATACCATCATAGCTTAAATTGACTCATGATTTCAAGTATATATAGAAATATCATTTGTCAGCACAGAGAGATTCGTTTAATTTTATTACATCCGGATTATGATAAGATTGAAACATTTTAACACTGATGATAATTTATCTGATAAAGTTCAGAAACAGAATAAAATCAAAGTAAACATTTACATCCCACTTTACGGAATTATTCAACTTATTAGGAAGTGGAAAATGAAAGAAGACAATTGCGTTCACTAAGTGTCATTGAAACACTACAAGGATAATCAAACATACAGAAAATGACCATTACTTAGTGATAAATATACATTCTATGTTTAAAATATATCACAAATTTTCAATGTAATCAGTTTTATTCTTTAGATCATAAATTGACCGTAACTAGACAGACATAGAAGACCAAGAAGCACTGAAAAGATGTTTTGTCTTTGTATGGTATTTTTCAGTGGTATGCATCTATGATCCCGATCTATTTCAAACGCCTAACCTTCAAGTCTCGTAATGACTCCTTAGATTTCAGACAACTGAGTTGGTGTCCAGTAGTTTACAAGTAAAACTTCAATCAATTCTTAATATTAGTCAGCCACTTTCCGATGTCACTGGTGGGTAACTATCTCACGTTGGTATGTCAGGGCTTCTCGTTAGAATTTCGGGATTACCTCTCAAAATACATCACAACTAAGCATATGATTATGATAAGAATATGGGGCTCGTAAAGTTTGTTGAGTTTCAGTTCATGATGTAAATTATAAAATTCGGTAATCTCCAAAAACTTCAAAGCCAGTAATAATGAATTATGTATATACCGTTTATCGACACCCAAATGTATTATTAAGATACAGCATTTGTGTAGAGTATTAGTTTTTGAAGTGAGCTTTTACCTCAAACTGTCATAATCTAATGAACGGATAAAAATCTGAGAACATTGAATAGCTATTTATCCCCATGTTGAAATGGTTTAAAGAAGTATGGTGTTTAGGCCATTTGCAGAATACGGATTAAGAATCTAAGGAGGTATATTTTGTGAAATAATTAATTCAATGCAAACAGTTTAGCAAGGACACCTAAATTAAGCAGTTAACTTTTCGTATAGTTTATTCTTTCCTGATTAATAGCATTCACATCCATTTTTTTAATATAAAACATTCTAGGCAAACTCTTAAAGTTTAATTTTGGTTTTCGCGTGAAAAACTGCATTCAAAATATTGTAGAAAAGATATTAATATAACCGATTAATAAGGTTCAAATTGTTTTCTACTAGTAATGTATACTACATTATGACTTAATTTCTCCTTAAAGTATTATAAATAAATATATATATCACTTACTAAAAGGATGATCACTTTTCAGTAGACTTTTCCTGCAACCTCTTATTATATAACGTATTATTAAATAAATATACCATATTATGTTTAGAGGAGGTGGAATCGGTGAACGATTTACATATTCTCCTACTATATGATATCTTTGTAATGCCCAATATTTTGTTGATGCTGATTCAATTCTCATATACGTAGAGCTAATAAAATATTGAAAAAGAAATATAAATTATCATTAGTATTTATAATCATGATATTATTGAAATTGCATAACTTAAAAGCTACATGCGAAGCTGCTAATATTAATGAACTTCATCAGCTAAGCAGACAAATCACATAAAGGTGTATGGAATATTTTACTTTAATTCAAATCAATCTAGAATCTCGTATTTAAATTATAATTTGTCGTAGTGATTAATAATGTGAGTGATGAAATCAGACATCTAGTTCCTGGATGATATTATTATTATTTCGGGAAAAGCACATAAATCACTGGGCGCTGACTGAAAACCTTATAGCCTTTTAAAAAATCAAGTGAACAGTAAAATAATTTATGGTTATTTGTAGTCATTTATATTTTCCCCTTATAATGACAAAATAACTATCAACTTATCACTTTAGTTATTAAAGATTGTTTTCGTTTGAAACAACTAGACGTTTAACTTCTTTGTAACTGATATTTTGTAACCATTCACCAATGTCATCAGTGAGTTGATATCTCCCAACAGACCTGGTTGAACTCCACTGGTTACTGCTTCTCACTAGAACACCAGGAAATACCTCATGGAGCCAGTTACTAGTGAGCACATGATCATTATCAGAAGGGGTTTGGTGGAGATTTTAGTAATTTTATAGAGTTGAGATCATGAGTCAATTGAAGTTCAACTCTGTGAAATTACTAAAATCTCCACCAAACCCCTTCTGATAATGATATTTTGCAGTTAAATTTCCAGTTTTTGTTTTCGTCTTTCAGTTGATATAAGTTTGTAACAAAAGATAATTACAGATTCCATTCATCACATCAACAGATTCTTAACTATTTTACCATATATAAGTGTATATTTTATTTGACATATTTAGAAATGAAATAGTTAACTTACGCAAACATAGCAATTACAAGATTCAATAGTAAAACTTGAGTAAGTATTACGTATACACCAAGAAGTATTGGTGATAGCCAAGTGGACCAGCCTCCTGGACAATTAATTTTATCATTCTTACAAGAGTCCAATAAAACTAATCAAAAAATAAATCAGTATAGAAAATTAGAAAGTGATCTGTTGAAACAGACAAAGTTGATTTATTTATTTATTTAAGTAAACATTTTTTATTGATTGTCATCATTTCTGTTCATCATTTTCCCTTCAAGAAAACCTGTATGTATGAATATGCAATAAAACTGCTTCACTAGTCAAAAATTGACTTCAAAATGTATTCAGGTGATCTGCATAAACTATCCTGCAATAAATATCTGGAGTCATTAATAAAGTATTTTAGCATCCATAAATCTTCCTAAGTAATTTATTCTAAATAAAAACCTTTTACTATTTATTGTAATATTGTAGTGTAGACATAAGTAGTATGTAACATCAGTAAGAAGTTGAATGCCTGTCAAAGGAAAGTTGATAAGATTGTACTGAAGAAAACAGAAAGGACAACATAAAGAAATAGAGAATTGCAAGAACTGTGAAGAATGTAAAGGACAATTGATGAAAGATTTGCAAATGAAGTATTGAATATATGGTTTTCACAATTTACCAAAGAACCCTGTGATTTTATGTTAAATTATAAATTGGTTGTTACCATCTGAGTGTTCGTTTACTTCAATATATTTGAAACTATTCATAATATAGTACAGTCTACTTCTTCAGTTTGATTCTATTATAATTTTTTTCTGTTTGTGGACGTTTCCAAACAAATCAAATGTTTCAGGCACATTTGGTGAATACATATAGAGTGCATTACGGTCTACATAAGCAAACTTTAGATGAGGAAATTACATTTGAACCCCTTCATGTGAAAATATCGAAACTTTATTCAGTGAAATTGCTTACGAAACAAAGCAGTTTTATACATGATTGTCAAAATGCTTTCTGGTATGATTACCTTCACCAGATAAAGTATCCATTTCATATTCACCGAACACTTGAAAATAGGCCAATTGTAAAGCTTTGAACACAGTGAATAAATTTGTTAATGGATCTAAGCTAGCCGTTGATTGATAAGCAGTAACCCATTGTAATATTGCAAATCCGGCTACGACAACAGTGAACAAAGCCAAAAATGGAATTAAATCACGAACAATCTGTAAAATAAAATGAGAAATTTCAGTTTATCTGTTTAAACATCGGCATTGTTGACCTTAGTCATGAACAACGAGTGCGGGAAAACAAATCGTCTTTAGCCTATCTGGTTTAAACAAACTTAAAGTATTTATGTTAATTTAAAATTTTACAATCACTCTGAAAATGCTATCCAGCAGATGCTAGGATGATTTTCCGTTTGATTGATACTGAGAAGACTTCAGGTAAGTCATTAGCTTTTCATTTGAAGAACTCATAATTAAGAAATGTTAAGTCTCAGAGCTTAAGATCCATCTCATATACATTGGTGCTTATTAATTGTGCACATAAATTATAAAGTTAATATTCTGTTATTTACTAAGTCACTGTCCTATTTTTCGGATGGTCGTAATATCTGATCCAAGTAATATTTTGGCTTAAAACGGTTATAGGAAGTCAGATACCAAAGTTTATTAATTTTTACCACCAGAATAATCGATTATTTCAAAATTGAAGTAGAAACAATGATCAAAGTCATGAATGATCAAAATAATCCATTTCAATTAGTTTGAACATATTAAAGGATACTTACCATAGATTGTACCATAATAACCATTGGTCCTAAACGTATATTTACTGTAAATAATTCTAAAATACGATGATAGAATATACACAATGAAAGTCCATAAAATATTCTTGCCAACTGCAATAAAGCTTCTTGTATAGCACTAACTGGATTCACTGGTGTAAATGATAATCTTTCCGCTTCTTCAGTTAATACTAAAAGTTGTAATGCTGTGCCAAGTATAAATATAATAATGGCCATAATTTCCAAACATTTCCATAACTTTGTTAAATATATTTTAAATGGAATTTCACCTAGCATTCCCTGATCAATAGTAGAGTGAAAGAACACAGAATTAGTTTTTGTCTAAATTTTTAAAAACTTGTCTAAAAGTAGACTATATATACACATCGAAAAAATATAGTATAATTTATTTCCTTTAATGTTACGTTTGTTAAGACTGTCGGATATAATCCGATGATTTAACTTTACCTTTCAATTCTTGGTACATTTTCCATTTCAAATATTCTTTGATAAATAAGACACAGGTTAATTGGAACGGCCATAAAAATAATTGGACCGGCAAGAAAATTTAATGACTGATGGTCGGTATCAGATATTGATCGTTAAAAAAGTTTTTTAAAATATGCTTTAAATAATTACAGTTTGAATATGTGTGATATACTTCTTGTACTGATAATTTTTTACCGCATCAGAGTTATTAGCATCAACTAAAGCTGTAATCATTATTTTAGTTTTTTGATTAAGATCATGAATCAATCAACGTTAGACTATCGTTGAATACCTGGAAACACTGGAAGGCCGTTTCGTCCTAGTATGGGACTCCTTAGCAGTACGCGATCTCCACAACCTCATACTGATAATTACTATGTGCTCACTAAGGACTAGCTTCGTGAGGTAATTCTCAAGGTTCTGGTGAGAAAACCTGATCAATGGAGTTAGTCTGTTTCAGGTAGAGACAGGCATCTACCTCAGACAATGGAAGATGATCGCGCAATTTCATGGATTAGTTGAAGTTAGACATTAATACCGTTGGATATCAGCTCATTGGTTTAGGTGTTCCGCGTTCGCGAGCGAGACCTAAGGTTATTTATTTATTTATTTAAACACATAAATATTGGTAGAAAAAAGCACCAGATAAATATCCGCCTCACAAATCTCATTCGATTTGTGTGAGGGCTGTGATACTGCCCAGGTGCCCAGACTGAAGCAGGTGGTTTTCTTAGGGGGCCACACCCGGAGCCTTTGACCTGAATGTCTGATCCACGAGGCAGTGGAGCATCGTGAGGAGATGCAGTCCCATGGTAGCCGGTGATCAACGGTTGATTTGTACGCCATTTGTTCCCTCAGGATACTGGAGCCCATGTGCACCATTGGTTTGGAATCAGGGTTTTCCAACTCCCCTAGGTGAACTTTCCGTGTCCACCAACCCCGTTAAAGCGCCGGACATTCGCTTTTCGTCTTCTCACTTTCGTAAACAACACCCCCGCCACGAGAAGGCAGTGAGTAGGACTTCCCTGTCAGAGGCTATATATTCGCTGGCCATATGAGAGCATTTCGAGAGGGAGAGCAGACTCTCCCCACTCTCGGCCGTACCAGGGCATTTGGGGCATTTGGAGACCTAAGGTCCTGGGTTCGTATCCCGAGTGAGTAGTCGTGGGTGCTCACTGCTAAAGAGTTCAATACTAGGATGAGACGGCCCTCCAAATCTTTCAGGTTTTTAATGGTGGTCTAACATCGATCAATTCATGATCTCAATCAAAAACTTAATAATCTCCACAACTCCAAATTTATCATTATTTTATTACTTTTACCTTATTCATAATTTATCACTGTTAAATGTAATTCATTAGAATTTTAAAACTAAAGCTTTAATTATGAAATAACTCATTACTTTTGAAATACTAAGTTGTACAATAGACTGTTTACGTTTTATTTTAGTATCGATCATGTAAAATATTTGGTTTTTAAGTTATATTGTAACGTTGTTTATTTTGATAACCAGTTATGATGTGAAATGTGAAAATGAATGAACTTGGTTAGATAGTTCACAGATATTAATCTGATGTTTATGCTAGTCTGTTCAATCTCTCATTCTATATATAGTTAGTCTTTGTGATGACAATAATTACTGTATTTAATGCTGTAACTTGATGTGCAGATAAGAACTCTCAGCATCATATGTGCATGATTGCACAAATTTCTGTTTAATGTGTAATAAAACTAAAATTACTCAAAAAGGCATTTTATTTGTGTCTTTTGACAGTCACTATCTGTCATTCATCTTCAATTACGAAAGTCTTCCTATTCAGTTACAGTTATTTCTTTCATTCATCACATATAGGATGAATGAATTAGAATATATTCATCTTTCAGTTTTCCAAATGATGGAAAAAGAGGAAAATTTCTCAGTAAGGTATTTTCATCTGAGTTTTACAGTAATAAGAATCGTATTAAATAATAAACTTCTAATACTAGTGGGTGAGTATGTACTGTTGGCATTCATACTTATCCAGCTCAGATAAATCTAAGACTAGAAAGCTTGGCGTAATATTTATATTTAGAAAATGTGAGGCACAAATTCTTAAGTAGGACGTCATAATAAAAATCGTGATTGTTCTAATGGAAATTTTTTTAAGGTGATCAATGTTATCTTTATCTTGAAAATTTTAAGACATAATTTATACGTATCTCAAATTAAATCTATTATCTACTGATATATATGACATAGAATTACACGTTATAGACAGTGAGCACTGATTCTACCGCTACAAAAGATTCATACAGTTTATGATAACTTAAGTCTATAACTAAAAATTACATCCTCTGGAAATCCGCCAATCATGCCTTTAAGTTGTGTTGCAAATAGTAAAGTTTCAGCTTGAATTATTTGGATAATGGCTAGTAATATACATTGAACTTTATGTCTCCTATTCAGAAACAAGAGGCTTAAAAAGGTTTGTTGTTTTGATGGAGTTTTGTTCTCTGAGGTGAATGGTTTGCTCGTGGAGCTTTCATCGTTCTTCTGAATGACATCATCAGCACAAACTTTGGGTAAGGTTTGTTGTTATAAACAACTCGTTTCATTCTTCTTACACATTACTTCTCATCACAATCGATCCGATTTGGTCGTTCTTTCTCGTTATCTATGACAAATTACTGTAATGTACTATGATGTCAAATAAGCCAAGTTAAGTACAATACAGTTCTACATCGTGTTATTTTGTTAATTTATCTATGCTGTAAAATCGGTCATGACAGTTTATTGCTAAAATAGTTTTTGTTGATCAGAAGGGGTTTTGTGGAGAACTTAGTATTTTTATAGTTGAAATCATGAGTCAATTGGAGCTAGACCACCATGGAAAACCTGGAAGCATTGAACTCACTGAAGAAAACTGGTGAACGGTTGCTCAAAATCGTGGATTGGTTGAAGTTAGACATTAACACCATCGGATGCCGGCTCATTGGTCTATCGGTTAAGTCCTCTGGTGCGAGACTGATAGGTCCTGGTTTGGAATCTCGCGAGACAGGATCGTGGATGCGCACTGTTGAGGAGTCTCATAATAGGACGGAACAACCGTCCAATGCTTCCAGGTTTTCCATGGTGGTCTAGCTTCAATTGACTCATGATTTCAACTATGAAAATGGTTTTTCACTATTCTTCCAATCTATCATTAACTGTACACCCATTGAATATGTATCTTTTAAAATCTCATCCACTCTTCTTTATTCACTAAGAAAATAATTTTAAAGAATACTCACCATTTAATACTAAGTTACATAACAACAAATAATGTACTAATAATTACAGATAATAATGAAGAAAAAAACTATATTAAATAAGGTAAACCCACATGACGTATATGTTCTGCAATAAATGAGATCACCCACATATATAAGAAAATATTTTGAAATGAGTATACAGGTAAGAGTAGATCAACAGTAAATAATAAAACGTAGGTAAAAAAGCATAAAAATGCAATGTAGGAAATCTGTGAATTAAAAAAAAATAATAATAATAAAGGGGTAAATTACATTGGAATTTTTTATTGATTATTATTAATCATATTTGAAAAAAAAATTTTCTAAAAATTAGATAGACCATAATTTATAGTTAGTTCTACATATCAGTTTACACTTTATTGTATTTCTTATGATTTGTTTTAGTTGCTGCGTAAAATCTCAAGAATTAACTCACACAAAAAGGTGTGGTGTAATTAAGTAATTCAAGATGGGGTGGTTAGATAAGTTTGTTATTTAATATAACATATAACTCTTCCTATGTTCACAATAATAATGATAATAAAGAAACTTAGGCAAACTAATATCACGTTTCATTCACACCGCAGTTCAAAGACCACCTGACAGTAATGCAAAATACTAAGCGAAATGATGATATAATGATATTACGGTCAGATAAAGGTTCAAGTGTTGTTCTAATGAACACAACAGATTATATCTCTAAGATAAAGTACATTTTAAGTGACCACATGAGATTCAAGTTAGATAAAGGTAATAAGGACTTAACTGATTTAACTGGGAAAAGAATCATGAAAATACTTGGGGATCTCCTGAGGATGATCGATAATACCACTTACACTAACCTACGACCTCGTAGGTCTCATTTACCCACACATGTATGGTTTACCAAAAATATATTAGCAAGGTATTCCTCTTAGACCTATTTTGTCAATAGTCAACCCACCCTACAACAAAGTTGCACGATTATCCATGTATACATTAAAGGATTCATTTGGATTTTCTGACAAAATGAACCACATAAATATTGCTGGTAAGTTTTATGGTTACCTTTGGTGTGACACCACTGTTTACAAACTTACCACTTCTTGAAACCATAGACATGATTCGCCAGCATTCTGACATCCTACCTCTATCAGCATCAGAATTCAAACGACTGTTATTAATGTGTACAAACGATGTTCAGTTCCAGTTCAACAATATCATATACCGACAAACCGATGGTCCAGCAATGGGAAGTCCGTTAGGTCCTATCTTAGCACATATTTTCATGACTAACCTCAAAAGAACTAAGCTCAAATGGGCGATCGATGAAATGATATATTATTCAAGGTATGTTGATGTACCTTCATCTCATGTAATGATCAACAACGTGCGTCAAATCTGCTAAAACGTCTCAACGAAGCCCATCCAAATATGCAGTTTACTATGGAACATGAAAATGGAAACAAGTTCCGTTTTCTCGATATCGCAACGAACAGAGGGAAGCATTGCACAATTCAACGTCCAGTTTATAAGAAAGACACATGGAATGGGGTTTATCACAATTCCAATGGTATTATAACAACTCAGATACAATTGAGTTTGTTTAAATCTAATTTAGTTAAGCCCTTTTGTTAACTCATTTAATGGACGGTCATTCATACAATAACAACCCATGTATACCATTGTACTTTTATACGCTTGAACATTGCTTACTGCCTACGCATATATTCATTCCGCTAGCATTATTATTAATCGCTTATTTGATCCGATGATTCACGCTTTTCCACTTATATATATATGTACATCTTAATCCTGTTTACTGAACTTGCCCTGCTTGCTCTCTGCTCTGCACTAAGCTACACCGTACTGTACATGCTTACTCATTCATTCGGCTCTACGGCACTGCTCTTTCATGCTTGCTTGACGTACCTGTAATATTAGATAACTGTGTGTGATTTAGTAATAAACGCGATCAACCCTTCGTATTCGTCTTCTGATTTATACATCATTAGGACGTTGTCGAGTAACGGTTATCAAGACGAACAATATACAAAACCTAGGGATAATATCGAAAATCGACCACCACAGTTTTTCTCCAACCAGTTACAAAAAGGCACTGGTTAAAACACTGTTTCACAGAACAGAGAGAACATGTACTGGTGATACACTAGAAGAGGAAGTAATGAGTGCTAAAAAATGTTTGTAGAATAACAGATACCTACTGAAATTTATTGAGAAATACGGAAAACGTGAAGATTAGAAACCCGGACAAACTACAGCAAATAAAAAACCTTTTTATTCAACTTAAATTCAAAGGTGATGATGTCACATAGTCAATCATTACTATATTAAAAACTGCATTGACAAAAACTTATCCTTCATCCAAACTGATTGTCCTGTTCAAAGCAATATGTTCTTTAACACAACCAAAGGTCGATAGGTATCCCTTCCATGTTACCACCAACTATGTATACAAATTTACATATAACTGCCAAAGCAGCGACATTGGTAGAACAGAAAGGAGAGCCTACGTTCTATTCGAAGAACATATTCCGAAAAGTTTAAGGTCAAATGGATCAAAAGTATTCAGTAGTGCCTTCGCAAGACATCTTAACACAGGACATCAAGTCGATACACTGAATTCCTTTAAAGTAATTAACAAACAATCAAACTCCAACCTTTTGAAATTAGCCAAAGTGATAGCAATCAAACGTCTATAACCAGATCTATGTACCCAAAAATAGGCAGTAATAAATCTTTATTTGATCTGGTAACATTCAACCCCATTTTTATTTATTGCGTTGCTTTTTCAACTCTTTTTGTTTAAATTACATCATTGTCATTTTTCTTTGATTCATAGCTGACTGATTTCAGTTCATATCCTTTATTACCATTAATCTATTTTCAGTTGCTTCATTACACAATCATCTAATGTTTGCAAACTCCATGACTTTTAACCCCTATTTTAGTGTTCTGGAACTTTCTCTCGCGAACTTTATTTATCCGAAACAAAAGTTTTATAACCTTATTAACTCTATTGAAATCTTCGCTACATCATGAAACATATGTACATCTTTAATCACCCTCGTATGTATGAGTATGTCAATATCTGTAATAAAGTTGACTTTCAAATATTTTAGGTTGTTAGCAGCTGATGAGAACCTAACGAAATAAAATGAATTCATATTATTCTACACTAATCTTTGTTCTTACTCTCTTTAAGATAATAAAGGGGAACTATATGTGCAAATTTCTTTTGCTTTAAATTCACTTTACAAGAGATATTTTCATAATACGACAATCGTTTGTTGAATAATTGTGAGTTCTTATGTAATGGGATATTAATGAAGTCCATCAATTCGGTAATGTGATCAAATAGACTGTTATATTGATTCTTATTGATCATAGAAACTTATTTATATATCTAGAATCCAGGTTATATTCTAATTAGCATATATCTTAAGCTATCTTCTAAAGATCCCTTAGCACATTTGTCAAGTATATAGTTTCATAAGCTGAATCATACAATCAATTATATAAAATTAAATTAACCCCTAAATCTAGGTAATTTGAAATAATTTTTTCATTCGTGATTCATAAACTTGCTTCATCTATTCTTATTGACATGTATTTGTATACCAAATGGTTTGGTGATAATATGTTTAGTTTCAGAGTTGCATATGTAAGCTTAAAATTCAGAAAAGAATCTTAATTTTATTTAAGTGGAAGATACGCTGCGTGAATATTTAACAATCTACAAAAAAAAAACACAACTAAGTACAGTAACTGTTGGTTACGTATTCCAAATATATAACACTGGGTTACCAAAGTGCCCTCATCCTATGTTCATAATCCTTATATTTTTATGCATGAATAAGTGGTTCAGTTATTAACAAAATTTATTAATCTGGTGACCTTACTAACAAACCGAAAATATATTTAAATTCCAAATGAATGAAAGTATCTTAAGTGAATGATTTAACTAAATTCTGAGATACTTAAGTCGACCACTTGGTAAGATCTGATGTCATATTTAGATGTTACATGTTTTGATTGGAAGAGCAAATCAATATGCACATATATTCTTTAGCTAATGAGAGAATCCTTATTAGTTTTAAATTCAATTTAAATTGCTATAAATTACCAATCACCATATGCTTTTTACTAACACTTGAAAACTCCGGTAATCTCAACGAAATGTAAGATATTATTATTACTATGGTTGAAATCATGAGTCAATTGAAACTAGACCATCATGGAAAACCTGGAAGCACTGGACGGCCGTTTCGTCCTATTTATTCATGATTTTCAACCATGAATACAATGAAGTAATTTTTTTAAAAAGTATTATTTAATCATCAGAGCTTATCCAAAAGCTATGAAACAACAAATAAAAATTTTCTAATGCCTACCAGGAATTCTGAAATTTTGAATATTATGAGAAGGGAATTTTGTGAAGATTTTAGTAATTTTATTTAGTTGAGATCATGAGTCAATTGAAGCTAGACCACCATGTAAAACCTGGAAGCACTGGGCGTCCGTTTCGTATTTCCTGGATTTCTAGTGAGAAGCAGTAACTAATGGAGTTCAACCAGGTCTGTTGGGCGATATTAACTCATTGAAGACATTGGTGAATGGTTGCTCAATTTCGTGGGTTGGTTGAAGTTAGACATTAACACCATCGGATGCCGGATCATTGGTCTATCGGTTAAGTGCTTCGGCTCGAGACTGGAAGGTCCTGGTTTGGAATCTCGAGAGGCAGGATCATGGATGCCCACTGTTGAGGAGTCCCATAATAGAACGAAACGGCCGTCCAGTGCTTCCAGGTTTTCCATGGTGGTCTAGCTTCAATTGACTCATAATTTCAATTATATAAAATTATGAATATTCGTTTAGATTCGGTTTGAGAAGGAAAATTATGGGGGAGAGACAGATCTGTACTATGAAAATATCTCATGATCGTTTTCAATAAATGTCATGGTTGAAGCGTACACATTTAATTCTTGTAAGACAAAATAATATATATATATATATAATGAATAGTTTTCTTACTGTTGTATATGAAAATCGTACACAAGGCGATAAATAAAATCCTTGAATCTTTCGAAAATATAATGATAATGAATTTTGGACACTGGAAAGGTAAATAAAATATATGGTTGGTTAGTTTAGAAAATACAATTCTCAAGCGTTTATTGAATATTTCTACTAAAGCAAAAGATTATTAGATTTGAATCATCGGTACGTTTCCATTAACTCAAAAATTACTTAGTTTCCAGTCTGAAACCGAAGAATGTTCTAACAATGAAGTTATCTGCGTGTTCAGATAACACTCAAACTTAGGTCATCTTATGAATTTAAAATGACAATCATATCAATGACATTCTAAACAACAAGTTCAATTTGGCACAGAGATATTTTAGATTTCTTTTGGTTTAGAACATTTCGCGCTTGTTAACGTACAATGCACAATCTACTATGAGAGCACAATGATATCTTGTACAAATCTTGATGTAATGTTGTCCAACTCATTAAACTATAATCAAATAAATTATATGGGACTCACTTTTTCGAGGTTTCATGTGGTGGTCTTTTGGCCTAAAGAGAAAAGAGGACAGATAGTTACGTTTTTGATAAACCATTTCTATTCATCATCAGTCACATAGTGAAATATATTCTGAATAACATATAAATTAATTTATAAAGCATTTATTTAAATAATACAAGTGTTATTCTTGTATAATATTTATGATACTCGTGAATAATACTGAGTGTAATGCTTTGAATAATTGTCACTTTTAGGAGAGCTTTTAAAAAGGGGATGTTAAGTAACTACACTGTAGACCTAAGCTTGCGGCAAAGTTTGGTAAGATAGAGATATTTCAACACTTTATCTTGGATGAAGCGGCTGATTTACAAAATTCGAGAAATTCGAATAATTCACTTCTACATGGAGTTTATGCTGATGATGTTATGCATAAGAACAACGAAAGCTTCTCGACTGAACCATCCAATTCAGAGAACGAAACTCCAACAAATGTTATGAAGTCCTATTGTTACATATCAGTTAGCAATAATAAACAATTACGTTGCAGAAAGCATGTGTAAATAACCTTGTAAAAATCGAAAAATTAATTTTTACGCATAGTTTTTTTATCTGTTCACTCAATTCTTTCACAGATTATTGGGTCATATTGTCTGAACAGAGAATCAAAATCAGACTAACCTATTACAGAACACTGTGTCATCATCCACATAAATTATGCATCATGAAGTAAAATGAAAGTAAAAATTATCATGTTTGATCATTTTAATAGAAACTTACATCCATAGACATTTTTCTATCTGATGGCTTTTTAGATTTTTTATCCATTTCAAATTTACAAGCCTCATTTTCTTTGACTTGGAATTTCAACGAAAATGGTACTAATGGAGGTAGGGTTATTCCAATTATTAACGCTACAATAAACTTAATAAAGAATAAACAAGATGTTATGAATGATCTATGTGTTAGCTAAAGTTTCAGAATCAAAGTCATTTTAGATGCCAGGATATATATTTTTTCTTTCATTTACAACATGAAGCAATTGTAATTTGGGTTAAAAATAACAATAAACCCAACAGTATTGTGAGTTTCATTGACAAAACCTGCGCCTTATCATTTGAAATTAACGATAATCTCCGTTTAGTATGAAGTTACAGTTTATTAACGAATGACTATTGAATTAATTATGATTTAAACTTAAACGTAGCTTACAACATAAAAGCATAGATACCATATTCTTGAGCCTATCATGAATGAATTCTAATTATTATGCTCCCATGGCTTTATTTAGTTACTGATAAGTTACTGATTATTCTATGTAATAAATCAGTGTTAACTGTATGTCACATTAAAGAAGTATAACAACTGTAGTTGTTTATGAATATGGCAGACCCTAAGTTTTAAGTTGTAAATTTAGATACACGGTTTTTTTGAAGTCCAAAAGTATTCCCAAGATAATTCCCGAAAATGAAATCGAATTCCCGCTAAATTTAAAGATGAATTATTAGTCCTTGTTCTTTATGTATCTATTTTACATTCAAACATGTAGAGAAGAATTAACTGATGGAAAAAGGAATTCAATAATCTTGTCACTACGGTCTTACACTAATATACACAGATCTTACAACTGATAGCAAATTAATCATCAATTAATTATTGATTATGATGAACAGTATTTTAAATCATCTACTGGGACATTTTGTGAAAAAAAATTATTCAAATATTATACCGGAAACATTCCTGATCTTGGATCAATCATTCCATTCCAAACACGTTCAAGATATTGTTCAGAACACTGATGTGAAATGAAACTCATGGATTTTCCTTCTGCAGCTAGCATAAGACATGACATACGTCCGAATAATTTTCTTTCAAGTATAATTGTTTTAAATGACAAACTTTGATTGTCATTATAACATTCAGTTAATAAACTATAAGCTTTTGATTCAAAAGATCTGAAAAAGAAATGAAATATATGGAAACATAGTAACCAATGGAAGTCATGTTTTATCACAAAGGGACATCAAACGGAGAAGCACTGAAAACTGGGAGGGGGCATTGGATAGCTGTTTTGTCCTAGTGAGACCTCCCTTATCAGTTAGTACTAATGATCCTTTTAGCGACTCAAAACCTAATAGCAAACATAGTGTTTGTGAAGTAGAATTCGATGGTTTACATTTCTAACTTCAATCAGTTTTGTAATACTATGCAACTACCATTCATTGATATTTAGGAAAATAGTCTCATTTGCTATAAAATGAAATCTAAAGTTTGAAGGTATTCATTTTAAATCTCTCTAATCTATTTGACTGTGATCATATGGTTTCTTGTTAAAACTTGATTTTTTTTTATCATCATTTCGAAGTAAACATTAAATATTTTGAAACTTATATCACTTAATAACGGATCCCAAAAAAATATTTTCACAAAAATGATTTATTAAAAAACATAAAAGTAAAATAAAACTTTCATCTATGCAGATCAATCCGATCTTGGTCTATTGATTAGTAATCACAAATATAGTTTAATGAAATATAAAAAAGATTATCAGGTATTTGACAACTGTTTTGTTGCTAGATACTTTTAATAAACTATGGTGATAGAAGGGGTACCTGGAAATATACAGAATATTATACTACATATATAATGACGTGATATTAGTAAAACTTTTTACACGTTTTGACATAACATTTTTAAAAATAATTTTTCACTGTTTATCAATATCTTCTTTTATTCTATATTATATACAACTTTATTTTACACTAAACAGCTGGCGTTCATGCCAAACGAATAGAATTAATAGTTGAGCATGATTAAATGTTGATTTTGTGGAGAGGTTTTTATAATTTTATGTATATACATAATAATTTCGACTTTCATTATATCTTTCAAGAATTACGGATAAAGATTTTAGAAGAATATGTTCAACCTATCTACTCTCATCTTTAAAGATTTTTACAGGTATATTCTTACATCTAATTATGTCTGACTTTAAATTCACATGGTATTGTTTGTTTGAATCTTCCTATTGATGTTTAGGATTGAAATTGATCAGTCTCTTATTGGCATACGTGCATACTGTGAGTATTGCCTCGACATAGCCTTAATTAACAAGCATTGTGAGCAAAGATAGATAGTGGCTAGCAGTGAAATCTGCGATACACGTGTTGTCCTATTTGGGACTCGTCAGCTGGATACACCTGCATCTCAGAGTTGATGTTCACTCTAGAACTCCAACCCAGTACCTTTCGCTTCAAACGCCATCGCAGTCCTAAACATCAATGGGAAGATTCAAACGAACAATACTAAGTGAATTTAAACTTCGCCCCATTGCACAAGCAAGTGGCTATCAGGAATAAGTAGCTGAGTGGATAACGTGATGGCGTTTGAAGCTAAAGGAACTAGTTTCGAGACTCAGAGTGAACATCGACTCTGAGATGCATGTACATTTAACTGAAGAGACACAAATTGGACGAAACGCGCGTCCTGGATTCCACTGCTGGTCACTATCCATCTTTGCCTATATGTCTAACTTTGTTTGAAGTTCATTGCGATTTGTAAATAATTACTCTTTGTCGTTTCCGCAAAAACATTTAACACAAAGTAATCATATAGAAAGCTATTAAATAACATAATCTTCTGAGTTTTATATCTTGTTTTTATATTTTGAACTGTCACTTTTTATCATTACATAATTCAAAGTATATATGAATAATATGATAAAACAATTAACCAACACAACTCGTCTTCTTCTATATTCTGAAAATAAATTTCGAAGTAAGTTTTATTGAAACTGATAAGAATAACTTCTTTATATGCTATTTCATATACTGAGGCTGACAGACATTAATATATATCAGGTTCAAAAAAATCTTTATATTTGACTGTCGCTTTCATAGTTATAATAATTTACAATATATTACGGAATGAAGTGTATTGGGATGGCTGTTACGATTTACTAAATTAATCTGTGATGTAAGATCGTCGTCTTTTTTCTACATAACAGGTAAATTATAAACACCAGTCATAATACTGAAATTAGTATTCGGTGACTATCAAAAACTATTAATCATACCTTGAGTATTCAAACATTCCTTCTCTAGTCACTAAAGATGTTGCATTCATTGCTAAACGCCGTAATAGTAAAGCAGCAAACAATGCTGCTGGAAGTGGATCTTGAACTTGTGTCCAAAAATAATCGGCTAAATTAGCTCGTTCAGTTAATAAAGCCCAAATAAATAAATCAGTTGCAGGATTCTCAAATATTTGTGCTTTTGGTGCTGAAATTTAAGGTAAAAACTTGAAACATGTAAAGGAAAATTAATGAAATAATTAGCATTTTACCATTAATTAATTACTTTCACTGTTCTTTCTTATTCAGTGAATGATAACTATCAATATCTGCTTAAAAGATTTTTATTTTATTATTTTCGATTTAAGTAATGCAAAATGTCGTTGGTAAACAGAACTTCAATCCAGATAAACGGCCGCTAGTTGAGAAAGTATTTAATCTTTAGTCTATAAAGTTGTTTGTTTATTGTAAATAACCAGTGATTCAAATTTTTTTCAAATTTTCATATTAGATCGTTAATAACAATCCTGTAAATGGTTTTCCCAAGTTGACATTTATGAATATAGTGATCCTGCAAAATTTTGGAAGTTGATTTTCATCATGGGGTCTGGAGAAGCCCAATCTAGGGACTGAGTTAAAGATTACTTTTATTGAAAGATTTAATTCATGATTGACCTCATTGAACGAGATATTAAATAACTAGTTGACTACTTATCAGTGGCTGTTATTATGCTGTTTAGTTTTAAGTGATGACTTAATTTTATCATTTAAAAGCTTGAATCCCACTGAAAGAATCATGCCTTTTCATGATTTCAGGTACACACTGCGGAAGAGCTTCAACTAACGTGAAAACTAGATTTAGATCACCACGATATTAAGTCTTTTAGTCTGATGGCTGAATTATAACCTGACAGCTGTAAATATTTACAGAAAATAAAACACACGATATTGACAACAATTGCGGGCTAATCAGAGTAAATTGTGTTTTTTGTGTAAGTATCCACCCATCTAATCGTTCAAATCAGTTTAGGTGATCCAAGTAATTTAGAATTCAGCTAAATCTAGAAAAATACACCACTGGTGAAAAGAATTAAAAACGACTTGATTACCTTATTTTCTAAATTCGTCCTAATGTCATAAAGGAAATTAATTTTATTAGATGATATATTCCTAATATGTCAGTTTAGCAGTCTTTGTAGTACTAATATTGATTAGCATTTCTGATATTGCCCATTTAATTGAATATATTTTTAAAGTGTCTTTAAACTGAACCTTACTTTCCTAACAGTTGGTCGTAATTTTTAGTTATAAATGATTAAAAAACAAACCGATTTGTTGATCACTACCACATTTATTTCATTCATAAATACTCTAGATGTTCAATGATATTCCTATTCGTGATAAGAAATATTCAAGTACTGATGTTCCTCGATCAAAGTAAGTTTATTTTTTAGTCAAATACATCAGGAGATAAGTGGCACAAATCATCTTTACAAGGAATTAAGCTAATACAAAGTTTTGTAAACAACTAGATATCCACCAAAAAAACAGAAACTAACATTTCCTACTTACCTCCAGTTGTTATCAAGAAAAAGTGCGGAGCCATATAAGTCGGAAAATATTGTCTACCAACAAGTTCACGTAGTGCACGACCGATCAAATAAAGACTAATCTGATCTGGTATCTATATGATTTTTAAAAAAGACTATGACTTATATTTATTTGTGTATATAAGTATTTTCAAAAACCAATAAGTTATTCAGGGTAGGATTGAACTATACTACCGATCTTTGAACGAATCTTAAATGACCTTGAGAAATATTAGCCAATCAGAAGACAGTTAGTATACAGTAAAAATATATTATACAAAACCAAAGAATTAAAGTGGAAACACTTCTTTTACATGGCTCGAAAACTTCTCAAGGTCAGATATAGGTTCAGAAGTTCTAAAATCATAGTGCATGCGGTACAGGAACTCATCCATATGGCTCCATAGTAGTCGACCTCTGAAACCGTGATAAGGTCTGAAAAATTCTTTTAGCGTCGACCACATAGCTTCAATGATGTTAGTATATTGGTATGGTTTACGGGTTAGGGTTAGAGTTAAGGTTTAGGTGTAGGGTTTGGGGTTATGGGTGATACTATAAATTATGGACAACCTTTAAGCGACGCTAGAGTGACTCTGAGAGTGTCAACATAATATCTAAGACCAAATGAGGGTTATAAACCTGTGTAAAAAATTCAAATTATGATTTACAGTTCATGATTAAGGCTAGGAATTATACTTAGGGTTTTCATCACGAACTGACATCAGCTATAATGCCAAAACTTTATTTATCCAAATGGATAATTGAAGTTCGCGCCAAAATCTTATGATCACTTCTATTGTAGACGCTAAATTATCACGTTTTCCCTAAAATCCTCTGTAAACCGACCGTACGTAAGCATCAGGTACCGAACTTAGCGCCGTGACCTTGAAAACTTGCGAAAGCTTCTGATTGGCTCGGCAGTATAGTTTAATCCTACCGTTATTCAGTAGAGGATATATAAAATGTTTCAATAAGGTTAAACTCCTCTATTAATTGGGAAATGAATAATCACATGGATAACTATTTTTCATAATTATCATATCAGTTTATCAGAGAATTCATTTCTGGTACCGTAATCTAAAGAGATGAAAACTAAAAGAAGAATAAATCAACTATTCTTGGATACTAAGTACACAATAATAATTCAACTTGACTTATTCATAATGAAAGATAACCTAGTCCTAGTACTCTTTAAGGAACTGGTTACTTTAACATACTATACTGAACTTCATCTATATAAGTGATTTCCGAAGTAATTAATCACTGAGTTTTTTAAGTTTAACGTTAATTAGCTTCACTAATCTTGGTAAGATCACTGTTGTTTGAATTCAGTTATTGCTCATTTAAACTATTAGGGATTGCTATTATTTGTGCTGGGCTAATAAATGCCTACAACTCATTTACTTATTGATCACCTTTGAAAATTACAAAATTTGATATTTATATGCTTATCTTATCATATCATTATCTGAATTCGTATCCGATTACTAACTTGGATGGATTTTCTAAAATTTATGGAGCACCAAGGTCACTTATAGTTTTATATAGATAATCTGTGTTTTTTTGTGTTCAAACTAGGTCTGAAGTAATTCTTCAATCATGTTAACACATTTTTATTTATTTCAGATTGGCAGATTAAGTTTCATACAAATAAGACAGTTAGCTATTGTTGATTTACTTTTTATTGGATTCTTATTTGACATTGTGAATAAAAGGTTTATTTTATGCCATAATACGATATTACTATATTGAGTAGTGTTAAATCTAAAATACAATATGTCCGTTAAGAATGGTTTTAAATAACGTTAAACAATAGTGGATAATAATAATAATTGATTTTTAATACGTTTTTTAGTATATTTCGAGGGCACATTTTCCCTTTCCATAAACTAACATAAACTGGCAAACTATCGTAAACAAATAAATTACTACTCAACTGTTTAAAATCATTTTTTTTTAGATTTTTCAGTAATCGATATCTCCTATCAGAAATCAACTGGTGATGTAATTTATTCCTAAAGTGATTGCTAAATTTCGCTAAACCATAATTCTTTGAAATATTAGAATTTCCGATGGTTTAATTACTAAACGTCAATAAAATGTGATATTTATTTAGTATGTTCATTAAATTGAACACTATTAGTATGTTTATCTTATTACATCAAGTACTGTTGTACCTGTAGTAAACATTATGCATTATAATAATGAATGAAAATCTTACTTTAACAAATGCACGAATCACATTAATCAGAGCTTCTCCTGGATGCTAAATAGTATATAAAAAGAAAAGATTATTATTGATAATTATTCCAATGAAATTTAAATGAAGACAGAACAAATATTGATGCAGAATAGTATGAATTCATTATATTTCGTGGTTTCTCATCAGCTGCTTACAACCAAATATGTATTAGAGTTTTAGTATTGAGAACTAACTGCATCCAATGAAATTGTTAGTTATCAATATCCTTTTTTTTAAAAATGATTAAACGTATCAATCATATTAATTATCAAAAGGGACAATAAATAGTAAGTAGTTAAAAGGTGATTGTTTCAATCTATTTATTTTATGGTCAAAAACATACAGTCTTAGTCGTCTGAAATCTTATTCGAAATCTGGTAATTTATTTGAATGATGAACTACTTGTTTCAGTGTTCTATATCAAATTAAATTTCCATAATACCATTTCTAGTAATCGGTTGTACAATGTATCTCACAATTTCGTTTTGATCTGTATTTTATTGTGCCATTTTATTTACAGTTACTTCCATATTGAAATAAATATGATGAGAAAAGAGATGGAGACTTAAAGCAGTCAATATAACAGCGAAAATGAAAAGAACACTGAAGCTTGTAAGAAACAGTTCAAAGATATGCAAATGATGTATTTGATGTATGATTTTCTTATTTTAATAAACCACTGTGTGATTATGCATTAAAAATAAATTGGTCATCCATATCTGAGTGTTCGTTCACTGAAAGTATACCCAAATATCAGCAATCCAATGTCAAAACATATTAAGTTTCTATGAATAACCAGTGTAATTGATATGTGACTTTTGTTTGGTATCAAGATTTAAAAAATTGTACGATTATGGGATATGATAATGGTAAAAAAATCAATTTTCAGTAATTGAGTTCATGAATCAATTGAAGCTAGACCATCTTGGAAAATCTGGAAGCACTGTACGAAAAAGCTGTCTAGTGTTTCCGGGTTTTCTAAGGTGTTTTAGCTTCAATCGGTTCATGAGTTCAACTATTAAAAACTATCACAATACGCACAAAACTCCTTTCTGATCAAAAAAATTACTTCTCATGTGCAATTAATAACTTCTAATCTTCTTCCGTCAAACTTCAATCTTTCCAAATGATACCATTTGAGTATGCATGTTAAGATAATGTTCCAATTATTTAACATGATTTGACTTCCTCTTTGCTAATGGAACGATACTCAATAACTTTAAAACATTTGTGATATATTTGGCTGAGGTAAGAAGATGCCTTAACAAACTCACCTTTCAGTTAAGAATAAGAAAGTCCATATAATTGGGCTTATGGTGAACCGATATTAAAAAAGTGTATTATTCAAAATAATTTAAATAAACGAATCATATCCTTTAAACAACCCAATAAAACCATTTATCCAGATCTTAAACATCCTTAAGATTTTATCCATATAACTTCAGTTTTAAACTTGTTGTGCTAACGAGGTATGGCGACTTGGACCGATGCATGTATTTGTCTGATCCTACGTTGTAGCTGACTGACTGAATGACTTTAATATTGTAGACAAAATAACTAACAATAGAAACCTTTCTATAGCATACTAAATTAAAATCTTCACTGATACTTTTCTTCAACTTACATCTGAATGAATAGATTGTGTATACAGTAATTGAAGTCTTTCAGCAGTTAAATAATTAGATAATAAAAATCCTTTCTCAATAAATACACAAATAAATTGTACTTTATTTGATAATAACAATGCATTCATATGTTTCACTAATTTAGAATTCTAGAATAAACAAAAAAATAAGATAAGTGTTTATTTCGGTTTTTTTTATTTATCTAAATATCATTTAAGGTATATGAAAAAAAGGAAATAACCTCAAGTAAACAACAAATATGAACAAATATTCTGAATGATTTCAAGCAAAGGTGGATAGTACCTAGCAGTGGAATTCAGGACGCGCGTTTAATCCTATTTGGGATTCGTCAGCCGGATGTACCTGCATCTCAGAGTTGGTGTCCACTCTGCGACTCGAACCCAGTACCGTTCGCTTCAAACGCCATCACGTTATCTACTCAGCTACTGAGTCCTAATAGCCACTTGCTTTTTTTCGTGGAGATTTAAAGGAATAGTTTCATAGAAATTCGGTACCGAATTTTAGTCCATGAAACTTATTTTAAACACATAGTATTTGATTGTAAACAAAAGTCGATGCATGTATGAAAACATTGAAACGTTTTTAGATAGCTACCAAGTGGGATTTTATATATTCAAATGTATAATAACCGTTTGCTCAACAATGGAATAGACATTTTTAGGAATCTAGGGGAATCGATAATTAGGGTTTATCTTTAGAACATTGTAACTTTATAATAAATTTTCGACTAATTGAACATCTAATGTTTCTACTACCGAACGCAATGGTGTTTCTTCTTCTAGTTAATTAACTATAATAATTTTCTATTCATACTTATTTGCTTGTCTCCTATAAAATATATATAATTCATATTTATGATTACTTATCTTCACATAAGTAGTATATAGTGAGGATCAGGCATAAAATGTATTTTGGCAGAAGGTCGATAAGGAAAGAACAGAAGAGAAGCGCAATCAGTATGAAAATGCATGAACAATGAGATCAGAGAAGTTGGACTGATATTTACGGAATGAACAATCAAGATTGTGACAATTGGTTGTTATTTTGCAAATTAACTGTTTACTGTATAGTCATCAGATTTTAGTGAGATAGTTTGTATTTGCACTTAAATACATTATATTGTCTCCAGTCGTGTTTTAATTCACTACAATCATATCTTTGGTCTACTTTAAATGAGAGGTTCCAAAAATGAATGCGAAAGTAATCTAATGATGTTTTGTTATCGATTTCTGTCAGTAATGAAGTTAACTTCAACTTGATCAGTCCCTCTCAGACCATCAAAATGGATAGTAGTTAAATTGAATTTGAGTATTCACTTGTTAAATAACTATAAATAATTTTCGTCGCGAAGATTAAATACATTTTATAAAGTTCAGAGTTTTGATATCCAATATTTGCTGTAAAGATAAACAGAAATAAGGCTTTCAGGTAAAACATGTTTATAGCTAATGGATTGATAATCAGGAGAAAAATTCAATCAGTTTATCATAGTCAAATAATATTAACATTATGAAAATCACTTAACACAAATAATAAAACTGTAGTTGTCTTGTCACACAAACGTTCAACACATTGTTAATAAGCCTACAATATAAAGCTAACAACTTGTATTATGAGATTAAAAGACATTATTAGAAATTCATAAACGATATTTTACTTACATCCCACTTCACTCCTTCCATAAATACTTTATCTCTAGCAATATCACTTCGATTTAGAGCAATAGCAATAGAAAGAAGAGTTTCGTTAAGTTCATCTGGTTTTTCATTCTCCTTTATGGCTAAAATATAGATATTATTAAGTAAACATTTTCTGAAAAATTCCAGGAATTTTGGATTTTCTGTAGTTTTACATTTCTAGTATCAATGAATTTTAAACAGCTGGTAAAATATTATCTTGTTAAGACAATTCCCTCAAGTTGATAGTAATAATTTTATCAAGACATGAACTGATTATCCATAGTTCCAATGATAAATATATTATTTACTTGGGTACAGATACTAACGTTCTATCTTTTTGCTTTAATAAAATAACGTTCCTATACAGATTTTTTATTCCTAACTTGATTGTATTTCTTGCGTTCTAGTTTTTAAAGTTAAGTGGATCAAACTGCAGTTACATCAAACCGCCTATGTATTGATAACATTGAACTATTCTTACATTACAATAGACATTTACTGAAATTAGATTTTGACTTATTTTCTAAATGATATCATGATGGGATATACAGTTGTCACTGTGCAGGCCGTTTTGTCTTATTATGGGACTCCTCAGCAGTGAGCATCAGTTGAAGTTAGACATTAACACCGTTGGACGTCAGCTCAGTGGTCTATCGGTTAAAGGCTTCGGCTTGAGACTGGTAGGTCCTGGGTTCTAGTCTCGCTCACGAGAGCGGGTTCGTGGATGCGCACTGCTGAGGAGTCCCATAATAGGACGAAACGGCCGTCCAGTGTTCCCAGGTTTTCCATGGTGGTATAGCTTCAATTGACTCATGCTTATTACTATGAAAAATACTAAATTTCCACAAAACCCATTCTTAATTATTAGTTGGCTTAATTGCCCCTCCAAGTAACGTCGATTTATAATGAAAATCAGCTTTAAGTGTTATGACTATTCATTGATCTAGTGTTAATAATATCTGTTTAAATGATATTGTAGTCAAGTTTTGATATCGGTCATTTAAATTGAATAAAGAATTATTTTCAAAAAGATTGGATCTAGCACTTTTGTCATTCTAAAGTGTTTGCTGAATTATGGAAAGTGTCATTTGTTTTCTATGTTACTCCATTTGTGAGTAAACTATGGATTAACATCCAACACATCTTCACCCAGAAAATGTCTTATAAAACCTGATACTACTATAAACTGTTTAATAATCAGATCGTTTACCAACCTATACTTAATAAGCATGACAAATTAATATCCCGAAATCAGTGAAATTTCTGTGAAACAAATCATTCGCGCATTCACTATATGATATGAAGGTGTAGATTTGTAAATCCTTCATAGAAATCTATTGGCCACTCCATACGGAGTGAAAACACTCATTTCATTGAATAGTTACCGGCACTTTTAATTGTTAGTTAAAAGCGCTGGTATTTTACATTTATTCTTTTGGAAGATTAAATATATTTCAGTCCCCGTTAGGTTACTGAACTCCTTGATATTACTTGCATTCCCAAGTTCATTATTTTTAGGTTACTGGTTAGTAGTAGATCAGTTAAGTTTTGAGTATCGCTTATGCATTAATTCACCTTACTACTACTGACATTGGCTATTTCAATCGCTGAAAATACTGTGGCTTTAATGACTGAAAAATTTGACTGAAAACTCTCCAACATTTAAAATGTAAGTGGTAAGTTCTAAAGACACATGTGAAAATGTCCGAACGGATGAAGAAGAATTTAGATGATGAGTCGATATAGGGTAAATCGTACATTTAAATTCTGTAGCTATGCACAACTTAAAAAAATGTGTGTCTGTTAATTTTCGATAAATATTTAGGGACAAAGTGATAAGTTATTATTAGAAATACCGAAATACTCAGGTACTAATACTCTGTATCAAGCTGAAATATTCACATGACTTTTACTTTAACTTATCCAGAAAATATTTAATAATAATTAAAGAAGAAACTTACAAGGATTCATTATTAAAGATAAAAGATGATAATCTAATTCACCATGTTCATCTTCACTTTCTGCTTCACAGATACTAAATAAATAGGTTTCCTCTAAAATTTCTTGAATCATCAATACGGATAATTCTGGATGTGTAATTTTATCCCAATAATATTCCATAGTTTGCTTAATACTGCAATTATAAACACATTGAAATGAAGGGCAATTTAATCAACAGAAATATATAAATAAACTTAGAAAGTTTTAGTTACAACTAAATAACTGGTTATAATCCTGTGAGGAATATTAATAATCAGAAGCAAAGTTGGATAGCGGCTAGCAGTGGAATGCAGGAAGCGTGTTTCGTCCCATTTTGGACTCTTCAGTTGGATGCACCTGGATCTCAGAGTTGATGTTTACTCTGGGGCTCGAATCCAGTACCTTAAGCTTCCAATGCTATCGCCTTATCCACTTAAGTTCTGAGAATTAAGGCAATATACAGGAAATACTTATGGTATGCTCATAGGCTAAGAAACCATCGAAAATTTAAGAGTTGTAGATCTCTATTGGGTACTACTTTATAGGTCTTATATTCGCTGCACAATCCAAATGTAATGGATTTAACATCATTGTAAAATCATAAATGAACATTTTTATTTAATATCAGTACAAAGACTTCCTTGTCGGGATTGACTCATATTAACTTGTGGTTTAACCTCGTTAAATTATGAAATACATGTCTAATTGCGATCGCGTTTTTCAGTGGGATATAAATTAATAAACTTTTAGTACTATGTTTATTATGCTTCAAGAGAGAAGCGAGTTTATAAAAGAAAGAGAACATTATCTATTTATACATTCTACTGGATTATCTTAAATTTTTCATCAAACTAAATATTGTTTACAGGATGAGGATTTGTGGAGATAGTAATAATTTTGTTAGTTGAGATCATGAGTTGATTGAAGCTAGACCACTATGGAAAACCTGAAAGCACTGAACGGCCGGTTTGTCTTAGTATGGGACTCTTTAGTAGTGCGCATCCACTACCCTACACGTGGGACTGGAACCCAGACCCCCCGTTCTTGCGCGTCAACACTTAGCCTCTAGACAATTGAGCCGGCATTCAACGGTGTTAATGTCCAACTTTAATCGATACATGATCTTACACAATCCTTCATCCATAAATATATGATGATTTCTTTGGAACAGAAAAGGTAATTGAAATTAATTATAATGCTATGTGATACACCTTGCTTGTATCTCAAAGTTGATTTTATTCATAGCACAACATCTCAATTCTAAAATAGAATCTCAAATTACATGTTATTTCTTATAACTAAAAAATATGTGTAATCAGTTCCTTTGAAAACAAAACATACTTTCCAGGTGATAATTGAAATGTTTCCGTTCCAGTTGACCCTTCGCTGATTGATTTTTTATATGTAGCTTTAAACCCAAGTTCAGTGTCTTCAATACATTGAATTATAATATCTGCTAATCTGCCCGTTTCCTGTGGAAATAAATCAGTGAAAAATATAATGAGTAATAAACAATTTTTAATCCTTAAATGTACATTTAAAAATTCATAATCTTAGAAATACTTTTTAGTGAAAAGTCTATTAACTGTATAGTAAACCAGAAATATACAAAAGGTTTGATTTGCTATATATTTACCAGAAAACATTACACTACTCATAAAATGAATAGTGGGTAGAAAAGTATTTGATTTATGTATAGTTTATTTATTTACATAATTCACTAACTTTAAGAAGTACAACAGGAATCGTATTTTTCATTGTTCCATATATTGCCTTAAGTGTTGATTCGTCTCCACCGGAAAGAAATGCACATACTTGGATTGGAGCTGTAAAAGAATAATGATAATAAAAGAATGGAGTATAAGTGCTCTCATTTTATTGATGTGATAGGCTGAAGTGAACCAATCAATTAATATTAGGTTGGTTAGCTTAATATTTAATTATTTTGTTCACTTGGCTGGATCTAATTAGGTTAAAGAACAAAATCATAATGTCATGAAGTACTCAAAGGCTGATTAGTATATAAATCAGTTTTAAAAGTAAGTTGATGAATGAACACTTCAATGGTTTGATCTTTATATAGTTAAGATCATGAGTCAATCGAAGCTAGACCACCATGGAAAACCTGGAAGCACTGGACGCACGTTTCATTTTATTGTGGGACTCCTCAGCAGTGCGTATCTTTACTTAAAATATCGATTGTTGAAGGTTTATCGCCTACAAAACTTGAATCTTGATGATGTGTACCATCCAACGCCAAGCCTAGGTCAAAAACTAACCAGTGGTTACGATAGTCTTTTTAACTAAATTAGACTTACAAAATATAAAATCGATTCAGATATGATTGTTTCCAAGTCGCTCGAACGAAATTTACTTCCTCCTAGACATTCGTTAGTACAGAAAGCAACTTTTCAATCGTAGAATTCTCATATATATATATATATATATATATATATATATATATATATATATATATATAGACGCAGTAATTTACTGGGAATTATTTACTTTATTTTATTTTAATAAAACAAAAATAAAAAATCACCTTCTGCCAAGATTTGTGATGAATCATCTTGAATTAACTTCCACTTTTTGAGGATTAATTCTATTGAAGACCTAAAGTTATATTCGTAATGGGGTACGAGTTGTTTGGTTGTATCTACAAAAATGTATTGAGTGAGATTTGGATCCAAAACAAAGTGTTTGTTGTTATCTGTTGCAGTTGAAGAGAATGTTACTGAGGAAAGTCCCTAGGATAAAGTACAGTGTTTAGCAAATATGAAAACTTTACAATACATAGTTTTATACAATTACTACTTTAATATGTTTCACTAGTATAATTAGTGTACTTGAAATTTGTCAAATAGTGTGTCACCAAAAAATATATGTTTGGAACAGAACAAATGTTTCTTTGATCTGACATAAAGTCACTTGCTTTCAGTATTACTGCAGGTACTTTCTGTCATAAGGTGTTATTTCGAAATCTGTTAGTGTTTTTCAAACGCTGTCAATAACTTTTTAGTCCATATTTGTTGATTGTTAGAAGCCTCCTTTGGACGTATGTCACTGATTGTTCAAACTAAATCTTGTTTAATATGGTTATTCTCCCACTTAGATCAAGATATTGTGATGGAAAGACAAATTCAATCTGCACGGCTTGGTGTATTTTTATGGTATATTTCAAATAGTAAGGTAACAGAAATATTTAAGCAACTTAGGTTAATTTACTGAGAGCTAAAGCGAATAAAAGTAATATTTCGATATGTTACAGAAATACGAAAATTGAGTTATATGAAGGAACAATAGGTTTCTATGTCAGCCCAATCATTAAAAATTAATTGATAATTACCAGAACAGGTTAAAAGTAAAAACTATTGATTTTGAACGCATATAAAATGCATAAGCTATCTGATGGCGAGTTCTTCCAAGAAATTAGCGATAACTTCATGTCATTTCTTATATAACGATTTCGAAGTTACTTAAAAATTATCCCCGAAATCTCCTGTTAATGTATGCCTTGTAACAACTTAGCGTTGATCTTGACTCCTTATTCGAGGCCGTGATCTCAAATGAAATCTTTTACTCATCTCACTGGTGCCATGTCTAGAAAATAGTAAAGGTTTCGATTATCTGTTCTAAGAAACGTCACCACTTTGTTTAAAAGTCTTCTCCACTTTAGCTGTTTTGTGTAGTAACGTGTGTTATCACCAAATTGTTTCACGCATACATTTGATATTTTCACTGTAAAGCGTTTCCAGTCTGAATCCAGTAAAATCTAGAACTACTATTTGCATTCTTTAATAGAGCAACAATATTCCACTTGTGTATTTTAACTTACGGAATAATCGTCAGGTACAAATATTTTGTTGTCTGATATAAATTTCCAAGGTGTTATACCAATGGCTTCAACTTGACCTTCTCCATAAGCTTGAATAAAATCTTTTACGGCGCCACTAGCTATTCCTGAAAGACCACGTTTGGTGCCATCAGTGATAACCCATGTTTCTGAATTGGATTTAAAAGGATGTTTAAATATCTTTTTATTTTCCATAGAACACTTTAAATTATTTTTCAAGATGAATGTATACCTGAACAGCGAGGATTAATCTCAATATTGCTTTAATATAGGCTATTTGATTAAATCATTTCGCATAGGTTTTTATTAAAATCTCATCATCGTAGGAACTACTTACACTGAAATATCAAAATATGTCAATTGAAAGTATTGATCTAGGATGATTCAAAACTATAAATTTTCCAAAACCACTAGCTATTGCTAACTGTATTGATACTTATCAATTATAAAAACATCAGAATCGGAAGCTCGTTTAAAAAAAATCCGAAATATCACTATTTATTTTAAGTGGGACAGATACTGTCTTCAGATAACAAGGACAACAAATGAGTTATGAACTCTGAGAAAAATTTCGAGTTATCTTATTCGTTGATGCAGTTTTTGAACTTCTCACTAATTAAGATGGTAACTGGGTGTATCTTATAATTGGTGTGACTGGTCAGCTGCAATGATTTAATTGTTTCCAGGACATGGAATTAAAATTACAATGCATATCTTCATATATAATCAGTAAGCTATCTTGAAGATAATAAGTGCAAATTAGATTATTTGTTAGCCGACCGGTCGCAGAATATAAGGACAATTAAATATGGACGTTCCTTGCAATTTCCGTTCTGAAGTCAAAATTGGAACATGAATTTGGTTGCGTCAGCCTAAGTCATCCGCTAAAATATGCTTATGGTTCAGTATTTCTAGACGTAGAATTCAGTTAACAAAATAATTAGAGGAACATCCATGTATCACATACTTCCATAGAAAGTTATCAAAATAACCATATACTAAGATTGTGATATATTAGATACGAAGTGTTTTACTAATTAGTGATTGAAGACTTTGAATTGCCGAAATGTAACATTTCCTGTTAAGATGTAGTGCTATAGGAAAATTGATCGTGGAGGAAAAGAATTACGAAAGTATAATCCTATATATTCCAAAATTATTTTCAAACGGCAAACCTTCGCTATGAATGTGGAAAAGTTAATGTTCCTGACCGGGATTTCTGTCTATACATAGTGAATTTTCAGGTAAGTTACGGTTTTGATGTTATTTCCCAAAGTTAATTGTTAAGTTATGTTTTCCGCTAGTCACTCATGTAAATAAAAAAGTAATATTGCAAAAGAAATAAATCAAAGATACAGTAAACTGGAGTAACATTCGATATTATGAAAAACAGAAATGAAGTTGATGTTAATATATGTCATCCAGCGATGAACGTATTATATTGAATATTCCCTGAAGTTTGTGTAGTAAACCACAAACTGGGCAGCAGCATGTTTATATCAAGACCTGGAGTTTTGTATTCTCATTCAAAGAAAATCCTATCTACTTTACGAGACATGGTTTTTGTCCGATAGATTGATTAGTCCGTCACCTGATATCAGCTTATTGAACAACTCTGGATAGTATTAACACGACCAAACCATCCAGCTCAGAGAACAAAATTCCATCAAAATCATCCATCTGAGTTACAAATCTTCACCATCTCAAGTGTTGAATTGGTCTCCATAATATCAGTTACTTAATATCTTTATAAAAGAGTCATATTTCTAAGTTAAGCAAATGAAACCCAACCGTTATACTTTGATGGTCTACTATGGAAACAGTATATGAACATAATAAGACCCCATATACGGAGTCCATTTTGAAGTTCTATAAAATAGTTGTTTTTTTTAAAGACAGATTGAAGTTTATGAACACTACTGAAATAAACAGAATCTTTTTTTTCTTTAAATAATATTTTGATTTTTCTGTTCACATTCCATTAGCGAAATGAATAGAAATGAAATACTATTCATTTTTATCATAATTTTTGTAATAAGCTTTACGTTATTTACAACATGTTTCATATTCAATGAATTTCATTTATTTTGCTCTGCAAGAAGAGTAAACTGAATATCCTCAGAAAGAATATTTTATATGTAATCGTTTCATTACTTACTTGTAGATTCGCTAGCTTTCCAAATTAAACGTCGTATTTTCTCACGAATAACCTTAGAATCAGTATAATCACCATAGAAACTCAATACTAATTGAGGACGTGATAAATTCCAAATTTTAGTGAAAATATGCATCATATTTTCTGGATCTGTTTGGTCCGAAACTCGAATGAACTATTTACGGAAAATATTTTGAAAATAATGAGATAAATGAAATTCGTCAAATATTCGAATCTCGTTAATCTGTTTAATATGATTATTCAAATAAATCTTGTTTGCATTCGTATAACAGTTCAATTATCAAAATTATAATCTCTAAGTATATAAGAACTTTCACCTAAATTAGAGCGAACAGTTTCACAGCATTTGGGCGTCGAGTTGATGTAAGACATTAAATAGGAATAATATATATCCCATTATTATTATTAGTGTTCACATTTCCTCACGGAATTAGTACTTTAATAAAACATTTTCATATATATAAGATTGTACAGCTTGATAATAAATTCGTTGAAAAGAGATCCCTTCGCTGAACTTCGTGTTTTAATAATATATTTGTAAAATCTCAGCGAAGGAAATATCCTTATACTCTCTAATTTTTTAATAGAAGCATTTCGATAATCACTAAATAGGATTACCAGCTTAACATTTAATGCATTATCACAGAGTACTATAACGAAATATGAAAACCATACATTAAATACATTATTTGTACATCTTCCTTCAGGTTTCCTTCGCATGCTCCGTGAGTTTTCCATTTCTATTCTTATTACAATTCCTCTCTGTTTACATTTCTGTTCTCTTTGACTGAATCTTCCCAATCTTCTACTGACAGGTATTCCACTTCTGATTGGTGTTACAAACTACTTATATCAGTCAACATAAGTTGCATACACCACAAAACCTACGTCAACGATAAGTTCTTCCGAGTAGAAAACTTCAAAATTTAACATGTATTAAAATAAAGAGTAACTTGAAGTCTTATCAGTCGACGACCAAAAAACAAGAAGAACATATAATTTTAAATTTTTAGCACAGTGCATTTAATATACACCCATCTCAGTGATGAAGAAGCTCAACTTATGAAATAGTGGAGATAATTTTCTTACAAAGAAAAAGCTGCATCAGCAGAATTATTGAGAGTTCGATGATATTATTTTAAATAGCGAATTTTCACAATGAATTCACTTGGTATTGTTTGGTTGAATCTTCTCATTGATGTTTAGGACTACAATTCATCAGTCTCTTATTGGTATATGTGCATACTGTGCATATTGCCTCGATATTGCCTCAAGTCACAAGCATTATAAGCAAGGTGCAAGCGCAAGCAAGTGGTGATTAGGACTCGGTTGGTGAGTGGATAAGGCGATGGCGTTTGAAGCGGGCAGTATAAGGTTCGAGTGTCGGAGTAAACATCAACTCTGGGATGCAGGTACATCCGGCTTACGAGTCCCAAATAGGACGAAACGCTCGTCCTGGATTCCACTGCTAGCCACTATCCATCTTTACTTATAATGCTTGTGAATTAAGGCTATATCTAGACAATATGCACAGTATGCACATATGCCCAATAAGAGACTGAACAATTGCGGTCCCAAACATCAATGGGAAGATTCAGATCCAGAATAATTTTTAAAAAATTTAGAGAGAAAAATGTTGACTTAACTATTCAATGAGTATAGATATTTTTAAGCATTAATTTAAATGTCAACAACTACTCAACAACAACAACAAAGAACATCCTTACATTAGATTAAAACAATAAATTCATCAAAATTTAACATGATCGAAAATTTTTTGATAATTTATATAAATAATAAAGTAAATACTTTTTAATTAAGTAAATTAATAAAGTAAAATACTTTTAATAAAGTAAAAAGATAAAAAAATTCTTACATTTGGAGAATAAGCACCTGTAGGTAATTCAATATCACCGAATGTTTTTGTTGGTAAATCATAATATTTTATTTTACCATTTCTTAATGATTTAAGAAATTGAGGATTTTTTGTTATTTCTTGATGTTCAGTTAATGGTGTATTACATACACATAAATCAGGAGAACTGTTATATAAAATAATTAATTAATAAATAGAAAATATTAAATATACACTGTTTTATTTTACATGCAATGAATAAACTATAATAAATAAAATAAAAGCCCCCAAATGCCCTGGTACGGACGATGGTGTGGAGGGCCAGCCCTCTCTCTCGAAACGCTCTCACACGGCCACGCATATACAGCCTCTGTCAGGAAAGTCCTACTCACTGCCTTCTCGTGGCAAGGGTGTTGTTTACGAAATTGAGAGGATGAAAAGTGAATGTCCGGCGCTCTAACTGGGTTGGTGGATGTGGAGTGTCCACCTAGGGGAGTTGGAAAACCCTTATTCCAAAGCAATAGTGCACATGGGCTCCAGTATCCTGAGTGAACAAATGGCGTATGAACCAACCGTCGGTCATCGACTACCATGAGACTGCATCTCCTTACGATGCTCCACTGCCTTGTGGATCAGACTTTTAAGTGTGACCCCTAAGAAAACCATCTGATTCGGTCTGGGCACCCGGGCAGTATCATAGTCCTCACACAATTAAATGAAATGACAGTTTCGTGTGTGGCGCATATATATCTGGTGCCTATTTGCACCAATATTTATGTGTTCAAATAAATAAATATGAATAAAATATGAATAATAATTAACACTAATCAGTAACCAGTAAACAGAATTAGAAAATTTTTCAGGAAGATTATAGCTTGATTAAATTTTTAGATTGCAATAGAGTATTAGATACCGTTTACTTGTAACTTCTTAAATTACCCTTATTCTTTTAGGTCCTCCTGATGAATACAAGTGTAGATTAATATACTTACTGAATGAGAAACGGTGCACCCGTATGTTCATGTAAATTTCAGGAGTAAGTGTGGAAATTTATCAGTATTAAACTATCTGTATGTTATGAATAGTTTTTTTGACGATCTCAAGGTTGACATACTATGGAATCATTTTTTTAAGTAATGTTCCGATTAGAGCTGAGGTTCAGGTTCATGAACTAATACTATCGACTTAATACTTCAAAAATAAGTAAACCGGGAAACTTGTAAGGCAAAAATTAGTAGAGTAGACAAAACTAAAATTAATGTAATTTTACGGAGTTAATGACTACTGTTATGAAATGTCAGAACAAGTTTCAAGTTGCCAAACAGACTTCTTTATTCATATTAAACGAAAATGGCTCTACAGGAATGGAACTTTACATCATCCTATACTATTTGATTTAATAAAGAGTATTTTTAACTCAAGGAAATCCTAAAGAAGATAAACCTTAACAGTTCAGTTTTAAAGGTAAGATCTATTTCTACCCCTTTTAACTAATCACAAAAATATTTTTATGTCACTCAGTGTGTTACTGTGTCATGCACTGGTTTACTTGTATTACTTTATATGAAACTATAACCCATCAACAACTGCTTCAAATGTTAAATCAATATTTGCTACCTTGGAGTATTTGAAGCAGTAAATGTTATCGTATTCAGATGAGTAAGAGAATTCGGTAGCATGGGCATCCAAATAAAAATAATCTGGTTATTAGTCTTTCATAGGATGAGAACTAATCAATTCTTTGCTCATCTGTAGAGCAGATGGAATTCAGTCAATCAATAGGTAAAGAAAGTAGTTTGATTATTTCAGTTTAACATCGGCTATAGAAAACTTATGATGTTTATTTTATCCTTATTATGTTTCAGTAATGTAGTTTCTTTTTATGGTTTAACAAATGAAAATATTTCATGATTATTTGAAAATATTTGAATTTACACCTACAGGCTTTTCCATTTCGATCGCTATTGAATAAATTTATAAGTGCACATGTGACATCTGTTTCAGCACTATTATTCAGACCTTATAAGAGTATATCGTTGTTTGTATATTAATAAATTACGGATGGCGCCAGTTAGAATTGAAATAACACAAAGACATGTATGCATTTATCAAGTTTTGAAAAACTCACGCAGGATTTGTTGACGGTTTTACACAAACAGGGGCTTTGATATTTAAAGGAATCCATGTAAATGATAAGTTCTTCTGGGAAACAGTTAAAAAAGGAAAAACATACCTATTTTTAATGTAAACGATCATATACAACTACTTATGAATCATTCTAAGATTATCACCAACCACAATTGTTTAGCGTTAGACAGATGAAATAGTTTAAATATCTCCAATCAAGAAAAAAACAACGCAATTATTATTTTTATACAAGGATTTAAGAATATAGGTAATGTAATTTATATACTTGAGATCGTGGGTCAATTGAAGCTAAACCACCATGGAAAACCTGGAAGCACTGGATGGCCGTTTCGTCCTATTGTGGGACTCCTCAGCAGTGTATATCCACGATCCTGCACCCGCGAGATTCGAACCTAGGACCTACCAGTCTCGCGCGCGTGTACTTAACCGACAGACCACTCAGCATCCAACGGTGTTAATGTCTAACATCAACCAATACACGAAATCTAGCAACCATTCACCACTGTCTTCAGTGAGTTACCATCTCCCAACAGACCTGGTTGATCTCCACTGGTTACTGCTTCTCACTAGAACTCCAGGGAAAACCTCTTGGAGCCAGTCACTAGTGAGCATATGATCATTATCAGAAGGGGATTTTGTGGATATTTCAGTAATTTTAGATACCTGAGTTCATGAGTCAATTGAAGCTAGACCGCCATGGTTGTAGTTTATAAAATGCTAATTCAACTGAACTTAAGTATAATAAAAAAAGGACGTAATTTGCTAAACATTTTACCATAGTTACAACTTGTCATAACGATTTTTTAAATCAAAGCATAATTATGATCCATATACTTCAAGTTTTCATTTATCTTTTCATTGACATCTATGTGAATGATTTCATGATTTGTCTTTTATATTTACAACGATTATGTATAATTAAAAACAAAGAATATTTGAACAAATAATTGCCCTTAGTAACATCGTCATTAAACTCTACAATTATAAGTGTACAATAAATTTTATTAACGGTTTAAAGATCCCCATAAAATATTCAAAAATTAAGAATATTTGAGCCCAACAATTGTTTTCAATAACTTCATCATCAGGTTCTACAGTTATAGGTCCATAATTATTATGATCTTTTACAAAAGCCAAAATGAGGCATGTATATTTTTTTTTTTAATTACCTCTATCTTAATCTTCACATCTATCATTCCTAATTTGTTTATCGTAATTACCTTAATAACACCCCTCTTATTACATATTATATTCACACAATATTATTATTACTATTTATCATTATTATCTCAATTGACAAGATGAAATTCTTCTACTATGAATTTTATCCACATGATTTTTTTCATTTTCATTTTTACTCTATCACTGATATACTGATTATGATTTGGAAGGGGATTTGTAGAGATTTCAGTATTTTTCAAAGTTGAAATCATGAGTCAATTGAAGCTAGACCACCATCGAAAACCTGGAAGCACTGGACGGCCGTTTCGTCCTATTATGGGAATCCTCAGCAGTGCGCATCCACGAACCCACTCTCGCGGGATTCGAACCCAGGACCTACCAGTGGAGTTCAACCACGTCCGTTGTGAGATATCAACTCACTGAAGACAATTGGTGAATGGTTGCTCAATTTCGTGGATCAGTTAAAGTTAGACATTAACACCGTTGAATGCCAGCTCAGTGGTCAATCGGTTAAGGGCTTCGGCTCGAAACTGGTAGGTCCTGGATTCGAGTCTCGCTCGCGAGAGCGGGTTCGTGGATGCGCACTGCTGAGGAGTCCCATAATAGGACGAAACGGCCGTCCAGTGCTTCCAGGTTTTCCATGGTGGTCTAGCTTCAATTGACTCATGATTTCAACTTTGAAAAATACTGATTATGACTTGACACTTTAATCCAGATCATTTTGACCTTTATTAAATGACCTTTCTAATTTACAAACAACACAATTTTGAAGTATATATGTCATAACAGATGCACAAGTTCACTATTTTTAACATATAACATTGTCAAATTAATTAATATATGCCTCATTTTGGCCTTTGTAAAATATCATAATAATTATGGACTTATAACTGTAGAACCTGATGATGAAGTCATTGAAAACAATTGTTGGGCTCAAATATTCTTCATTTTTGAGAATTTTATTGACATTAAAATAAGGCATTTTAGTGAATTAAACAATGTTTTTTTATAATATAGTTGAAATCATGAGTCAATTGAAGCTAGACCACCATGGAAAGCCTGGAAGCACTGGACGGCGATTTCTTGAACATAGTGAACTTTTACATCAGTTATGGCATAAATATTTCGAAATTGTTTCATCTGTAAATTAGAAAGGTCATTTGCGAAGGCTCAAAGTTATAATTAATATAGTGATAAAATGAATCGTGTGAAGAAAATGCATAGTAGAAGGATCTTGTCTCATTAACAGAGATAATAATAATAACGTCGTGTGAATATAATATATATTAAGAGAGATGTAATAGAGACAGTGGTAATAAGAAATTCATGTGAATTGAAAACAATAAATATGAAGATTAAGAATAAGATATAGAAAATATCGACATAAAAGGAGTTAGTGGGGAGATGTAAAGGATTGATAATATCCAATATATGCTAATGGTGATCCAGTCGTAGACCAAGGTATATACAGAGTTCATCCGAATGGCTTTAGCTATATACAGTAGTCGCAATCTAACTCCTTTAGAAAGATTATTTGGAACTTCATCTATCTAATACGTTGTTCACGATATAAAAAGTGAGAAAAACATGGCACTGCTAATATATCTCGTGACCCGTTTTTTCTAGTTTTAGTTGTTCAAATCTACTTAGTTTGTTCACCTTTATAAATTTCTAAGATTGCTTTTATTTATGCAAGAAAGACGACTTGATACAGAAAAGTAACTTATTTGGGGAAAAGTAGGTATTAATGGAATGTATTCATAGAACTTTGATCAATATGTTAGCTTACTATTATAATAAATTAAGTGATTTGATTGAAAATAATAACAAAAGCATTTATTTTAATGTAATTTATAAATGCTTTAAACGATTAAGAAGCTTATCAACAAGGAGCTTCTTCGCTTAGAAAACGGTATGATCCAAAATTAGAATTCATTTAAATATGATTAAAATATATTACACATCTAAATAAAACTTGTAGTGTTGATTACTTACTTACTTACATACTTTCGCCTGTTACTCACAATGGAGCATAGGCCGCCGACCAGCTTCCTCCAACCCACTCTGTCCTGGGCCTTCCTTTCTAGTTCTATCCAATTTTTGTTCATTCTTCTAATGTCTGCCTCCATTTCTCGGCGTAATGTGTTCTTTGGTATTCCTCTTTTCCTTCGACTTTCAGGATTCCATATGAGGGCTTGTCTTGTAACGCAGTTAGGTGATTTCCTCAAAGTGTGTCTATTCCACTTCCAGCGCTTCCTCCTGATTTCTTCCTCCGCCGGAATCTGATTTGTTGTCTCCCACAGTAACTTGTTGCTGATAGTGTCTGGCCATCGGATACGAAGTATCTTGCGTAGACAACTGTTAATAAACACTTGTATCTTCTGGATGATGGCCTTCGTTGTTCTCCACGTCTCCGCCCCATACAGTAGAACTGTCTTGACATTTGTATTGAAAATTCTAACCTTGGTGTTGGTTGACAATTGCTTTGAGCTCCAGATGTTTTTCAGTTGTAAGTATGCTGCTCTTGCTTTGCCGATCCTTGCCCTCACATCTGCATCTGATCCACCGTGTTCATCAGTGGATAATTTGAAAATATATTCGGATTTAAAAAAGAATGAAGGTGTTTCAACGAAGAAAAGTCTCTTTTGGATTTGTTCAATTATTCGATTTTGTTTCGCTGTTTCTCTTTGTAACTAAATTTAACTTTGATACTTTGTTTTATGTCTACACTGATTGATTATACTTTTTGAAAAGTATAGGAACCCTAATTTCTTTGTTATTGTTTCAACACAATGTTCTATCATCTCTATAATATAAATAAACTATGATAGATGTAATAATAAAGAGTATAATTTATTGGCTAGCAGTGAAATCCAGGGCGCGCGTTTCGTCCTATTTGGGACTCGTTAGTTGGATGTACCTGCATTTCAGTGTTGATGTTCACTCTAGGACTCTAACCCAGTACCTTTCGCTTCAAACGCCATTGCGTTATCCTTTAAGCCACTGAGTCTTGATAGCCACTTGCTTGTGTAATGGAGTAAAGTTTAAATTCACTTGGTATTGTTTACTTGAATCTTCTCATCGACGTTTAGAACTTATCGATTGTAGTCCTAAACATCAATGGGAAGACTCAACCAAACAATATCAAGTTCATTTATTATGAAAATTTGATAAAAATTAATAGTTCTACTGAATATAATAAAACATACATCATTCTCTGACAATTCATTAAAACTCTCTCTACTCGATTTCATAACGTCATGATATAATGCAGCCAAAAACTTATGACATGCTGAACGGGTCGGATCCAAAGCATAATGAACAGGAGTTTGAAATTTCTACAATACAAAGATAAACAATATTTCAATGTGAAATTCTAAAATATAAAAATTTATTTTTATCATTTCTGTAAAAATAAATAAATGACATGATAGAGTTGTTTTTATCAAAAGTTATAGATAACTACAAAATATATTTTAAAATCTTTTCAGTTTGAGATTGTTTCTTCATCTCTGACTGACGTCATTTAGTAAACGACTGATTAGTAAAAGTTCATCAGGATAGTATTTGAACACTATTCAAAAATTATCAAACTGAAACATGTTATATACTCAGGATTTCTTGTTTATTGAGTCAGTCAGTCAGTTACAGAAGTGGTAGAAGTAGCAAAAGTATAAGCAGTAGTCGGAAAGATTAGGGTTTGAAGATGTTATTGAACGAGTGAAGTAAATCTGGTAAGAGAAAAAAGATGGAGACATAAAGGATTCGGATAGAATCTTCTACCCGAAGTTTGTGCTGATGATATCGTTCAGAAGGACGATGAAAGCTCCATGACCAAACCATCCAACTCAGAGAACAAACCAACATCAAAATCACCCACCTGAGCTACAAATCATCTCCAACATAAAAAATTCAGAAGATTGAAATTCGGTAGAACACTAAGAGTGGATCCATCTGCGTCATTGCAAACGATTTTGAGCCATGTCATTCAAGGTCTCTAACCATTGGTTGTTATCATCTCGCGGATCCTAACCAGGTAGTCTACACATACCAACATGGCTCAGTCCACTTGTTAGTGACTTCATGGATTTGTGCCACATTTTGGTCTGGCTGCCCCTAGGTTTCTTCTAACCTATTCGTACACCATGAGACAACCATTTGATTAATTTTTAAGTAACTGTGAAAGAATATTTCTGAATTATAAATATTCTTAAAATAAACTATCTTCATTATAGTTTGTATCATTCGTTCTAGTAGAAACAATATATCGTGAATGGAGGGATTTCAAAAAGTATATTTAATAAAAATAAAGTTATTTTATCTCGTAGTAGAAACTTTGTAAAATAGTTGTTGTGATAGTTGGTCCATTTATGTCTACGTTTATTAGAATATTTTGAAAGTAGGACTGTACTAAGCTAAATAAGCAAAAATCTTAGCATGTAGTTAATTCATAGCTTCTGACTTAAAAAAAAGAACACTCTATCGTAATTAGAATATGATGACACAGAAATTTATCTCCAATCAAATTTAATTTCGTGTCAATTTGACATTATACACTGTCTGAAGAAGCACTAAAGCAACACTGCAAGAAAAAGATTATTTTATATAACGAAATGAATGTTTATTTAACTTACAGAATCTGCAGCAATGACTAATTTTTTATTAACACAACAAAGAACAACAGCAGTCTCCGGATCACCAACCACACCATGGTGTAATGCATTTCTACCATTCTAAAATAAATAATGGATAAGTATCCAGTAAGATAACAAACAGTAAAGTTATAAGCGAATATGCTAGACAGAATCATTTATTGACCTCTGTTCAGTCATCATAAACTTTCTAATTAAGCAATAATAAAATTTCATTTATAGTCAAACATTAAAAACGTTGTCCTATTTGTCAAGTGTAGCTTATTCACTAAAGCAAATGTCTTTGCTATAAATGAAATATTGATAATTTCGAGTACATATTTTACATTCAAGAAATATTTTTCAGGCTTGGAGCTTTGACTAGTTTGGTAATTGGTAGGTTACTGTTTGCTTATGGAAAATAAAACGCTGCAATGGGGACCTAATAAGCAAAAAACTATCATTAGGATTCATAAAATTCAGTTAAAAGTTGTATACAGTCACTATCCGGTAAATTTTATTTTGAATGTAGTTGATAATGAATCGTCAGCTGAAAAATCATTATCATCATGAGTTATCAACTTATTACTATGTATAGCTAGTTTTATGGAAGACTAGGAAGTATAAAACGCTATCTAGTCGTGACAATCTTTATAACACTTGAGTCGGTATCCAGTTTACTTATTATGAAATATACAAAACCATGTACTTAAAAATATTTAGTTTTTCTATTCCACTCTTTGACCCACCACAACATGGGGTACAGTAGGTTTACTGATCACTGTGAAACAGTTTTCTGATAAAAAAGTATATAGACGGCAATATTTATCATGGATACGTCACACAGTTTTGCTAAGAGTATTTCACATGAAATAATGGTTGGTAGTTATGGTAATTTTAATTTTTTCTGGTATCATAAAGATAAATTTCGTTTGTTATTGACTTCAGATACTGGTAAATATGTTGTTACAACTGTTATTCTTTGTCATAGATGATAGCAGTCACCTTTGGAATGAAATAACTAACGTACTCAGTCGAAACAAGAAGCGGTTAAAGATTTTGAAGTTGTTATTAATGTGACTGTACCATACTATTTTCATCTATGCACCATATGAAAGACTCATAGATATCTGGTAGGTTCTATCATCTCATCTCCCATATTTAAAATTACCATGTTATGGAAATTTGAGTCAGTCAAACAATCCTAAAAATACCATGAAATCCTTATTTAATTTGATACAGTATTTACTCGACGGAACAAAGTTTTTTAACTAGGGTTATCAACAATATATATTATAAAATAGAGACAAATTACAGATGTGTTTGGAGAACACTGTAAGAGCATACATAGATTTCTTTAAATGTCGAACTTGCAAAATTGTACTCAGTAAGATAATTAACAATAGATTTACTTTACTATACATATTATTATCATTACTACACCAGTCATCATTCAGCTTATTACTCATTAGAAGTATTCGAATATTTGATATGGCACGTATCACTCTTATAATACTCTATAAACAAGTTTGCTACATCAGTTAACCCATCAAATAAGTACTGAAGTTCATTTTCTACATGCATGAAATATATACAACAGAAATTGCTTTCAAATAAATCCACAACTATCCTTGATCTTTTTTTTGTATATATGATTAGAATTATGTTAACAAATGTACACTTCTATATAAGAACATTCGTCTAAATTAGAGCGAATAGTTTCACAGTATTTGAGCACCGAGTTGATGTAAGACATTAAATAGAAAGAATATATTTGTAAAATCTCAGCGAATGAATTTGAAGTAAATCCAACGTTTTGCTTGGCAATCTGGTCCAAGCTTTTTCAAGATAATTCCTTGAAAAAGCTTGGACCAGATTGGATTTATTACAAATTTATTCGCTGAGATTTTACAAATATATTCTTTCTATGAAATGTACACCTTATTTCATTAAAACAACATATTTTCTCCCCAGGTAAACGTTTAGTGAATGAATGATATTTTGCATAACCTTTTAAATTATGAAATTATATACAAAATTACATGATCAATAATTTTATTTATTTATTTTATTTATTAAATCACTTACTGTATCTGTGGTTTCAGGATTGGCTCCAGCTTTACATAATCTTTCGACTGCCACAAAATCACCAACTCCAGCAGAAATATGCAATGGAGTGAAACCTTCCTAGTCACAAAAATCGTAGGTATAATTAATGTGATGTATAATCATTATAAAATATATAAAATTAGTCATAAAATCATAAAAATAGTCTAAAAAAAATATGTAGCTGCTTTCTCACAGACTACTAGACAGACATCTCTTTATGTCGACTGAGGTGACCTTTTTGTTAGAGATATATCTTTTTAAAAACTAATCTGGTGCCATTTGATAATCTGATTACAAATTATACAGTAATTAGAGCATTCTTATGCTTTTAATTATCAATCATAGTCCTGCATTACTCTTATTGTTTACTTGCTCTATGTAAGCGATGATACATTTTTCTAGAGTTAGCAAATGTATTATTTTACACATTTAATTATCTATGAGTATATCCATACTATTAATTGAATCATGCAACAAAAGTGTACATGGAAAACTAGACAGAAGTCAATTTTCACCATAGATTTTGAAAACTTATCATTATTGTTTAAAACTCTGGTTATGCTTCTTTACTTGAGTATACAAATTTTCACATGACTGATAATAATTAGACAATGTTAGATGAATAAAAGGTATTTTGAATGAACCTCTGAAACAGGAATTCATTAAAATGTAAACATTATAATTTCATTTAAATTATCTCTATGACTTGAATACATTTTTTAAGTTGACTTTATCTAATACACTAAAGTAAGATACATTCATATGACCAAAGGTTTTCTAAGGCTCGCTAACATTCATAAATTAAGTTATCCGTATCAACCACTTACAATGTTATTTTGTATATGATAAATAAGTGAAGTATCACTGAAGATGACATAAATTATCTTTACAAGCTTTTTTTATTATTATACTTTCATCAAGCATCTAAAAGCTTCGAATAAACTATGACTCTATATTCATACCTTTAATATCATATCTGAAAATTTTACTTCTTTCAATTCAACCGTGTGATGGATATTTCTTCTAATAAAGGGTCATTGTGTTTTCATGTAATTTTTAAAATGTATTGGTATATTCTTACATTGATTAACAGTTCAGTGACTAAAAGTCCCAAACTGTTCACGTAACAATAAATACAGCGTCAAATTGGACACGTCGTTCTAAAGCAGTCTTTCTTTAAAATAATCTAGACAACCAAAGAAACTGAATCATTGGAGGCCAAGTCATAAACGTATGCACTGCTGAGGCGTTAGTAATCCACCACTCCAAACTCGAACTCTGCATGCAAAAACGATACATATCACCTCTCATCTTTCCTTGGCCCTGAATCCCTTCGGTTGTTATTTTTGGTCTTGTTTTTTTTAATCATTGTTTTGTAATTTTACACCGTAATCAGTTATTACCATCCTTTAACAATTTTTCACAAATATTGCTTAACCATTGTTGTGACTTCTCCATTTTTCTTTTTTTATATCTGTCAAGAGGACAATTGTCTTTCATAATTCTCGCCCGTAAATTATTTTCATCTACATATTCTTCTCTAACCCCGTGATTATTACGCGACCTCACTTGGTGTTTGGAATCTAGAATCACTTTATGATCTAATCTTTTCTATCTTTTTATGGACTTATATTTATCAAACAATTATAATAAAAATGAATATACAGTAAGTGATTTCATCGAAAAGAAAATTTACTTCGCTGAATTCTTTTCATTTTTAATTAACTGAATATATGCTAGATATAGCCCTGTAAGTTATTTGCACTTTGTGGGTATGAATTCTAACAAAAGGGGAAAGATGTGAACGGGATGGATGATTCTTATCTAGTAAAATAATGAAATGCTGTGCAAAATAACAGTATATTTATAAGAATCTACAAATTTTAAAACTAATTGCCCGATGAGTGTAGACAATGTTCCAAATGAAATTCATTATTCTGTTTTCTTGCAATTTACCAATAATTGCAATCAGTATCTTACTGAATGCTCTGATACCGACGACCACTTAAAATCCATTCCTCCCTTAGTCATAAACATGAATTTCTGCCATTGTTCATAGTGCAAAAATTTAAAGACTCTTTGTATAAAAGGGATTAACATACTACTGTTTTCTTTTCAATCAGTGACTCTGAATGTCGTTTTAAAATATCATCAATTATTTCATGTGCTGAGTACCATGCAGCTACGTGAAGAAATGTTGCCGCTGACATTACAGTAATTTTTACTGCTCCTGTTTGACGTACTAACTGAAAGAAAATAACCAAATATCAGGAAGAAACATGGTTAGATCCATTGGATAAATTAATGTTTAAGAAAAATTGTTATTTAAATCAAAACCAATATAAATACCTTTGAAATAAACTGAAAAGGAAATTGTTTCTACTTTGATCACTTTTCCACAAACTGTTTAATTACATTAAAAAAACCTTTTTAATTAATAACTTACTTAAAGATGAATTTAATAACCATTGTTAAACAGAATACAGTGACTTTAAATGTCACCCACATAAAGTTTAATGTAGCTGGTAGTTTCTCTATGTCATGAACACGGAAACAAGAACTGTTCTATTCAAATTGCAAGGATTAAATAGTACTGTAGTTGTCTGTGTTAGTTAAAAGAATCAGTCATTTGAAAGGTCTAAATTTGAACATAACGGCTATCAGAATTAATGATAATCATTCTCAAGCTATAAAAGTAAATTTTGTTGAAGTCACAAATCAATCAATGTATATAACCATCAAATACATGAGGGCATTGAATAACTGTTTCGTTTTATTATAGAACTCCTCATCAGTGTTTACCCACAACACTGCAGATGTGAATCGAACCCGAGACCTACAGTCTCGCATGCGATCACTTGACCTCGATTTGTGATTGCGGGATGAAATTCTAAAATCTACACAACCGCATACAAAAATAAAAGTTAAATAAGTGCCAAATCTACAGTTTGCATTGCTCATGCCTTCTTAGTGAAGAACTTAAACACGCCGATATATTAATAAGAAATTAAATTCAAAAAGTTTATATCATAAGCTCTAAGTTGTAACTTTATGTTATATGACCGCAATTCTCGCTGAGTGGGACATTTTACTTGATCTATATTATAACATATACTTACTGTTGAATTCAACATCCAGTCACTGTCATCAGTGGCATTGTTAAACAGTCAACTGAAAAATCCCTTCAGCATACATATCATGTCAATCATCTACCAAATAGTAATATTATATTCTTCTGCCTGCATCAGTTCGTCTTTTAATTGCCTACATATTATAATATGTTTACTAAGCCTTTTTACATTAAATATTACAAATAATTAATGTCCAGTAACAGACAACAATTATATTTATACGCTTAAGCATTCAATGAATTATTTTTACCAATACAAATGTTCAGAGAGAAGGATACTTTCTGGCTTCAAAAATCGTTGAAAGTCTATTCACACTTGGAGAATTAGTTACATTTATATCTATGAATATCATTGTTCATGAATTAGATGTCAAGCTCTAAACCCTAATATCTATAAAAAATTAATTGATCTAACAAAATGGAGTCGACATTTCAGCTCTAATGTTTAAAGGGTTTATTTATTTGGAAACGACTCAAAATGGTATAGCGAATTGAGGTAGCCTACTATTCGTGACATTCAACAATAGTTCCATCACATCCCACACCATTTAAATTCAAAAGACATAGAATTATAAGTCTACACTAAATAGTCTTAACCATATCGTGTTCATTTCGAGATCTGAATCTTTTTAGTTTAATTACCTATTGGGAAACAGTCCCCTAACTAAGGAGAAATAACTGTTCGATCTTCAAAGGTCTTGCTATTGATATTAATCAATGGTGAAAGTTTTTTTGTTGAAATGGATTTTCACAAATTTGAAGCCATATAATATTCTTGTGAACGAGAACACAAACGAGAACAACCAAATGCATTTGAACACAAAACTTTAGATTGTCTTAGGAAAATCAGAGTAACATATAGTAAACACTTCATTTGCAAAATATCAATCAATCGTCTCAGACTTGATTGTTCTTTCGTTTCCTTACCAATCATTCTTTGTTCTCTGTCTCTTTTCTTTGATTTTCTTAACCTTCTGCCTTCAGGCATTTCACTTTCGATTGACGATACATACTACTTATATCTGTCGAGATCGGTATTGCACACCTCAGTATATGTTTTTATTAGAAAGACATGTACGATATCGTATACCGATTAGATAATATTGTAATAGCTAACATCAGTGTTGTTTTGTGCCAGTTTGAGTTCTAATCCAAATTATTGATAAAAAAGTGCGAATGTCATCGCAAATTATGTGAACAGTAAGAATCCGGATGAAAACAAATACAGCCATGTCACATACAAACCCAGTACAACGTGATTTTCAAATTAAATCGATTGAGTGCATTAAAGGTAAAATTAAATTATAATACGCCAAACATATTAGAATCAAGATGTTCCTAGTATAAACAGATAATACTTTGTATTTTCACATGGCAAGATTGTGTCAGTTTAGTTTCAATGTTAAATAAAATAAGAACATCCTCTAAAAGTGTTAAAATAGTACTAATTTGTTGTTTACATTATTGATATTCAGTGTTTTATCACAAAGCAGCTTTAAACACTGTTTCTTTTGAATTTATTAGTTATGATAGGCATTTACAATAACTTTTGTGCTTGAACAATATAAAGTAGGCTAGGGGGGTGTTATTGAAATAAGTTAATCTTTTTTATCTTCAAACATTAAGTTATGTCTCCTGCTGTGGAGTATGAACTGAAATTATTAGAAAACCATTTTCAAAAACAATAATAAATTTTCTTTGTAAAACAAGGTTTACTTACAACGAAGTTTTAATTAGAACTTTTGAGACGTGTTCAATTTGAAAATAGATTTTACCATAGAACGACATCATCTAAAAAGCTACCAAAAACTAGGAAAGATGAATCAGTGTTTTGTCCTAGTTTTAAAAGATTTTAACAATGACATCTTACTTTGGATCTTCGAACCATGTTAACAATACACTAACTTTGAACCAATTTGTTTTTAACAGATGATCCCAATTTAGGTTGATTCTTAGTATAGAACAACTAGTACCACTAATCCCTGTTTTTAGAAAGTTACTTAATCGTATTATTTCCCAAAAGCTTTGTTCGTTTAAAATATAAAAAGACTTCTGCAATTTACAATACAAAAGCAGTGAATATTATAGAATAAAATAAATAAATGGAATAGTTCAGTCCAATCATAAAATAGTGAGATTACTAATTGTAAAAAAAAGATTAAAAATATCTGTAGAGATCAGAGTAAATGTACTTAAAATAATGTAAGAAGTGACAGGACAACTACCACTATGATGAAAGCTGAATCACAAGTAAACTAAATAGTTGATGTTTTAATATAACTAAGTTTCACAATTTGAAATAAATAAATATTAGATTAGTAATCGTACTGGTTTCTTGTATTTGCTGACTTCATGAATTATCCTACTTGTTCAGTTCATTTTATAATAATAAGCGCATGAATATACAGTCCTTATACCTAAATTTACCGTTGAACTGGAATATTTATCTCAAAAACCAAACTCATGATATTTCATTTGATTTCTGAAAGTAATCGTTTATAGAAAATTTAGTGGAGATGTTTGATGAAGTGAATTCACTGAATTTCACGATGTCGATCGCTTTTACCGTATAAAATGTGATAATTATTTTGATGAATAAATCCCAATGGAGGAGTAACGATGGACTAAGTCATCTCCACATACAGTGTAAATTTACGGTTAATTATCTTTGTGTGTAATAATAAACTACAACTATTTAATACAAATTAATGGATTGAGCGTTGAGTTAGTCCTAGCTGAATGAGCTTTGCTTTCCAACTAAACAAACCTATATAAGTTGAGTAATTTAGAATTCCATCTCCAATAGAACCATCAAAATTATTCATTATTTGATGCACCTGTGAACAAGATATGTTATAATCAGAGATGGATGGTGATTAGAAGTAGAATCCAAAACGCGCGTTTCATCTTATTTGAGAGTTTTAAAGATTCCCATTGTGAAAATTAAAACAACACATGTAAGCGAACAATTGTTTTCAATTAGATCTAATTGAAAACAATTGTTCGCTTACATTCCTGGATCTCACTTCCAGCCATCATCCATCTTTGCTCAAATCGCTTGTGACTTAAAGCAATATCGAGGCAATACGCACAGTATGCACATATACCAATAAGAGACTGATGAATTGTAGTCCTAAACATCAATGAGAAGATTCAAACAAGCAATAAAAATGAATCTCGCGAAGCGGGATCGTGGATGCGCACTGCTGAGAAGTCCCATAATAGGACGAAACGGCCGTCCAGTGCTTCCAGGTTTTCCATGGTCATCTAGCTACAATCGACTTATGATTTCAACTATGAAAAAACTGAAATCTCCACAAAACCCCTTCTGAATATAATGTTATATTATTTTTATAATCATTATTATTATTAAAGATTGAAAACTTAATGATTCAATTCAAACTTTATTTTACTGATAATTTATTAATCAAATTATATTCTGAAACTCTTTGGATTAAGTAATTCGTGAATGTACAGTTGAAAAAAACAAAAACACAAACACAAACGTATATTTGTTCTGATAATAAATAAACAAATTCCTCACTAATTATAATTTTGTTCCAATTTCTACACTATCAGAAATGAACTTAAAATATTTTCTAATTATTATATTAAATTTAATATAATGGTTTATGTACAATAATAAGAATGAAGATAATTTACTACTAATACTACTACTAGCTACTATTGTATTAATTTAGACCAAATCAAACAGGAGGTTAATTAATGAATGTAGTAAGTATTTCCAATATTTTCCATTGTATTTGCACAAAGTTTTACTGTGGAAAGGAATTATTTATGAAAATGGAAGTACGACTAACATTTTTACACTATAAATCAATACAAATATCATCTTAATCAGATGGTTATAAGTTTTAAATAGATGATATCATATGCTCACTTGTGACTTGCTCCAAGAGGTATTTCATGGAAGTGTTATGAGAAGCATTGACCAGTGGAATTCAACCAGGTCTGTTGGGAGATATCAACTCACTGAAGAAAATTGGTGAATAGTTGCTCAATTTCGTGGATTGGTTGAAGTTAGACATTATCATCGTTGAATGCCGATTCAGCGGTCTAGTGGTTAAGTGCTCTCGCACGAGACTGGTGGGTCCA